CTGTCAATATTGGCACTTGATCCGCTTTTGTTTAGTTCATTGCCTCCCATTTCCCGGGCTCTTGTCCTTCATTCAGTTTGACAATCCCCGCTTATTTCCGCACCGGACCGCGCCGGACTGACCGGTCCTTCTGTGTTTCCCTCCTGCCTATTTATATCCTGTAAATACTTTCGGGGACCTTAGTCTGAAATCAACTAGAGTACCCCCCCTGTCTGGTCTGAGTCTCTCCTTCTGCAAAGGGGGCTTCCCCCCCTCTGAGTCCGTGCTCGTGGAGTCTGTGCTCCTCCTACAGTTCCACTCCACCCACAAGTCTTGTTTGAAGTCCACTGTGAGTGTCAGTCTGTAAATACGGGATCTCCCCCAAACGTCAAGCTCAGGGCACAGCGCTCCACCTGAGTCACTGAGGCTGCGATCCCACTCTGCTAACCTTGAACAGCGCTTCCGGACGCGCTGCATATTTCTGCCCGCATATCCGTGCGCACGCTGTAGGCGGGATAATCGCCCATGCGCAGCGCCGGCTCGGATACCCGTTTCCACGATTAGAAAACCACCTTTCATTCATGCGACGACTTTGTATGGAATTGGTATCTAAAAATAGTGCTAATTCGTACGATTCTGACGATACCAAGAACGTCCTAATCGGTGGAGATTTGACGGAGTTCCGTGTTGGAGAAGTTAGGCACAGCAGGTCACGGGCATGTGCGGGCGTGGGAATCTCAAGCGGCAACCCAGAATTCCAGCCTCACTCGTTCTCACGGCGTCTAATAAATTGGTAAAAATGCTCATTGGCTGCGTAATAGTTCCATTCAGCCACATTTCCAATTTTGGCCTTTAATTCCGTAAATCCGTTGAGAAATCGCTTATTTTCTTTTATTTTCATATTTTGCCATCATTTCAGTTATTGATTGATATTCTTTTATTGATACTGTTACCCTCTCTTATTATTTCGCCTAATAAGGTACCCAGGTGCCATATGGCACCAATATTTCTCATCTATTATTTCTAAAAATAATTATTAGATATAATCCTGTACATACCGGATTTGTGAAAAGAAGTTCTCCCCTCCCCCAATTTTCTCTAAGGTGCTAGGACGCGCTAGAGAGGGTGTGAGTGTGTGGAATTCCAACAGTAGGAATAAGGGCAGCTGTCTAGCTCACAACGAGTGAGTAGTGGACGCTGAGCCTGGACCTTGCGGAAATCCCGGAGAACCCACACGGAATTTAAGGATCGAGAGTCAAGCGAAGTTTAGAGAGAAAGTAGAGAGTTTAGGAGAGTTTGGCCCCACGAGCTTAGTCGGCATAGAGAGCCGCTAGCCCTCTTTCAACGCTCCAACAGACCCCTGCATCACCTCCGACCTCAACTCAGACAGAACCCAATCCACCTTCCATCCATCTTCTGACAGTGTTCCGACTCTGACAGTATTCCAACTCCGACAATATCCCAGTCTCTGACAGCATTCCAGTCTCTGACACAGGGCCTGGCCTTGCACTTGGAGGCACAGTGTCCTATCTAGCACAATCCCTCACACTGTGCAGGCACTGAGTTGAGAAGAAGGGTAACCTTCTCAACTCCCCACACCAGCACCATATAAAGCAATGGTCACATGTGTGGGAACTGCACAGTCCCTCATGTTAGAACAGATAGTCTTGGATGGTTCCGGAATGGAATTAGAGACTCAATTAGGAAGGACCTTGGCCTCAGCAACTCAGGCAGAGCACTGTGCCATTGCTGGTTGTCCTGTTGGTCCTTAATTTCAGACATAGTGAGTGAAGAGTCTCTGGGGGGCATTGTCATATCCATACAATCCCGACCTCTGCTCTGGGCTCCCGGAACTCCAAAACTGACTCTGGAGCCCTACTTCCCTTCCGTCACCTTCTGTTTGCCGACTCCCAAGAGGTTATCCCACCTCCGGCTCTGACACCACCTTTGGTCTGACTCTGGAACATTCCAGGTCCGACCTCAACCTCGACACCTCCCAGATGAGCACGCAACACCTATGCTCCCGACTCCGGACCTCCACTCCGGAATCCTGTTTGCATCTCCATCTCCGGAACCTCTGGTCTTAGCTCCGACCTCAGACTTTGACCCCACCTCCGCTTATACCCATTGTATTGGTTGGCTCATTCCATTTGCCAATATTCTGGAGTTTAACTTCCGAGTTTGGACTTTCCAGACTTACGTCGGACCTTGCAACTATTGCATTGCTCCATTCAATTCCGCTATTCTCCCTCATTCCTATTTGGGCTGCTGCTTCCTTTCTATTCAGTCAGCTGGCCATTCCCCACTCCCATCCTCCCTCCTTCCTCCTTGGCCCTTGGCCCTTCACTCCTCCTTTGGGAAACACCATTGAGTCAAACCCTTGACCCTCGGTGTTGTTCCTCCTTTCAGCTCCCTTTGTCTCCTTTCGGAGTACCCTTGCTCCTTTTGATTCCGGTCCCCTCCTTATATACAATGTACATAGTAACTTGTAACCTCAGTCCGAAATCGACCTGAAATGCCCCCAAGAGACTTTCCCTCTGCTAGATCCGAAATTAGGGACCCTTAGGACAACCAGCAATGGCACAGCGCTCCGCCTGAGTCGCTGAGGCCAAGGTCCTTCCACACTAAGTCTCCGATTCCATTCCGGAGTCGTCCGAATCCGCCAGTTCTAACACCTATGCCTCCCCAAGTACAGAGCCCCAAAGGCTTCCGGACAGCTCCGACGTCTGCTAGCACACTCCTGCCTCCACTGGGCAATTCACTCGCTTGCCCTGCAGGCCTATCCCTCCTTTCCATTTCTGGGTTATCGCCTGCCATTCCACTAACCCCGTAACCCAACTTGTCGGTAATATTCAATTGGCTAATGTTTAACTCCATTAGCTCTGCTTCGCTTGGCCCCACCATTTGCAGGCCCACCCACGCTGTAACTATATATACTCAACTTGTACATAGGTTACACCTGTCAGGAACGTGTCAGACATGTATCCGGGTGACCTGCAAGGTGTGTGAAGTCATCTGGGCTTGTAAGGTCAGAGGGGCAGGACTTCAGCTTCAGCGACTCGGGTGGAGCGCTGCGCTTCGTTCTTACGTTGTTGTCCCAATTTCAGACAGGAGCCTTACGATGAGGAGAAGAGACTAGAGGGGGAATCCAAGTCGATATACGAACTGAGGTACATCCAGTGTAACCTACACGCATTATAAACACAAGTAACTAAATAGGACCGGCCTGGAAGGAGTGGCAGATCAAGCGCGATATTAATGAATGAAGAAAGAGACAAATAGTTAATATCGGAAAACTTGGTCAACAAAAGGCAAGCAAGAACAATGAGTGACAAAGGAGGAACAATAGTCCGCAAGTGGACAAAAGAGAAAAGGCCATCCAGCCGTCTAGCAAGCTGTCCAGCTGGCGAGTGGACAACAATGAAGTGGGCAACCTAGGTTGGAAGGTACATGCGTGGGGGAGGAAGTGCAGATGAGGGTGATGGGTGGATGGATGATGATGATAGCAGGTGGGATGGGCCAAGTGGCACTAGGACGCATTGACAGAAGTGACAGATATGTCGGGTCGTGACAACACCTCAGTAATAAAATTGACTAGAGTTGACCCCCCTTTTAGTTCTTGTTGCCAGTAAGTAAATTAGGGCATGGACATGTAACTTGGCACAGCGCTCCTGGCATAAGTCACTGAGGCCGAAGCCCTCCACCACGGAGACATTCCTTCATCTCAATCCAGTCTCTGACAGACCCAGCATTCCCTGGAGTCAGACAACCTCCTCCCCAACCTTTTCCCACACCTGAACACTCCCTGCACACTCCACATGCCACCCATTGCCATCCTGTCAGGGCATGCCACATGCTGCACCGCACCACTCACCTCCCCTTCTTCTCCTTTCTCCTTTCTTCCTTTCTTTCCTTCTGTCAGGGCACACCTGCCTGACCCAGCTCCACCCAGGTCGAGTCAAGTACAGCGCTTGGCACATCTGACTTTCAGGTTGTATATCTTAGCTACTTGAGCGAGAGCAGGTTTCAGCCAAGAGTAGCACAATTTTTAGCAATTGGAGTTGGCAGGCAAGGTAGCCTCCGGATCTTTATATTACCCACAAGACCGCGCGAGAACTGGACCGAAACTAGAGAACGAGGCCAAAGGCAGCCAACAATACTGTGAAATAGACAGAGTAGTTGAGGGAGATAATCAAAGGCCGAGCTGAAAACCCCGCTGACTTACGTAACACTGTGAGTTGATCATGAGGGCAGTGGGTAATAAGACAGCAAAGAGAATGGAAAAAACTTGATGCCCTTGCCACTACAGGTGCATTCGAAGTTTCAAAGCAATATGCAGATGATGTCACAGACACTTTAAAGACAAGCTAGATTTATGATGTATGGACGACAGTAGGAAATATATGGTAAACACTACTAGCAGCTGGCATTAGAACTCGCTACATCATCGACTTGAGTGGAGGGCTGACAGGATTCTTTCAGATAAATGGCATCGCAGGCATCCAATGTAAGGCAACAGCCCAGTGGCCAGGCCACCTGACAACAGGGTGAGGGTATCAAGCCCCGCACCTACATATCGGGCAGTGTCATGGTGGATTCCAAGGTCATATTGGAACAGGGCTGGCATCAAATTGCCGATCCGAGTATCACATTGCACGCCTAGAGGCCGGTATCCTGCCTACAAAAAGCTCTCATATCATATCATTGGCCGCGATCTGGGGCCAAGTTTGTAGAGAGCATCACTCAGTAGCGCGACGTTCGATTGTGTTGATTGAGGTGATTCTAATGAATTAATTGAGATCCAATTCATTACTTTGAATTGAAACCATCTCGATCAATCAACGAGGTCAGGCCACGCCGCCGGTTGATGCCAGTTTGTAATGATGTGCTGCAGTACTAGTTGTTGCACGTAAGCGGTGCATTTCACTGCTCCGTTGACCCCCGCTCAGCCAAAATCATCAAATAGGAACGATACAGTAATTACATTACCAGGCTACAATTGTTATGAGGGTTCCTCTCAAACTGGATGGCCGAGCTTGTAGCGCGGTTGAGATGTGCATTTGGATCCGATGGTGTCCCACGGGTGACGATTTGACGATGGCGCGCTCCACGACACACTTTCCCTCGGAAAAAAAACGAACCCTACGAACCCCCACTATAAACAAACGCCTCGCAAGCTCGGCCAATCACATCAAGACCGCAGTAAAGATGATCGTGACCGAGCGCGTCACGGTGATCCCGAACGTCAATTGAGGGATGCATGAGTCCGTGTAGTTCTCGATTTGGCAGAGGCGGTGGGTATGAATTTTTCCCGGAGTCTTTCTGTTTGCGCGAAGGTGGACCAGTGAGTCCTCAGTAAGAAACCTCTTTGTGGAAAAACACGGAACCGTATCCTGATAATCTTTCTGGGTTTTTAATGCCCAGAGAACTCCTGAAGAAGTCCCCACCCGCAATGACCCCCTTCGAGCACCTTTATGGTGGCTACGTCTATGGCATCCTCTTCTCGGCGATGTGAGTTAGACTTGTTATGCGGCCTTGAGTATGCTAAATATTTGGCTACAGACTCTTGGGGGTAATCACCGTGCAGTCGAGATCTTATTTTCTACGTTATCCAAGCGATCCCATCACGACAAAACTTCTGGTATTCCCTCGTCATGATAGCTTATGACTTCAACGCCATTTACCGTTGCTGTTCTGTCCAGGTCCTAGTGCTAATGTGAGCTGGACTAGTGTTACGCCAAGGCTAAGACTCTGACTCTATGCATATCTCAGACTGGCCCAGCTCGTTGATCTGTATGTGCTTCCTGAGCACCACATGCGCTTCATGTTGACCTTCGTCATTTAGCGGTTGCTCTCTGTCAGGTCAGTACAAGATCGCCATGCACGAGCATACACCAGGCACCAACTCGTGGTGAGCCTACCTCGAATAGCGTCTTACTCGGCCTGAATTGCTGTTCAGGTATATCTCCGCGTTTGATGTGACATCTGTGTGTCATATACTCGGATCACGTCCGCACTATCTCACGCAGTGTGCACAGGTAGTGTCTTCGTTATCAGTCCAATCCTTCTTCTCCTGGCGTATTAGTAAAAGTCTGTTTTGGTTTTCGCTTGTTGCAATGAGCATGTTCACTCATCTGGTCATGTTCAGTGACCAATCTGTGGGTGGCGTTACCGGCGATTCTGATTAGTTTGCTTCAATTTGGTACGCCACATTTCTAAGTACTAATCCGGGCACCCCTAAACGAATGGGCCCTGCCATCTGCAGCTTTTGGACTTTGTAAACCTCCTCGTCTTCCCTGGAGTTGTCACAACTGCTGACCCCATTTCATTATATCCTTAGGGGTGTACCTTCTTGGGTGAGTAGCCATGGGACCGAACCCGGTGGACTATTGTTAATGGCATAAAATGCACTTTTCAAGCATTCTGCATTTGAAAGTGTATTCGCTTCCCCATTGGAGCCGAACCTCAACTATTGGTTTGTGTGCATCTCAAGTTCGTCCGCGTCATTCTTTGCGCATTATTCGCAGGAATTCTGAGAGTTTTCCTTAGGCCGCCGCAGATACGTTGATAGCAGTAATAATGATTGTCCTGCTGCGTCGCAAACGAACCGGATTCCCGAGGTGCGAGCTATCTTCCGGCCATTGGGATACAGGTCTGAACAGATCGCCTAGGACAGACAGAGCGATAAAAATTCTGGTTAGATACGCGGTTCAAACTGGCGCAATCACAAGGTCAGGCGTCCTATGTTCATCACTGGCATGTCGGGATGGAATTGAAGTATTCTTTTTCTCGGCAGTGTCGTCGCTTTGACGATATTAGTTTCAGTAAGTGGATTTTGATGGCAAAAATGACGAACCGTCTCATTCAATCCAGTTTCTTTGGTATGATGGGTATCACTTCCTGACTATCTGTTTTGCGGTGGTTAGTCCAAGAATCACCTTGCCCTGCCTTACAGCCTGACACCCCCTCAATTCGATCATTAGCCATTCGGAGGAGTATACACCATCACCCTGCTGGCGAAGTGAGTGCCACGTTGCGCCGATGTCATGACACACTCATCACTAATTTTTCGCATCGTTTTCAGCTTGCATAGCCGTAGTCAGGCCCGAAAATTCCTATTGCCAGGGTCCACAGAAGATGCTGGTCAGTCAATTCACCTATCCAAAATGTCAATTAAGGTATGACTTTTGGGTTGCCATCGACCTCGTCAATTTCACGCAGTCCTATCCGTAAAGGGCTGGGCCCCACGTCACGCTAATCCCATCAACATACCTAAGAGTTCGGAACGTACCTTTGGGTTCTTATTCGTGCGGCGGCAAGACGCAAACTCAGTCTAACGCATTTGAAAAAATCGCACGTCTCCATACCATCTCGTTCGTGTCCTATAACAAGTTTACTGGCTTGTCAGCCCGAGTCTTGTTCACATTCCGTTAGATACCGTGCCTGAAACGTACAAGTAATGCTCTTGCCTCAGTCAACCCTCTTTGGTCACTTTCTTCCTCGCAATCCGGTCCGCCCGAAACTTACCCCGTGTCTGCTATGTCAATGAAGTACAGTATTCTCAAAGGCTCAGAATGATGGCTTGTGGCACAGTTACGCGGGAATTCTAAATACCAAGAAGTTCCGCTACTTCTCTATAGAGTATGCGATGTGTTGGGTGAGGCGCGCACACCCCGGCGGCCATCATCTGAAACCCTGTCCCATTCCCCAAGAGACACGAAAGGGACAAATAGCTGCCTCTGCCACACTCGGGTATAATTTCAGTAGCTGGCAATGGTTTTGATGCGACTATCTCCAAAACTTCAGAAAAACTGCCCGCATGGATAGAGAACTCTACGGCTGGGAAAGCCGATTCCTTCCAGATTCAATGGCTGATCTGGGAACTTGAGAGCAAAAGTATCAGCATCCAATGACAGGTGGTACGAACGTGGGTGCGGTGACCGGGGAAGAACTCAAGGCTTTCCGAGGGCACGTCGGCCGAATTCGCTCAGCCTCATTCTCGCCCGACGGAATCAGGGTAGTATCGGCATCTGGTGAAAGGACAGTACAAAAAAAAATTAGGATGCTGCAACCGGAGAAGCGATTTCCTTCAGCAATGAGCCTATCACATCTTGACCTCCACCAGGATCCACCTCCCAGTACGTCCATTCTCCGGCATTCATATTGTGATTTCGTCGACGTTGTGACTCAATCGCCGTTTCTGATGAGTGCTCTTTTGCTGGAGTCAGTCGTGATGGACTGGGCTGCGTTCACCTTTCCCTCGGAGCATGCGGAACGCCACAGTTATTTCCCCTACTCATGTTAGCGACAGGACATCCACTTGGGGGACCTCGCATGATGGGCGAGCCCTTACTAGTATGTCCAGACTATTCAAACACTGAAGAGATTACCGTTACGTTTAACATCCAACAACATGATCCAGGGTCAATTGTTGAAGATATGGCGAGTTGGATTGCTCTTGAAGTCGATAACTATGTACTTTTTCTGAAGGGGATGTGTGGCAAGCCATAAATAACCTACGGCTGATTTGGTCAGGCCTGGGGTTTGGCATCATCAGCAGCGCGAACATTTTCAAAGTGTGCGACCAACCCTTCCAGACTGCTAGCAGGTCTTTGTAACTGCCAAGTCCAGTGATGGCTGTTGTAGTGATTTTGCTTATCATGCAGATTGATATCCACAGAATACGAAACCTGAACTATTCAAGGTGCAATCTTGTCGGCGTGTGTTCCTATCATACGATGTACCAAGCCAACCACTTCATCTTACAGCAACCGTCAAAAAAATCTGCGCGTCAAATCTTGATGGATATATCAGGCAAAACATGTGATTTGCGATTTAGGGAAAAAAATCACGGTGTCCCAATGGCACCACCAAAAAAGGATATTACTCACCGCTCTATCGTTATACTTAGAGGCTGCGCATGCATGTAGTGGGCAAAGACCTCAAACCCGCGACCAAGGATCTAATCATCACGATGCCTAACTCGATGAGCACACACGATATCTCAGCAGTAACCCAGCTGTCTGCATGCACCATCCATGAGGATCTCTATAATCCTGTTGGAATCCGCAAGTGACCAGAACCTGCCGGAATATTCTGGATTGTTGTGGGAAATCCCCAGATAATTCCAGGATATTCATGCTTGCATATGCGCGCTTGCGCAGTTACCTATTTTACGTATATTCACATTGTAATACATTTCGTGTATGTATAAGTACGCACAGACGTGCGTTGACAAGATAGTTTCTAGCTTACCTCTGATTGATCGCGAGTTGAGTAGCGGATTGCCTTATCCCCTGACCACCTTTGCTGAGACCCGTGGCCGACGACGCTCTTAGTATTCATTATTATCCATGCCTCACATGGGTACGGAAGAGGCTCTTGCGAACCTTAAGACCCCGGCACCATGAGCGCTAAATGCCGAATGTATTGACACTGAAATTGACCCTGACTTCCGACCATTTTCGGACAAGCACGAGATCCGACTGGGGTCATGCATCCAAATCTGACGCGCAGATTTTTTTGACGGTTGCTGTAATTGAACACAATCATGGCCGCTGCTGATAAGAGTCATATACCACAGGCAATCGATCCACTTCTCGTGGCTTGTCATAATGATTCAAGGAGCTCCAGTCCGGGATTCTAATCACGTTAACTACTCCTGGCCGAGGTATCGAATCAAATAAGATTCCCACCAACCCCAAATGTGTCGGTGGACTCGACAAGGCCAATGTGAGTAGTCGGTTGGTAATCTCAGAACAGGGTGTGTAAGGAATTCAACGTTGGAGGGCTATGCATTTCTGTCAACGCCGTCCCATGTGTTGACGAAACTTCCCAAAATGGTTCCCTCGTTTAGTTTCGTTATTGTTTATCGGGACTCGGACTTCGATGTTTTTGTTTTCCTCGCTGTCTTGGGCTGGCAGTCCTAATTCCACCACTTCATTAAAACATTTGAGAACCTCCGTTCGATGACTGAAGGACGAAAATTAAGAAAGACGGTGAGCTACACGGAACAGTCATTCTTTCTTCTCTGCAGGCTTTGCAGCTGCCTTGACTCTTATCTGTTCGTCTATCCACTCCTTATACATCAGCGGGCCTGCCAACCCAATCGCAGGCCCGAACAGGAAGGCCGACACCTGAAACAAAGGATTTGAGTCTATGGTCAGAACACATGGCAAACTTATTTCACTCACAATCGACCCAAAAACCGCGACCACGAAGTGCTTTATATCGTCAAACGCCCAACTCCAACACGCTACCAGCCAGGTTGATAGGGAGATGAAAATCTCATCCCATTGCAAAAAGCGCTTCGACCCATCCTGGATTGCTGAACGAAGCGTTTCCTGCCCCGTTGAGTACTCAAATGGTCCCAGGTGGGGCTTGAAGGTTGCAGTCAGCGTGGTTAAAACTCTGTTTAAAGTCAGGTCAACTCCGGGGGAAACCGCAGGCGAGAAGGAGCTCGTCAAGTTGAAAGGATTATCTGAGATGAGTGACAAAAGGAAAGGAAGATGGCCAAGTGTGCCCACAGAGGACAAAATGACATATGAGAATTGAATGAAAAGATATGTCTGAGCTCCTGGAAGCTTCCCGGCTATCCTTTGCGTCGGCCCCCTGGAGGATGGGGTAGGAGGGTAAACGAATCGGAATAGAGACTGCAGAATGGCAATGTAAACGGGGAACAATTGCCATAATGCGATAATATATGGGGTTGGGTTAAACAGCACAATCATCGTCGGGACAACAAGACCGATTATGATTGCTAGGAATGCCCCCTGGACGTGGCGGATGTGGGGTCGGACGGTTGGTTTGCCGTTCACTCGGGCGGTCGTTTTTGCCATTAAAGAAAACAGATAGTAGATGGGTAAGATAAGTCCTCCCGTCTTGAGCTGGTAAGCGATCCCAGTGATGAGGGGGATACCAATAGACAGTAATCCCGAGTATGGAAAGAGCGATGCGCAGTCGATGAGTAGGAAGAAGGCTGGAACAGCGAGGGAGTAAAGTATCTCAAAGGCGAATACTTGTGAAGAAATATCCTGCTCGGGACCACCGGATATTACAGAGTCGAAGAATGTGACGAGTTTACACATGAGGATATCCAAGCCTGTCACGCCCACGTACTTGAATCTGAACGTAGCGTGAACATCGTCCGCTGAGGGGATGGAAATTGGGCAAGCCTTGGACCAAGCTACAGCAGCGATGGGATGAGTCTCCTGACCCCATATGAAGTAGTTCGCCGCAACGATGATGGCAGCAAATACTTGAACTAGGATCACAGTTTTGAAGAATATGTGGAGTGCTGACGTGGGACACTTCAACAAACGGAACCCCTTCACTAGCGGTAGAACATACCCCCCGCCGCCATGACCGAAAATCGAGCTTTTTGGGCTTTCCTTGGTCTCTTCAGAGAAGTGATGGGTGGTTGCAACTGCCTTGCTGCTCTCTTGAGTTCTGACAGGTGAGTGTGATACAATACATCAGCCTCGGACCCGTGGAGAATTCAATTGATTTATCATACATACATACGGCTTTCTCCACTCATTCAATTTCTTGTGCATATACAGCGCTTTGACGCTCATAGCGATATACGTCATTGGCCGTAAGTAATACGGAAACTACACTAAAAATCAACAAGCAGGCTACTAGTAACCTACTCCCTCCTGCAATGGAATCGAGTCAATGAACGTCACGATGAGGGTCCTGTTAGAAATTAGGAATATCGACGTCCCATATTTTGGGTGCACAGACCTGCAGTCGCCAGAGATTTTCCTTTCTTGTCTTTCTTGTAGATCGACGTCGTTGCAGGCTTAAAAGCCACTGGACGCGACCTTTTCTTTGCTTCCCTCAGTTCTACTCTCGTGAACTGAGGTGAGGTCTACCTTTCTTACGCGACTACTCGTTACTGAGAGATCGTGTACTTCACTTAGCGCTTATTGTCCGCTAGTTCTCTCACAGGTCTGGTATTCCTTGTTAGGGGTTCACATAATCCTGTATGTGCGATGCGCATGCCAAGCATGACTCGCCCCTGGAGCGGTGAATGCCTGTGGTTTACCACTGTCATCGGGACCCCTCTGAATATATATTTCGAAAAATTAAAATCTTAAATTTCTTGGAGTATACCTGTTTTGGATTACTCTCTTCCAAAGTCAGTGTGCATTCACAGCGCTTGACTATAGAACACAATTTTTGGACTGTACGACTTATCCAGGACTGAGGTGAGTCTGAGCTTTGTCCTTTTTTCTTATCTTGTACCTATGACTTTGTAACTAACTCTTGTACACCAGAGAGAATGTCGCTAGGTGACTATCTAATATTATTTCTAGTTCACGTACGTACACCGGGACTGAGCAACGTCGCCAGTCCTTATAAAAACCCAGCATGATTCAAGCTGTGCGTATGAGAGCCAGCTCTTGAGCTTGAGCCGGTTTGTTTGTTTGTTTTATTCTGGATATTTAACCAGCTTGAGCCGGTCTGCGAAGTGTGAGAATCCTGCCAACGCATAGCCACCCATCGAGATCGTCGCGATGGTTTCTTTCAATCATTGATCCGCAAAACCCACGAGCTCTGAAGGAGTGAACTGCTGCATGTCGTACAAAACACACGATTTGGTAATCCTTGTCGTTGGAAGCGGAGGGAGAGAGCATGCTCTGGCGTGGCGGATTGCTAAATCCCCTCTCGTCAAGCGTGTTCATGTAGCTCCAGGCAACGGCGGCACTGCCAGTATCGCAGATGGCAGTAAAGTCGTTAACGTTTCCGGGATGAGCACAAGTGATTTCAAGTCGCTTGTCAAATTCGCTGTTGACGAGCACGTCGACCTCGTTGTGCCCGGTCCCGAGCAACCACTCGTCGACGGCATCGAAGAAGCATTTAGGAAGGGTTAGCTTGGTCTTAGCAAGACTCGATGCTATGCGTGCTTAAGTCTTCTCCCTCTTCTGCTCAATATGCGCATCCTCCACCTGCTCAAGATAGTCGGGATCCCGGTTTTTGGACCAACTGCGCACGCCGCGCGCATGGAAGGCTCAAAAGCCTTCGCAAAGGATTTCATGGCTCGCAATGATATACCGACGGCTTCTTACCGCATCTTTGAACCTTCTCAGTATGACGAAGCCTTGAAATATGTCGATCAGCATGGTTTTCAAAACGTTGTTCTCAAGGCCAGCGGCTTGGCTGCAGGGAAGGGTGTACTGCTTCCCGAAACGGCAGGAGATGCCGAACGTGGTCTCCGCGCAATATTACTTGAAAAAGCTTTCGGGGACGCAGGTAACGAGGTAGTTGAAACCTGGATTAATTACGTTCCCACAATCATTTTGTTAGGTTCATCCGTTGTCATCGAAGAGCGGCTTACTGGCCCGGAACTTTCAATATTGGCTTTTTCTGATGGTTATACAATCATTCCCCTCCCTCCTGCACAGGACCATAAACGTATTGGGGAGGGTGATACTGGGTTGAACACAGGAGGGATGGGTGCATATAGTCCTGCCCCTCCAAGCATTGCTAGCCCAGGGACCCTAAAAAGGATACAAAAAGAAGTTCTTCAGCCTACTATAGATGGAATGAGACGAGAAGGTTTGGCCCCTATGAACTAATTCATTTCAGGCAATCTTATGTCCAGCATATTTCATTAGGATTCCCCTTCCTCGGCATGTTATTCACAGGGCTTATGATTACGCCCTCGGGCGATCCCAAGGTTCTCGAGTATAATGTGCGGTTCGGTGATCCTGAAACAGAAGCCCTGCTCCTCTTGCTGGACGACAACACTGATTTAGCAGAAATACTACTTGTTCGTATATGAGAAATATTCTGCTCTCGATTCCTGAACCCTTTCTCCCCCACTAAGGCTTGCGTCCATCGTCGTCTTGACGCCGTAAAAATTTCTTACCGCTCCGGATCCGCTGTGTCAGTGGTCCTAGCGTCCGGCGGTTACCCAGGGTCATTCGAGAAAGGAAAAATAATCACCATCAATGAGGATGAGATCCCAAGAGGTGATTTCCGACAATTCTTGGTACTCCGCAGGTCGCCCTAATCCTCGTTCATGTATATTTTCAGGAGTGCAGATTTTCCATGCCGGCACTGCCCTTAACAAAAAGAAGCAAATCGTCACATCTGGAGGACGCGTCCTCGTTGTTTCGGCATATGCAGAGACTCTCCAGGAAGCGCTTGACCTCGCCTATCGGGGGATTCAGAAGGTGAACTTCGAAGGAATGGTGTATCGACGAGACATTGGACACCGGTTAGTCCCCGATCACAATTAAGTCTATGGCATGGCCACCCAAATCGATAACGGCATTGCCTCCAGAGCCCTCAAGGCACTTCCTTTAGAACAAGGCTTAACTTACGCTTCTGCTGGTGTTTCCATAGCGGCTGGAGATGAGCTCGTGAAGGCAATTAAACCACTTGTACAGTCCACGCGACGCAAAGGTGCCGAAGAAGCAGAAATCGGTGGATTTGGTGGCATCTTTGATCTCAAATCCATCGTGGGGAACGGCCTTGGACAAACGAGGGACCCACTGCTCGTAAGTGGCACTGACGGTGTTGGCACAAAGTTACGTGTCGCCATTGACGCGGGCATACACGACACCGTTGGTGAGTTGTTCAACATTAGGTAGTGACTTTGAGGTCGCTCAATGCCACCTAAATAGGCATCGACCTTGTCGCCATGTCCGTGAATGACCTTTTGGTTCAAGGGGCGGAGCCATTGTTCTTCCTTGATTACTACGGATGCAGCAAACTGGACGTTCCAGTTGCGGTACAAGTTATCAAGGGATAGCAGAAGGCTGTCGACAGTCTGGTTGTGTTTTGAACGGCGGTGAGACGGCGGAAATGCCGGGGATATATAATGAAAGTGCGAGAAGCCTGGTTTTCACTTGATCCCGAATTTTGACCACACGAAACAGATGATTATGATCTTGCTGGCTTCGCCGTTGGCGTGGTTGAGCGCTCTCTTCTCCTCCCAAGGAAGGACATTCAAGCCGGAGATGTACTATTGGGCATTGCATCCTCTGGCCTCCATTCAAACGGTTTCTCCCTCGTACGGAAGATTATTTCCTCAAAAGGGGTTGCCTTTGAGGATCAATGTCCATGGGATCCTTCGACTACCATTGGTCGCTCTCTCCTGATACCGACTCGCATTTATGTCAAGTCCCTTTTACCCGCGGCCAAGGCGGGGCTGTTCAAGGGCATGGCTCACATTACTGGCGGTGGCTTCATCGAAAATATCCCGCGAGTATTCCCAAAGTCCTCTGGCCTTGGCTGCTTCGTCGACGTAAAAACATTCCCTCGACCTCCCGTTTTCTCTTACCTTTCCAAGGTAGGAAAAGTCGAGCATCGTGAGATGGCACGTACCTTCAACAATGGCATCGGGATGGTTATCGTGGTTGATAAGCAAAATGTGGAAAAGGCAAGACAGGCGATCCTCGCCTCGGGTGAAGAAGGAAACGTGTATGTTATCGGTGAGGTCACAGATGATGAAGGCGTTGAATTGCGTGGCCTGGTCGCATGGGACGCGTGACCCTCCCCTTTTGATGTGTTCAAATGGCCAAAATGTACTGTCGTGATTTGTGTGGTCTCATAGTGAGATCACAAGTCCCTTAAAAACAAATATTATTCAGCATTTGATTTTTCTTTTAATCACCGATGTTCAATCCGCGGCTGATAGCCGCCAAATGCGTAACGATTGCGATGATACCACGCAAGTGTTGGTTGCAAACCAGCACACAGGGCTGCGTCGAATATGATTGGAGCGAGCCTACACACAGATCGATGCAAAAGTGCACAGACAAGGGACGAAAGACGAGAGCATTGCGAGAGGAACATGTAAGTGTATCTATACGGATGGTGTGTTGATCTTCGTCATCAGCGGCCGCGAATCCATGTGCCATGCATATCATGAGTCCAGGCGGAGCGGGGGTTGATGCAATGGTAATGATGATGAAAGGATGGGTGTACACATGCACACCATGCATGATAGGAAGGAGAGTTAGGACCAAACAAAAAAGAGAGAGAAAATCTGAATCAAATGCTGGATAATGTTACTTGGATGTCACTAGTTCATAGGTGAAGATAAGAGCACGATCGCAAAAAGACAGATAACCAGTCAATGTGGTGACCTGCGAACAAGGATATAGCAACATCGGACCGATGTCACGTAGATTGAAAATCGGAAAACGAGATGAATAGAACGATCGAAAGCGAAGCCGAGAGGTAGCATAGAGAGATAGAGAGATAAAAGTCAAGATTTGCCAACAATCAGAACGGGAATTGGTTGAACCTACAAAAAAACGAAAGTGATTAAAAAGGAGCCCGTCTAAGGGTGTCAATTCACTTTCGAAGGTGGACGACCACCAGACCTACGACAAAGAGTCCCAGAACAGAAATGAAATGTGTACGCGGCTCAATCAATTCCCGTTTTCGTGCAAGTGCGTGTGGGAAGAGTCGAATGATGGGGAAGAAATGATGAACAGAAAATACGAGACCAAGTGTGAGTGCAAGTTGTTGCAGATGATCGGAAATCACGCGATCATTCCAGGAGGAAAACGAATTGACGGCCTGTTATCGGACACGCAACTTGTCGATATAACCGATCGATTGTGGGACCTCCTGAGGCCCCGATTAATCCATCGATCACCCTAAGCGACAGCAGGAACCATTTCGAGTGAATTCAGGGCCTTGGCAGCACGAGGGGAAGAAGAATTGGAACTTGATCCGTTCACTCCTGCATCCTTTTCGGATGAAGCGACTGAGGAACCTTCCACCTTGGTCACGCCTACGTCAACAGCAGCAGTGACCTCCTTTGCCACCTTGGGGACCGATCTGTGGGATGGTGTACTTTTCAAAATTTGGGCCGCCGTCTTGCCGTTCAGTAATGATTGAACTGAGCTAGCGGGTGAGCGGGTGATTGCCGAAGACCCATTCAGAGAAGGGAAATCGTCTGCATTTGGCACACGCTGAGGAGGTGGCTGAGACTTGGCCGAAGCGTGCGCACTTTTTCCGTTGTGAGAGTTCTTTCCATGATAGCCGTTTGCTAAGCTTAGATTACGTATGTTGGAAGGTAGAGTAGAGAGCTGTTCGGCAATCGTTGCTTTGTCTGGGCGCTGACCGGAGAAGTATTTTACTTCGAAGTCATTAGTCTTCTTTTCATCCGGATTCGCACCGTTCGTACGTCCCCTGTAGCTGCGTAGATAGGGGTAGGAGTGTCGACCAGGATCATCCTCAATATGCTGAAACCGGCAGCTATCGCTACAGTAACCGCAATTTAGTTCATGGGAAATCGACAAGGGGAAAAAAAAATACTAACCCATTGCGGCACTTGCCAGATGGGAAGAACATGCAAGGGAGATTGGTCTTTCGAGGACCTCCGTTGCTGAAGGACGGACGTCCACGACGGAACCCATTAAAAGAGCCTTCTCGTGGGCCATTCTGACTGGGAGGAAATCCTGTCGATTCCCCCGTCTTTCTAAATTCAGTGTCAACGTGAGTAGGCGAAGGAGGCATATGACCATTCGGTTGAGGGACAGGGAGAGGATGATAAGGGTATTGAAATCCACCGTTGGAGTCCTGGCGGTAATGTGTGTTCTGAGTGGGAGATGTGGATGGGCCAGGGTATGGGGCGACGTGTGAAACCTGGGGAGGGTAGGGGCCAGCTAAGTAATAAGCTTGGGGAGGAGGTGGTAACATGTAAGGCCCAGGGGGAGGAGGGGCGGTGAACTGTCCATCTTGTTGGGGAGATGTAGAAGGCGGAGGAGATGCATCTTGTGAATGAGTGGGCTGCTGTTGCACATGTGGTGGTGGTGGGTAATTTGGTGTTGGGTAGAAAGGTGGGGGATAAGGAACGGGTGCCTTGGAGTCATAGGCTGGATATTGCGGAGCAGGCATTCCAGGAAAATAAGGGGTGGGCTGCGGATGCGCAAACGCGCAAGATGCGCCGTAACGACATGCAGGGAAGTATCTGTTGAAAAAAAAAAAGTTTTAGGACTGTTGAGAAATTGCTTGGAGATTTACTAACCGGCATGGGATATTTTTGGTGACTTCTGGGGGTGGCATATTTTGTCCATGGTACGCGCCCGCAGCATGTGGGGGACTGTACTCTCCCTGGATAAGGGGAGGTGGAGGAAGATAGTAAGCGCCCTCAGGCAAGTAGTAGCCTGCATAAGAAGGGTCTTCGCCTCCAGGGGCCCCCATCGGTCGGTAATACACGTGAGGAGGAGGATATTGTTCATCGGCCGAGTATGACGTGGTGTCGCCATTCTGGGCGCCCTCTCCCACAACTCCAGGAACCGGACTAGGAGGAACAGAGTGAGAGGCTCCCCAGGAAGTTCTGGCCCCCGCTAAGATATTCAATATCGTCTCATCGCTGGTGTAAGTCTCCGGCCTTCCGTTGTAAGGGTTTGCACCTGCACATTGAGTCAGAAGACGGACATCAGCGATTGGAAACCATGCCGGACAAATGGCGGAGAACTACGTGGAAACAGGGGTTGGGGGCGTGGCTACGCACCTCCTGAATGCAAAAGTTCCTTCACAACCTCTGTCTGACCGTTTCGAACAGCCTGGATGAGAGGGGTACAACCCGTGTGATCTATACAGACGATCGCGTTGAGACTCGATAATTTTTTTACATGAATCCGAGTGAACACTGAGCACACCTTTGATCTCTACATCAACGTCTGGGGTTTGTTGCTGTTCCTTGTCGGCACACAGAAGTTGCTTAACTTGTTCGAGGTTGCCTTCAGAGGCAGCGTTCCAGATCGCATTCACCATCAGAAGATACGGATGGAATTGGGGGGGGAAGCGCGTTAAAAACGTTTGAGACGATACAACAGAGCAGCGAGAAGGGAAAAGGAAACGGCAACAAGAAGCAAAGGTAGGGAAAGAAAAAAAGTTTCCGGATATACCCAACACATCACATGCATCAACATTCTGATTCTCGTTACTTGCCACTTCAGACCGTGGGTCAACACAGCGTGTGCGTGGAAATTATCCCTCTCCCAGTCCGACCTAGATCCATTATTGCGGCCTTTGGCAAGGCTGCAGAAAAATTCACGCCGCGGTTGCGTTCGCAAGCGATAGCCCCAACTTGTTCATCAACTTTTCCACAGGTCCACCGGCACGGCCAGGCAAGTCCATTTCCTGATTTGCCAGGGGTTGCGACATCAAATTCTGCGCCATATCCGCCAGTGGCACCCCACGGTAGAGTACTTCGTACACAGCGGTGGCAATCTGCGCAAATGCACCGGAAGAAATCGCTTCACATGTCAGAAAAATTTATGGGAACTTGCTGATCAGCAACACTCACGGGTGCGTGCACCCCAAAGTCTTGAACAATCTCGTAAACCGCTTCAGCCGTCGAAACACCTATTCGGATACGCGGCAAATATCGGACGTGTCCGCAACCGGATAAATGCGTAACCGTCGCCAACAGAAGTTCGAGGCACTTACCTTCTGCGACACTACCTAATGTGTTAAGGATGTCTTTTAATGCTTCGCCCTTCCCAAGACGGTAACCAACTGTGTAATTCTACACATTCATCAGCTAACACATTAAGCTACGCGCAAGTAACACGCTTACTCTTGATGTCGGTGAGCTGCATGTCAGGAACAAGTCGCCAACACCTGCAAGGAACGTTGTGCTGTTGACATGAATGAATATCCCAAGAGCTGGGTACGTACCTGCCAATGTTAAGAACGTTAACGGGGATGCTCCATATGCAGCCCCTATCCGTGTCATTTCTGCTAATGAACGCGTTATTAATCCGGCACGGGTATTGTTCTCATACCCAAGACCGGATGCAGCCCCAACAGCTATGATGTTTCAGAGAGCATCGTGAGCTTTGCCAAGGAACAAAATACTTAAAACGTACCCAATGCATACACATTTTTCAAGGCCCCAGCGAGTTGGACGCCTATTGGGTCATTTCCCGCATAACATCTGAACCATGGCTGATGGAACACGGCTGCAGCGCGCTGTGCATGCTGCAGAGACAATGACACAACAGATACATTGGTGGGCTGACGATTGATGACTAATTGATGAATGGATAAATCGTTCTCGGTAGTCGTCCGGATAATACCTACTTTCTGTTGCAAAAGAAGGGCCAGACTATGTAAGGAATTAGTAATTTGGACCCAGCTCCGAGCTACTAAACTCACCAAAAATGTCGCTACTTTAGCGACTTCTGCTCCACAAGTATCCGCGATAATCTCAAGAGTCAGCGCTTTCGTGCCAACTTCAATGCCTTTGTTGACGAAGATGATTAGGGGAAGGCTCGAAGGATCCCATCGATTATTGATCTCTTTCAGAATTGCTCTAAATGTCGTTTCTCAACATCGCTGTTGCAGTTTTATGGTACAAAGCCCTTAATCTCACCGCAAACCAGGTGTAGGTATAGCGAAGAGGATGACATCTGCACTGCTCAGAGTTTCCGAATCAGGGAGCTGCGGTCCAATGGCTTTGATCGATTCTGGGAAGGTATGGCCTTTGAGGTAGTGAGGATGCTATCGACAATGTCCTATGGTGTCAGATAAAGCGATAGGAGTTGATTGTGGTGCGAACCTTGTGAGTCTCGTTGAGGGACTTGACAGCCTCAGCATTGCGACTCCATAACACGACATCGTGTTCAGAGTCGGCTGGCCGTATCGACTCATAAGAGGGCTGGTCGATAGTACGAGCAAGTCGTTTCGATGCATACCAAGATGATCGGCCAAACAGCAACCAAAGTTCCCCGATCCGAGTACAAGTACTCGGCTGCGACTGGGAAGTGGTGCGGCCATTTTCAAGGCTAAATATATTTCTTGTGGTGAACGAGGAGAAACAAGGGGGTGATACGATAAAGAACTAGTTGAGCCAGTGCCACTCAAGCAAGGCAGCGAAGTAGTCACAAGCCTCGCGGGAGACCAGTGAAATGAACAATAACAACTGGATCGCTTATCTCGTGGAACCAGCCGAGTACTAGCCGTCGACGCGTTACAGAGGGCGCTTATCGATAAGTGTCGCGTGAGCGAGGATATGCGAGCTCCAAGGGGAGCACTCAGTGTGGTCATGTGTCACTACTTCTGAATTATCGCCTCAAGCGCGAAGATGAGTCACTCTAGAGTGCACTCCATCTTGACCTCAATCTGGCTGTCGAACCCGGGCTTGCGTTGGGTGCAATGGTCTGAAAATTTTTCTGGAATTGTCAAGGCAATTCTTGGCATGTTTACGCGCCAAACCTCAAGTGCCGATGGCAGCAGGCAGCAGTCAGCAGACGCGTTCTGTCCCTATAGAGGTGTCAGGGTCATTTTCCCTAGGAAGCTAGGGATCCCTCGCTCTACTGCAATACTCTGAATTTACGTGTCATTCAAAGTTTCGTCTGGTCGTGGTGTGCACAAACGGACTTTCTCTCAATCTAAAAATCTCAATACTCTGGGTGCATGATATCCTACTTCCTGTGCGTAAAATACCACCTCCAAGTGCAAAGGTTTGCGGTGCGTGTGTGTGCGCGCGCCCGCAACCGAAATGAAGCTTCACAAGTCGACAGGACGCTAGACAAGACGACGAGACGCCAGCCCATCAGATGGTGGGTCCCTTGGCCCCAGACCATTGCATAGTAGCCGCGCGTCCCTGGTCTGCTCGGCTAATGGATGGTTTCGGCTGGTCAAATTCTCGTATGCACGTCTATCACTACATTGGTGATTGGCGCTTGCCCTCACGAAGCCGAGATCACTGGACCTCTATCATGAGTACCCAAACGCTGAGGAATGGCGGCCTCATCCTCAGGTCATCAAGACCAAATCACTTTCAGACCTCCCGATATCCAGAACCTCCCTTACTGGGGCGGATACGTCGATTTTGTTGGCAATGCACGAAATAATTACATACGCGGAGTCACTGCACATTTGAAGTGAAACCTCCCGAGCGATCGTCACGTACGATGTTCTCAGACTCCCCTCCAGCATAAATGACCTTACGGCTGCCACAGCCGACAACGTTCACTTCAGCGATTCGGTAAAACTTACATTCGGTTTATTCTCAATTTCCACTCGATAAAGCCCCCAACGATATAGGGCCGTGGGCTGCCTGGTCGAGACGAACCCAATCCCATTGTTTTTGTCCAGTAAGTAGAACGAAATTCAGAGCTCCTGAGTTCGTGCAAGCCCATTCCGGTCCTACTGGCGGCCTCGCGTTTCGTGGTCCCTCCGAAGATAAAACGCATGCCAACGGCCCTTTCGCTATAAAGAAGGGATCACAATGTTTCATACAGCATAATACAATGAGAGCCCTATGGACTTGTTCTGTAATTTTTTTGTTATCCTTTTTGTAAAGATGTCCAACAAGAACTGTATTGTGTTTCAAAAAGGGAATTTTCTTCACTCTATTGTGTATAGCCACAATGCCTTTATCAGGGTCGGTTTCTCCATGGGAACCATCAGCGTGGGAACGGGAAAGTTCTTCGGCCTTGAGGCTTCCTCAAGGTTGTTGAACGTCCGAGAGGACAAAAACCGCTGTAAGTTCCGTTTCTCCCTCAAGCCCGCTTCTTAAACCCCCCCCACTCAGCTCCTCCTGCTAGTTCTTTATCGACTAGCATTGAAAAAACCCTCCAATAATTCACACTGGCATCCATTCGCCTGGCCAAACAATCCGCACGTTCCTCTGCGCCACCTCCAGTCGCCGTCTCAAGCTCGACGTCTACGAGCACTATTCGCAGTCCGACTTCTATTACCAGAGATCCAGCAGCAAGATCAACATCAACGATGGCTGATCCAGTTTCTTCCTCTCGCCACCGTGCCTCAACCTCTTCCTCTCGACACGGTCGAACCATAAGGTGAGTCATTCAAAAACACTCCCCCAAACTAGCAAATTTTGACATATTTTTTCGTTACCACAGTTCGACGACTCTGCTGCTGATTCTTTCCCTAGTTCTCGCGGTGTTAGCCGTGCTTCTCTCTTTGCCTTCGAGGCAACCCGCGCCATTTGTTGCTCCTCCTCCCGCTGCGTCCCCAACAGAATTGGCGGGTGGCAAACGGGCAAAAGAGCTCGCGACCCGCGAGTCGGAAGTTGCTCACCGTGAGTTTGAAGTCGCTCGACGAGAGGCAGAACTTCTTGGGGGATCCCCCGGTGGGATTACCATCCCGACTTGTTCAGCGTGCCCTGCTCCATCTACCGCTATCGTCACCGTCACTGCACATGTGCTTGAGACAAGCATTGTCCAGCAGCTGCCTGTCACTGCCACGGTCACTTCCACAGTCACTCAAGTCCAGGAAGTTGTTCGCGAGGTTGAGTCTGTTGCGATCGGAGCCGGCCCTGACCAGCGAGTAGAGGACTTGCATATTCGTGAGCACCGCGTCTCTGAGCGCGAAAAAGACGTTGGACATCGAGAGGAACTTGTTGGACGACGTGAGATCGATGTTTCCCGACGAGAGAACTGGGTTATGGAACAGTTGGTGTGAGCATGATACCTATTATTTTAATTTCCTTTTTTGACAACTATCATCCTTGCAGTGGCCTCGAGGACAAGGGTCCAATCATCGAAGAGGAAGTGGTTTATGAGGAGCCACCTCGTCGTAAAGTCAAGGTACCCCCTCCTTTCCCTCAAATCTGATTCGATTCACTTGTTGGTAGGGAGGGGAGTCAATGAGGAGTGGTGTTTTTGAACATTGAAGACGGACGAACAGCATGCATTTTCCCACATCCAACACATATTTCTTTCTCATCGCCAGTATCACTACTTCGCTTCGAATCAGCGTCTGCATTTCCTGTTCGTACACCTTCCTCGTTCGTCGCCCTCCCCGAACCAACAAGTTTCTCGTCTTTCTTTCTCTTTAAACAAGCGCACTGATTTTGCATGGCATCTGGATCTAGGAACTACCCCTTGCGCCGACACAGCCACCCCCACCTCCGGAGCCTGTCACAATTGTAGAGACAGTAACGTCAATCTCCACGGCCGTTTCCACCTCCATTGCTCGTATCACGGTAACCGTCCCTGAACCTGCTTCGATCCGCGTCGCCGCCTCTCCTGCACCTGCAGATTCATCTCGTTCCAGTAGAGCCCCAGCACCTGGTCGTACGCCTCTCTACAAGCCAAATGAGCCTATTGTGGAGGAAGTCGTGGAGGAAGTTCCAGTTCAACCACCACCAGCACCCCCAGTGCGGACTCCACGTGTGGTCGAGGTGTACGAGGATATTGAGGAGCCCGAAGAGATCCGGACGGTTACCGTGCGACGGCCCGCACCTACTCCCCCGCGTGCCCCGCAGCCTGCTCGTTCTGCTCCCAGGAGATGGTTTGGAGGTGGATGGTAGATGAAATGAACTAGACAGTATTGATAGATGTTATGTCTTATCTTCTCCTCGTGCCTGCAGGCCTCGTTCGAGGGAGACTCTGCTGTCTTCGTTTTTTTAGCGTTCCAAGTATTTTGGTTGTGTTTACCCCTTATCTTCGGACCTCCTTAACGACCTCCATCACGATCTTGCACTACTTCCCCTTACGGATTCACGACTCCTTTCCCCCTCATGTATGTTGCGTTAGGTAGTTAGTTGGTCATCTGCACATTGAACACAGATAATTTGTTACCGAAAGACAACAATACCAGAATTGGAAGCCACCAGCGGCCGAAATTTGAATGATTGGACCGGTTATCGCAAACACGCGGTCAGTACGGTCGGAGCACAGGCAGGTAGGGCTGTGCTCAATCATATACTTATTCCATCACGGCAAGTCCACTCAACTACACATGTAAGCGCGGGTGCGAGTCGCAATTCAGATTGCATTGTATGGGAAAAGGTGCGCGCCAATCTACCGCGCTGCGCAAGGGTAAATGGGGAGAAGCCTGGGCTTGTCCCAAGAGGTCTACTGTTTAAGCAAGTCAGTGCTAATTAACGAAGCTTCTCATTATGTCAAGGCTGTGTCATGCTCGCATCAACCACCGCCGCTCGACAGGTACATTCCTGGAGAACTACGGAGATGCAACGGGAATCCTCATGATAATTCACGGAAAATAGGGGGGGTGATCCGACTAAGGATTGTATCGTTACTCTCTGATAATTTCCGCCATGACATATCTAAAGCGCCCATACCAACTTGAGGCAAAATTCACATTCCGCGCGCCAATTTGACTGTCAGAAGAAGCCTTGCTTCGAGTCATGCGCAATTGCAAGAAGCGATGGATCTTGTTCTTACCGCGCGTCTTATGTAAAATGATTGCCGCGCGGGCAACGAGTTTCTTGTTGTCCTGGCAGTCATATAGGACGGCTAGAATCCCATCTTCCGGAATGGTTGGTGTCTGCCAAACCTCCAATTCCTTCACAGTGCCACCCTAGTATCTTAGAAAATGGCACCGACTATCCCTGGTATCGAGAAAATAAAGGGAAGAACCAGACATGGGTGCCTCACTTGTCGAATTCGCCACAAGGTGAATAAATGGACAAAATGCATCAAACGCACTAGCTGAGCCATGTTATAGCACTGCGTGCAGAATGAGGGCGAGGAGCCTTGCCTTGACTGCAAAAAGCTCCGTCTTGAATGCTTGGCAGGTTATGGCCTGAGTCGCCCCCAGTGGTTGAAAGTCCGTGTTGTTCATCCATCCGTCGTTGCGAGTTACAGAGATTGACAATTTTCGCGGGTTCCTAGGATAACGACCCTAGAAAGACTAAGGTCACCAAAGCGATTAAATTATGGACAAAGAAAAGAGCCCGCGAGATTAATGAGAATGAAATATTGATGATATCTCCCTATGCATCTGAGGAGGGTGATGAAACCAATCACATTCCAGAATGATTGAAGAGCATCTTTCCAGGTGTTTCCAACGGACTGGGACAATTGATGAAGCCTCATGATGTACAATATTATCACTTCCTATTATCGCCTACGTCCATAGCAGTGAATGCCATTGTAATTGCTGATACGTATAAGGGACACGAGAGGCCAAATCCCGTAGCGCTCGTTAATGAAGGTGAGTACAGTTGGAATCTCGACGTGAATTACCCCAGATTTTTTTCGTCCAACTGAGCTTGGATGGTTTCTCTTTACTGCCCCCAAGATCAGCCATCAGCCTTCGCTTGCTGGCTGCCGCGATTGCAGCTATCTCTTCGATGTTCTGGGTGTCCGGGAAGCTTGGGATTCGATCAGTGGATGGCGAGTAGAAATACGTCCCAGGCGATCGGCTGCTGCTATGGGGATGTTTTCTCGTTGGCGAGCGCTGTAACATGGTCATGCGGTCTGAGTGGGAGTTCGTGGTGTGCGTTGGGCGTGTGACCTCGAGGGAACTGCATGACGGGCTGTGATTTGGTGAGCCATGGATATCCCTCGAACAGGGGGAATGGAGGGTTAAACCATCCCGCAAGTTGGGAGGAAGCTTTGGAAGTGGCTTTTGCAGAGGACGTGTCCCACGCCACGCGAACGGGTCAGAATCAGCGCAGAAATCGTTAGAACGTCGATCGATTGAGGTGGTGTTCGTCGAGCCCGGAGTGGAAGGAGCGGACATAAGGCCATTGCTACGACCTTTACGAATAGATAACTTAGCGCTGATGGCACTAATGACACTTGTAATACTGCCAAGACTGGAAGTGCGACGCCTGTGATTGTGCGTGGATGAATTGGGAGGCTTCGGAGAGGAAAACTCATCAGATGCAGCATTGAAACCGGGAGGCGGGGTGCGCCTGCGTAGTGACCTTTCACGGAGCAGGTCACTTGTGGTTTTCACTGTGCCTGACACCGGCGGATAGCGCCGGTTGAGTGTCGAAGCGCTCCTAGAGGCATGAACTTCACGCCGATGGTTGGGGGTCGACGGCACTTCAGCATTCCAGTGCGATTGGGTGGGGGCGTCATGTCTACCTAGCCTCGGGGCATGATCATTGTTAGAATAGGGCGTGTCTGTCATGGACCTTGATCGCCGACGACTACTCTTGACGTCGCAGAGGCCCTGCGTGGGGGCCGGGACCTGCTATGGAGAAGCTTCAAGCTTATGTATGGCAAATCATCGATGCTGTCGTCGTACCACTGCTGGCTGCTGACGAAGACCAATCATGCAATTTCCAGTAATTCCGTTTCGTCGATGCGAGTCGGCAGAGTGTTGAGAGACATCGCTAACTTGCCACTCTGTGGCATTGAAGAACGGTGGAGTACGACGCATGCGTCGCGGAGTGTCATCCAAACGCTCCAGAAAGCGAGACATTTCACTGGTTGAAGAGGCTAGGTATGAGGCATAGCTAGTGGCCAGCACTTGAACCCTCTCCACAACAAAAGGTTCGCCACTTGCCCCGGGCGACCGTCGCCACTCGCTTACGCGAAATCGATCACCTAAGCCAGGTTCGAAATATTGAGACAAACAACAGCCGTGATCACGTTTCTCTGAAGTTGACAATAGCTTCAGACTTGTGGATGGCATGCCTATCCACAGTATCTCCAGGAGGATTGGCGGACGTTAACTCAACGACTGTCCCAGCTTGGCCTAGGAGCAAGTTCCCCGAGAAACGGGAGTAAGAACCTTGCCACGACCTCACAGCTTAACTTGATAGATCGAGTCATGCTATGAGCCTATGACTGATCAATTATTCTCCGCGTGACCCGGCTAAAGCATGGGGAGCTATTCCCCACCACTTTAATTAGGAGTCCTAGACCGCAAGAGAGAGGGGTGGCAGAGCCTATGACTCGTCTGTTGATTGATCTGATTTGGATTTTGGATTCACGTGAGTGTGGGACCTGAAAGAAGCGTGCCTTGGTAATTACAGTGAAGTTGGAGTGAAGATGCTAAAACCAACCCAAATAGTATAAGACGAAATGGAGGACTAGCGATGTTGTCGCTCAGTCCTGAACTAGAAATATATTGGAATAATCACCTAGCGATGTTGTCGCTGGTGTACAAGTACTCAATACATGATTTGTGGATAAAAAACAAATCAACGACTCACCTCAGTCCCGTTGTACGTGAACTGAGGAAAGGTTGGGTTGTACAAGAAATGGGTTTTTATAGTTAGGCGCTATGAATGCGCACTGACTTTGGCACGGATGTCACCAAGAAAGGTAATAGGTGAAAATCTAAGACGCCACATCACCAAACGTGAGTTGGTCATAGCGTACACCATAGTACCAAGAATTCTAACAAATAGATGGATGGGTGAAAGTCCATGCCATGATTGGTCTCACCTTCCCAACTTCGGACACCTCTCGCCTCCATCTAGCCTCTACTAAAGCCTCCATCTTGATCGTTGAGTTGAGGCATTTGAGGGTAGGGATGTGGGAGTTGACGATAGGGCCGGCACTTAGGCTGAGGGTTCTCCGCACTCCGGCTTCATTAAACGAAGATGTCGTCTCCAAGATCGGCTCGGACAATCTGGCTGCTGTCGCCTTTTATATTGCTTGCCTCACCTGCCCTCCATCTTGACCTTCACCATGATTCGATGCGGGACTGCGTGGAGGGAACGTGGAAAAGTTCAATATTCCTCCTGCACGATTCCGGGCGTGTTGCCAAACCTTGTCACATCTCATTCCCCAGTTTCTTCTGGCGGAGATCAATCAATTCCTTGTAATGCAGCATACCCGCGATGTATGTAACACCCTCTCAGCCTCGAATATCCTTTCTGGGAGAGGACGTTTCCCTGTTCCTTCCACATTATCATTGGAGAAGTTCTGGATTCGAACCCGACCGCACAAATTTCCATCTACTCGACGAGCGCCACCTTCCTCATGCTTCTATGCTGGCTCGCGACGCGGGCGTGCGGGAACTGCCACTCATTGGTTTTCCGTATCACGAATTGGGTAACTTTGCTTGTCACACCTTCCCTGGTATTCGTGTGAGCTCTAAAGTGACACTATAAGTATATACCCTGGTGAAGCGCTTTGAAGACACCTCATTCAGGCTGCTCATCATCGCCAAGGGCGGAATTAATTACTTTCGAATAACAAATTATGCTACCGGCTTGACGCGCAAATCAAGCAATACTAGCTCAATGTCGCGGCATGCAAATCATCGCTCGGCCAACCTTTTGCTCAGGCGAGTCTACTCAAACCCATTGGTGGCGCATAGTATTGGCTGTCGTCTCACCCCGCATCGCTCGTCCCCGCGCGCGCTCGCTACATGAACCCTATGCTGTTCATAACTTCCTGGCCGAGCGTCTTTCACTTTTGCATGGCCTTTTATTGCGGTATCATTCACGTGTCAGTGTGGGCCCCTCTGAGTTCTTTCGTGTCGCTCGCAGCGGCAGCACATCGCTTCTGACTGGACGCCCCCTTGGATGGCGGCCAACATAGCTACTTCAACCCATGCCAACGGTAACCCGCGCATCTGGGTGCGCGGTTCACGCCATCATTGACAATGCATCGTTCGAAACTGAACCCAGTTACGTTGCGGGACCCTTCGACAGATGACCCTTCCTGACTCCAGAATTGGAGTTTGCAAGCGCTTCAGTCTCGTGCCGCATTTTACTAACCCTTTCAACCCCACCTCGTCTTTGCCGCTGCATTGCTATGTCACCAGCGCATGTGCGGAGGCATCGACCTAACTGTACCCCTATGTGACACGTTCCGCCGTGCTGCGCCCGCGGTGAATTCCGTTCGTGAACATGAGCAGGATTTCCTACCTGATTTCTTTAGTGACTCCATTTGATCCAATTCAAGGGGCCCAGCAACGTGCGTATACACTCACTTCACAAAAGGCCTCAAGCGTGCCCCTCCACGTTGTTAGTCTCCCAGAAAGGCATTAATATTACACGCAACACACCAATCAAAGCTGGGCCCTGGCTTGGACGCCATCGGCGAGCAACACTTGAATACATCAGCCAACTCGCGGGAAAAGACAACTGGGCATGTTTGTCACTCTACTGCTCGCAAGACGCACGGATTTCCCTTGGACGTAATCGTCGTCCGTCGTGAAGCGCATCCCCGCCTGGCTATTCGCTTCCTCACTGCGCCACGACTCAACCTTTCCAATTAGACAGTAGCATGATGTAGCCCAGTTTCTGGTAACTCCCCGTGTACCGCGAATCCCCATATTTCCCTGGACCGACTGCTGGAATCCGAGGGGATCCGAAATTCTGCGAAATGTTCAAACCTGGATACACTGCTCTAGTTGCTCCTTGAGGATTCTAACATGGCGAAGCTTAACCGAGGCCACCAATACCATATGTGCCAAAGAGCTTAGCACGGCAGTTGCGGTCCTAAAACTTGAACGGGGTTCGGGGTGTGCCCAACAACTTCTCCGTTGTCACATCTTTAGTCGTTAGCGCAATCGCATTGCTGAACAGTTTAAATCATAGGAACGCAGCAGTTGGACTTCAATCGCCTTCGAATATGCCCTCGACCGTGTGCTCGGTATGAGCTTAATGTAGTAGCGAGAACACCGAGAAATGCCTGGCGAACAATTCGGGGCAGTCAATGAAAATTAGTGGATTTAGGCGCACAGTCTGATCCTAACCCCAAACTCTGAGTCTCAGCACGAGCACAAACCAGCTAATGATCCTGACAGCGTAATGGGATTGGCTTATAGTGATTGTTCCGTTCACCTGCCCCTCATGACATCGGAAATGTTCGGTTATGAATTGCTGAGCGGAGGTCCCACAACTGTATACAATTGTGCTATTAACGCACAGATCTTACATTAAACTTGTATATATAGCTCAGTTCCGCGCGTACTTTACCCTTTTCTTCAGACCACACTCACGCAGGATACATTCACAGTTGATTGCAAAAAAGTTGGTCGAGGACTGTAATTATCCTCATCTACAAACACCAATCGATGAAATTAGCTTCACTGCCTTTATCCGAGAACATGCTCGTTACCTTCTCGTGGTGGAGTAGGTGAGCTCGATGACAGATCCGTTCTGGACTTTTCCCTTCGGGTTAAGCCCATTACCGGGGACAGTTGAGGTGCTTCTGATGGTGTTTGTTTTCTTATTTCTTTCCCTACTCCTTTGGTCTCTTGCAGACTCGTACCCAGTCGTCGTCGCTCCGTGGACGCGCACTGCGCACACGCAATTTCAAGTTGGGTTTATATTAAAAGTCACAGTCACCTTTACATGATGCATGAGTAGTCATCTTTTGTATTGAACCCTTAAAGTCACATGTGCCGGAAATAGAGTTAAACCCGATCACCTACTCCGAAAACCAGCGCGCGACACTTCGCTCCAACGACTGGCACAAAAGTTGGGTGGCGGTGTTTTCCGGCAGCATCATTGTTGAGTCCACACAACTTGTGCGCAACAGATTAGGTTGTAGTCCGGTGCATTTTTAGTGTCAACTCACATAAGATTTGTACCTGACCCACCCCAAAGGGTATGAAGGGCTGCGGAGTCAATAACCTGAGCATGCAGAGAATCTAAGCCTTATATATTACTTTGAGAGTAATACTGTGTTGGTGTGAGTTAGTGCAGGTGGTATAGCGTTCGCTGAGGCTATGCACTTTTTTTGCTTGCTCGGGTTCGACTCCCACCTGGTAACTTCCTTTTTTCATTCATTCCTCACTTCTTGGTGATGTATACGGAAATTTGTCGCATGTATGAAAGGGGTGATGCATGAAAAAAAGAAGGTTACCAGGTGGGAGTCGAACCCGAGCAAGCAAAAAAAGTGCATAGCCTCAGCGAACGCTATACCACCTGCACTAACTCGCACCAACACAGTATTACTCTCAAAGTAATATATAAGGCTTAGATTCTCTGCATGCTCAGGTTATTGACTCCGCAGCCCTTCATACCCTTTGGGGTGGGTCAGGTACAAATCTTATGTGAGTTGACACTAAAAATGCACCGGACTACAACCTAATCTGTTGCGCACAAGTTGTGTGGACTCAACAATTCAGTCCCGGATGCTGCCGGAAAACACCGCCACCCAACTTTTGTGCCAGTCGTTGGAGCGAAGTGTCGCGCGCTGGTTTTCGGAGTAGGTGATCGGGTTTAACTCTATTTCCGGCACATGTGACTTTAAGGGTTCAATACAAAAGATGACTACTCATGCATCATGTAAAGGTGACTGTGACTTTTAATATAAACCCAACTTGAAATTGCGTGTGCGCAGTGCGCGTCCACGGAGCGACGACGACTGGGTACGAGTCTGGGTCTCTTGCGTGTATATATATATATATACCCATGTCTATGGTAGAATGTACTTCGGCGATTTTGTGTATGTTGTGTCCGGGCTTTGTGCTTGCTGTGACCTTGTTGGCAGTTGAACCTGTCCTGCTTCGATCTTGTGGAACCTAAGTATGTTTAGCATTCTTCCACGAGATGTCCAGGCTAGGTCTGTGCTGAACATTGCCTGAAGATGTTATTCTCATGCTTTCAATGCTCATGATTTGTACATCGACTGGGGTGGGCAGTTCCGTCCTCCGCCAAATAATTTCTCTGAGTGGGATAGGCTCAAGGCCAGAATGGTTATGGAGGTAATGGAATCACGAAGGTAGCTTGACAGGTTGAGCCGGGATTATCGAGCTAAATCCCTTGATCTCAATAACGATATTGTGACCTGCGCGACGCTATCCCAATATGGTCGTTATGTCTCACCAGGCTTCACAACAGGCATCGCCCAAGTTGACCACCGGTGCACAGTCATCACCTGGTTCCCATGGAGGCCACCTAATCCTCCGTCTTGGCGTCCATCGATGGTCTCCACCGAATCAGACAACACCGGACGCATAGCTTGCGGCCTATGATGCCTGCTGAGGGTTGTCCCCATAAATGTAGCGGCTATGCATGTTCAGCTGAACGGTGTACTTCCCCTTTACGAAGGACTGGGATATTGCCAACTATGGTTGCGCAGACGGTATTTTTCCTTGTCGGCTGAGGCTGGCACGTGTCATGTATTCTGATGTTATGCGAGTGGCGCATCGCTATCGTTGCCCAACACGATCACAAGCCATCTCGGCTGCCTGATTAGTGACAAAGTGTCTATGGTTAGACGCTCCTAAAAAGGAATTAAGAGCAATTGAATTGCGCGCTACATGCTTAGTCTTGCCGCACACTGCCCCCATCGGTTAGCGCTGGAGCTCCTAACAGTAACTCCACAGGACGACAATTGTGGGTCCCTGAATGGCCAAGGGCTCCTACTGTGTGTCCGTGCGCTGATAATTTTGATTAGTGCTTCTGATCTGTCACTTGGAGGTATGGGTATCCATGGCCAGTTTTCTCGGGCAGTGGAGGGTGAGGGGCCAGTCGGAACTCATGTTACTCTTAATGCGACCACTTCAAGCAGTCAGAATTGCGGTGAAGCCGCTCGCATTGGGAGTACCTGCAATGCTCGCGCCGACAACACTGGTGGTTAGTAACACAGAATGGAATTCTGATTCCGCGTATTCAAGTGCGATAACCGCGCCAGAATCAATCTCTATTCTATCCCGGCCCGATGACCACACTGGCTCTCCCCATGGCGCGAGTGCCGCCTCCACTTCTAGCTCGGCGTCATCGAACCCTCTAACCATCGAGCTTTCATCATTTCCGGAGCCGGGCTCGGTGGAGGATTTCCTTTTTGAAGTAAGAAGAGACCTTATAGCCTTCGAACCTTAACTCACTTGCCTGTAATAGCTTGATCGGGGCATTGAACCTTCGCTCAATGATGCATCCTCCAGGCCACCATCACTTGTTCGATTTCACAACCCATTGGCACGCCAATCGGCTACCACCATACTATCAACTGCTTCACTCACTACTTTTTTGTCCTTTCGTTCATCTTGGTTGCGTAGTCGCTCAGCGACCCTTGCGGCGATGGATTCATTCTACCCCGGGTCCCTCCCGTACAGGACCTTTACGGTTCAGGCATTTTGTGAAAGTTTGCGCAAGAGTCCTCTTGCTGCCGATGCTAAGATCATATCGGTTCAGCGTTATGGCGATTGTTATGGGATACCACACCGATTCCTTATCTTTCATGTTGATCGGACCGGCAGGAAGGCCTTCTACCTTCGATTAGATCGCAAACGGGACCATACTAGCTCATCGTGGAAATTCTGGCGGCGGGATTCTGAGACCTCCGATGCAAGTGATACGGTATATCATAGCTTTTCAATTGCTTGCGCTGGGCTAGAACACGGTCTTTGACAGGCTGCTATCTCCGGTCGAGTTGACCACCTTCTAGATTATACGAATAAGAAAGCCGGAGCAGAGGCCGTCATCATCTTCCCGACTCCAGCGCCTCTTATTGCAGCAGCGCAAATTCTGGATGCTGTTACAGCAGAGTCTCCCAGGTTTAAGCTAACTAAGGTACGCTCTAAACGTTGACCACTTGCACCATCATCAGCTAACCCGCATATACATAGGGCAACTGCTGGTTTTTTAGTTCTACTATTCAGGAGATGTTAACGCTGAAGTTTGGTGGCCAGTACGGGATTGGATCCCTTAACCACCCAAAAATTGGAGCCGAGTGCCGAGGCCGCATTAAGCTTCGGGTGAACTCCCGCATTGTAGGCGAAATGGTATCTACTAGTCAGGACGTTGCTGTGAGGGCAAATACCCCTGACAGTGAGGTAACCGTGAGGAAGACGGTTTCTTTGGTTCCCGAGACCTCGTCCGCGCAAGGCAGTATGCAAACTGTTCGTGATGCTGCGGTAAGGGGCGACTTATTCCATTTGGTTAGACTGATTTGTTAATCTGCTTGATACACCCCATGCACTTTGAATTGCACTTCAACTACGGAACTTTTGCTCTTGGGTTCTCAGAGTTCATTCAATGCGACGGCAAGAATGGATGCGACGACTGCTCATGACATGCTCTGCGCAGAGTTTGCAAAGGCACAATCATCGAATCTTGATGGCAACATCGATTATGATCTTAGGCGGCGTAAGGGCCGAGGCGCCTTTGGGGACGTCTACAAGGGAAAATATGTACGGTACTTTGTCGTTTCATTAGGATATTTCTGACCTGAGAACTTTAATGCATGCAGGCTGCTAGTTTCGTGTGTGTGAAAGTGCTCAGCACAAGAGTAACCGCTCTGGAGCCAGAACGATGGAAAAAGTTCCTTAGAGTAAGCCCCAAGACCGTTTTCACTTTCTCATCAAGCGGTTAATTCATTGTTTTTGGGCAGGTTCTCCCTCGTGAAGTGAAGATATGGCACGGTTTGGATCATCAAAATGTCGTAAAATTTATCGGTTGGACCTCGAGGGTCTGTGAAGATACATTGACAGTGTGCTTGGTATCGGCTTGGTGTGATGGTGGGAATGTCAAGGAATACCTTAGGAACCACGAGGGGGCGAATCGACGAAGATTGGTGAGTTCGGACGTATTTAGGCTATTATGCCTTATAATCACCTGAGAGCCTTGACCTAAGGTTTGCGATGTTGGTCGGGGATTAGTCTACCTGCATTTCAAGCACATCATCCATGGTGATATTAAACCTGTACGTTGTTTTCTATTCAATCCATTTTCCTCTCGTCACCCTGACCTGTCCCTGTGATCACAGGAAAATATCGTTGTCTCGTATGCGGCAGGGGGCGGTGTCGTCGCGCTGCTGTGTGATTTCGGATTATCCTCCATCCTCAGCGATATAACAACACATCCGCACATATCAAGCATTACTGGCACGCTCCGATATGCACCACCCGAATTATTCAGCGTCACTTCGATGCAACGAAATGAGGCCAGCGATATCTGGGCCTTTGGGTGTACGGCGACCGAGGTAGGCCCTCCACTTGTTGACCCCAAACAATTCCACTTACCCAAACACAGATCCTCACCGACCAACTCCCTTATAACCGGGTAAAGCATGATATTCAAATACCTTTAGTTGTTGGTACGCAGCCACCGTACGACAAGATGGGCCAGGATGCTTTTGGGGTGCACCTCTCCTCATGTTTTCAGCACAAACCAACGAAACGACCGAGTATCATTGAACTCACTAGTCGCCTAGAGCAAGTATTTCCCTTGAACTACTGCCGAGTCATGGCGTTGATCGTTTGTGGAAACAGGCAGGCGTTAGGCTGTTGATCTCGAGTCCGGGCGATCCGTTCTCTTACAATTGCCGTCAAGTCCAAGTTCGGAGGTGCTCTCTGATACACAAAATTGACGGGCTATTTGAATAGCAGTTAACATCCCTCGCTCAACAAAGGCATTCTGTGCGGCCGAGTCGTGACTCGTCACCGCAACGGAGCAAAGTCACGACTGCACTCCGGAATAGCCATATCGTATCAGCCGCTAGTATTCACTGTGTGGGGTTCGCAATATGCACGGAGGGATACCGTCAGCACGAAATCTGCATGCGCAAATGTGAAACGAAGGTCGTGGAAGAGCTCAAGTGTGGAGGATAGATCAACTAAGCAGTCGATTTTGCGGCGTCCCTTTATGCGCCTCAACAAAGCCAGTAACTACGAGTCCACGTAGGTGGATAGAGTGCCAGCCTCGATTTGCCTATTACAACGGTCCAGCACGATCATTCATGAGAAATCTCGGACAGTCTGTGTACCTCATGATCTTTTCCAACTTAATATTATGTGCTTGGTTGCAGGATCAGGGCATTCCCTCAATTGAGGAACCTCCGAAGTGCTTCCTTAAGTAAAGATAGTAACGAAGCCAACTCTCCCGCACCAGTGAAGCCAATTGAGCGACAGGCGAAACTACCCCCCTCCAACCTCCAACACCACCTCTGAACGCTGCGCTGGATTGGGGATATATGTGTGTCATGGTCGATCCCTCCCTCCAAGGCAGTGTTCAAGTTCCCGTCGCGTCGCCCGGCTCACACGGCGCCGGTGCACAACCCAGTCACTACCAACGGCAGGGAGCATCACAGACGACCACGTCACCCCCCACGGGCACCGGGCAACGACTAGAAAAGCTTGAAAGTGATGCAGACGCGACTTCAACCCTGATCAACTATGCTTCACTCAATATGTCAACGAGCAGGAGTATTGCCGCTCGGACGAGGTGTCACATAATAAGGGGCTTCATGGACCTGGTGTCAACACTCCCCCTGAAATTGTGGTGTGCAATGCAACGTAAACTTAGGAATTTTTCTCGCAAATTTTTGGCATCCGCGCAAACCTTAGTGATTTCTCCTTTCTTTGTTAACAACGTAAAGTTGAAATCCATGTTTAGTCTACAGGGTACCCTGAATCTCTAAACCGCCCTTCCGCATCCTGAGATGTTATGGTACTGTAGACATCACACAAATGTGGCCGTGTCGTCCTCAGTATTCATGACTTCCCGCATCCATGTCCCATGGCGACGCAAAAGATGTTTAAATCCGGAGAATGACTCCTCGATTGGGTTGTAGTCGGGAGAGTACAATATGCATGTCACCCATAAATGTTTGAGAATAAAACGACCAGCATACTGTCTCTCAACCATACGCGTGATGGAGGGGTGCTTGTGAATTGGGCAATTGTCCATCACAACAACAAAGTTCTTGAGTGGGAATGGGTTCATTTCTCCTAATAATTTTCAAATGAAGCGACGAAACAGTCACATATCATAAGAACCATTTCACGCTTCAACGTAGAGTGGGCCATCCAATGATAGCCCAGGAAGTATAGAGAATCTATGGAAGGAGAAAGACTCAAGCATTAATTCCTCAGCGATCCAGAATAACATGTGCCCACCTTTTGCGTTTTAAGCGGCTTGAACGAACAGTGGCCTCCCGCGCCCATCCTCTGATCCGAAGTGTGGCACGCTTGTCAACAGCTGTCTCATTCACGAAGACCAGCTGGTTGGGAAGATAGTTGTCAACGACATTTTTCCGCCATTTCGCACGCTTCCCCTCAATGCGTTCCCGAGCTTTGCATTGCAACTCGACGTTGGATGAGTTAGATTGTAATACATAAATAAGAGTTTGTTGGTTATATGTACCTTCTTCATGGCATATCCCTCACTGTGCAACGTCCTCCATATACATGACTGGGAGACAATTGTGCCACGCTGTTCAATAAGCCTTCGCTAGAGCTCATCTAAGAATAAGAACGTCGGGCTGTGCATCCAATAAACCGATAAGAAACTATATAATTTGATGTCAAAATCATCAAGGTTGAACAAGAATATGGATCACCTGCGTATCTTCTGCACTGAGCCTTCGTGGACGGCCTCCGGCTTTGGGTGATGGCAGATCAAATTGGCCATACTTTCGGTACCGGGCACGCCAGCGCTGGACAGTGGGGACACTGACACCGGAAAGAAAGTTTGCCATATTTGAGCCCACGTAGGCATCTATGCGAACAACAAGTGCCTTGAAATCATCGTTTGAGAAATTAAGCAGACGTGATGGAAAACAATGACGGAAAAAAGCCGTGTTCCCGAGGCCCTAAGGTTGAACCAGTTTGACAGAGCACGCTGCGTGCAGCGGAAGCAAAAAAAGAAAGAAAGCCTAGGGGCCGATACGTGCTGCAGATGTGAGGGAAATAAGTTGAGGTAACTCACCCAAGAATAGTGAAGAGAAACTCGCCTAGGAGCAACTTACAAGGCTGCCAGACCTGCGAAAAGAGGCCCTAAGGATTGCCAGTGCGACGATGCATTTCCCCACGGTAGCATCTGCCCATATCCACCCCCACCCTGGGAGCCTCACCTCTCTCTACACTCTCGGCACAACCGCCTGTGCCCAGCGAAAACTACGGAGAGTTTGTAAGGAATAGGTGGTTCCTATTACTTTATTCCTTTAAAGATAGATATCGACTGACTGGAGGATTGAAGAGACACCAAGGTTGGCGCCTACACCGATCTTACAGAGTTCCACCAAGAAAAAAATGGCAGAAAGCCAAGGAAAAACCAAATGAAAACCGTAGCACTCAGGATTCCCATGTGATCTCCCACCATAGTACTGACTGAGCGGCACTCAACTTAACTTCGCAGATCAGATGGGATGCGGTGCTTTCCGAGTCCTATGGCCACAGATAGTTGGACCCGCATTCCCACCTCTGATGAATATTCATACCACTCGGGGATGACAAATAAAGGTAGCAAATCGAGGCCCAAGCGTGATATAGATGTGCGAGGTGAACGCAGTCGAAATATTGTCGCTGGGCGAGAATTGCTTCCGATGTATGTAATGTCGAGGGAATGACGCCAGGAAGCCGAGGGGAGCCAATGAAAGAGCGAGAAAGGCGAGGCGACCAATTGGAGCGCTTCGATCGTAGCTCGCCCCAGCATTTAGTATATGTAGAAACCGTTGAACAATATGTAGATGATGTCACGTAAGCATGCAAGCGAAAAAAACTACATTATTGCAACGAACAGACTCGATAAAGAGAACTGAGGGGAAAGGGGTTCCAAAAATTCGTTACTTTATACGTGAGCAGCGCTTTGTGGCGAGCCCGTCACATAAAAAGACTATAAATGCGAGAACTCTCGCCTCAGAAGAACCGAGCGGAGAGGAGTTCCAAAATTTTACGCGAGCAATACTCTGTGGTGAGCCCATCGCAAAAAGAGGCAAAGAGGTAACGAAGGCCATGAGCAGATAGGCCCAAAGTTCGAGAAGGTGCTTCACCAAGCAGCGGGCTTGATGGGATTGACATTCGTAATGTCAATGGGCAGAAGCCTTTCGCATAGGCAATGTACGCAAGATATAGATCGTGGGCCTCGCAGCAACCGAAGGCTTATAACCGGAAATATTTCGAGAGTATGTAGCCATAATATCAAGTACGCACATTATTTCCTTTGAGAAAGGCTTCAGAGATGTTGTTACTGTCAATATGAATCTTCGCTAATGCGTCGTACAGGGCTGGATCCTACTGTCCACTGGTGATGCGCGCCTCAACCCAGGGCCGAATGAGCTGTGGCTGCTTCGACGAGCTTGTGGATCCCAGTGACCAGCCAACGTCCAAGAGGTTACCCACAACTGGAGGCACGCGAGTGGTGTTGACGTGCTGAAGATGAGCTTGACCAATAATAATAAAGAACAAGATCGTGAACAAAGTGGAAGCGATCGCAGACGATGATAAGGGGGTGTTGATCGGAAAGTTTCGCCTCCATTTCTGGCTTATGGTGATTGCTCTTGCGGCGTGTCCATTTGGCCTAGTCCGAGTAGCGTTCTGGATGTGCTCGAAGCCGATCGAGCATAGATAGACAATTCACGGAAGAAACCGCCAGCGCTCTCCCACCAGTTGTGTGGCAATCTGGTCATAGAAGGACTCGGCGTTAGTATCGAAATTAACGTACTATCCAATCAGCAGGGCCTAAAAACTCGTACTCCATAGCCGGGGGGGGGGGGGGCGAAAGTGATAAAAAACAACCGATTGACAAAAAAAAGGCCCAAGGCAAAAGGCGAAATCACTTACTGCCTTTCACCGAATTCCGCCGGCCGTTGTCGAGGAAATTGTGCACAAACGCATCTTCAATGCTATTGGGATCATTTAAATGATAAAAAACCGATCCAAGAGGTACAGAACTCTCTGCGTAAGTTTCTGCGGAGCCGTTGTCGAGAAAATCGTGCAGAAGGGTGAAGTGCCTAAACTTAGGAGAATTACGGCTATTGCTCAAGAAGGCTCGGGAAATAAAAGGAGGAACATTTTGGAAGTGGCTAGCTCATGCGGTTGCAATTCTTTGTGTTGGAACATGCATGAACAGGAACAGTAAAGTAGAGCTATAGCGAACCTAGCGGTCGGACTTCCCCGTGAGGTACGTAAGAGTAGTTATGTCATTTTGTCAGCATTTTTGAGAAACTTGGTGTCAGCAGTATTTGTCGATTCAAGTCCAATTCAATCTTGGTGGTGACGTGAAAGGCTTTCGGTAAGAACTGAATTCTCTGAATCATCGTCTGTCTTTATCTGTCTTTATCCATGGCCAAATCACCCAAGAAATGTAGAGTTGATTGTAAGCTTCCAGGAGAAGGATGGGCATCGGTAGCGTATATAAGTAGTGCCAGATTCGAGGTCGTTCTAGCCAGCAAGTGGCCTCTCCAGCCTCAGTTCACTCTACTACACACCATCAGCTTCATACCATCCTCGACAAGCCCTAGATAAAAATGTCTAATTTGAATCGAAGCCGTGTAGGCCCCTCCACCAAACTTGTCAATAGCACTGCGGCGGCGCGAGTCAAACCAGTCGGGGGCTCAGCCGATGCGTTCCTCCAAGCCATTGCCGAACGTCGGAGTGTATACGCTCTGACGAGGAAGTCCTCAATACCGGACGAACGTGTTGTCGAGATAGTTCAGCATGCTGGTATTTCAACATCCCTTTTTCGCACCAGAATGATGGGACTAATTCACTGGTGTCATCGATGTAGTCTTACACACTCCCACATCGTTTAACTCTCAATCAAACCGTGCCGTTGTTCTCTTTGGGGAGAACCATGTGAGACTTTGGGATGTCGTCGCCGAGTCCTTGAGGAAAATTCTCCCACCAGAGCAATTCGAAGGGATGGTGGGGAAAGTGCGTTCTTTCCAGGTAAGTCCTGCTTTCCTTCCTCCCCACCAACCCAAACGAACGACTCACTCCCTTACCATAGGCCGGATACCTCACAATCCTGTATTTTATCGACACAAAAGTTGTCAAAGGACTCGAAGAACAGTTCAAACCATACGCAGAAAACTTCGCGCCATGGGCCCAGCAGTCTATCGGGATGCTCCAATCCAACGTTTGGGTTGCCCTAGAGGAGGAAGGACTTGGTGCTAGTTTGCAGCATTACTCTAACTTGATCGAGGCGGAGGTCAAGAAGGTGTATAACATTCCCGAAGAGTGGAGTAAGTTCAATTTTCTTGTGGAAGGTGATTGGGATTGCTAACGAGTATTTTACCTAGGCTTGGTTGCTCAGCAGCCGGTTGGTGTTCCTGCTAAGGGCTGGAAGGCACCTGAAAAGGACGCTAAGCCTCTCGAAGAGACTGTCAAAGTTTTCCACTAAACTATATGTTCCCATCCGCGCTTCATATTTGGTTGTATATCTAATAACGCTTGCGGTTGAATTGACAATAGTCGAGAGAAACAGACCAATCATATGGACGAGGGAGTACGTCTTGCAGATCCTAAGATGCAAATCTAGCAGCACGGTTGACCATCCATGCTGCCGGATTTCGATGGACAGATCGAAGATTATAATGAGAGTACCGCTATCATGAAGCACTTCTAATTATGGTCGCCCAACTCTGGCACCAATATTCCTGTTCACCCCCTTCCATTATTGCACATACTATTCACCCTTTCATTCTTTCTATGTCCATCTTAAGAGAGTAGGGGAGGTTTGACCGTCCCGACCATCGAGAGGTTTACATAGATACCCAATACCTTCCGCATTGAATTGCAGGTGAGAGTGGCGCCACTATGACTGATGCTATTTACGAAACGTTGGTGGATTGTTTGGACTACGGCGAAATACCGTGTCGCCATCATGCAGTTCGTGTGGCGAAAAACAAAGTGGTCAAGCCATTCGGTTTTACTGTACATAATCTCCGCAGTCTGTTTTCACATAATTCCCATGCATGCCATTCCCCAGTCCGCAGCCCTCAAATGGCGACACAGCCCAGCCGGCCCTAAGGGGCCGGTCGTGTCAGCTTGTCCGGTCTATGGACTCCCCCACCGTGTAAATCGGCGTCAGAATTTAATTGAAGAGCGCGCGAGAGTCAACGGTTTTCGATCGCATCCATTACCCGGCTCACTCCGATCTGGTCCAAAGATTCGGTTGTTGAAGTACAAAAAAGATGTTATATAATGGTCAATGTAACAAGAAGAATAGTAAAGTAAAGATAATTTAAAAGTTAGGCAGGCGAAACCAAACCTATGAACTCAGCGGTCGGACTCAAAGGGAAGCTGCCATTGAAGGAGTGGCGACAATATGAAAAGTGCCCCACCTGCTATGACGGCACTGGATGCCACCTCCGCTCTCTTCGTATCCAATGCCATACACAACACAATCTTCCCCAACTCCGCCACAACGCACACCGACACACACAGCATAACAGTGACGAAAAACTCATGCTCTTTCACCAGTTTGATAATTTTCTCCTTCCTAATCGCCGGACTCGATGCACGCCACACGGTACGCAACGTGCCTGTGAGGGCATGCGATGGACCGAAACACGAGGAAGCATCTTCTTGATCGACGTCTGCTCGAGAGATGACTGGAAGGTGAACGTCGGTATGCGTTGGGTATTCGGTACGCGCGGTCCCACGAGACAACGCCAAATCATGCGGCTGGAAGATACCGACCTCGTAATTGACGGAGTACTCCAGACGCAAGGCGTCTGAAAGGGGGCGGGTGAAGGCGACGTTTTGAATATCGTTACAGGCCGCCCCTATCCCCTGGACGGTCCTAACCTCAGCATCTGCGATGTGTTCCATAGCTTCGTCCCATGTTGGGAAACCAGGTGGTAGGCGAATACCTGGGGGAGCTCGGATCGTCGTGAAATCTCTAAGCGAAACTACGGAGGATGGTAATGCCAGGGATCTCAGATTTGGCAATTGCTTAACAGCCTCCACTAGCGCCTGATCACGATAAACATAGAAGAACGCGAACGTTATGGATGAGAAAAACTCACATTTGATCTTATTGGCTCAACACTTGGAGGAAAGAACATTCCTTTCATCCCGAACCATCGGTTTCGAAGATCAAGAATCTCAAGTTCCGGGACCAATTTTCCGATTGATTTGATGATCTCCACGTTAGTTCCGTTCTCTGTCACCTCGGTGATCTCATCAAAATCGCCCAGGAGATTGTCCTCTGTGAAAGGAGTGTACAAGCGGAGAGTTTCAGGAGAGAATACTAGTTCGCGGAGATGCGGTACATGCGCCAGCGCTTGAACAAGCTCCGCGTTAGCGCTTTGGGAAAATCCCGAAGACATCGTTAATCGCAATACTTTCAAGTTCGGAGTAAGCCGCATCAACGGCTCTAGGTCTTGGAACCCGTCCATCTCAATGAGTTTCAGCTGGGTCAGCATTTGATTCCCGAGCATGTCCCCCATGGATCGGCCAAACGGCATGCCATAAGCCCGTGCAAAGGGGAACCTGCGCCACGCAGAACGTGGGCCAAAAAACTCTCCCGCTCTTATTCGAAGCGCAACTAAGTTCGATGCAGACGAGAGTATGATCGCTAGCAGCTTGTACGGGGAAGAATTCAAAAGGTGGTAGTCAATTGAGGTTGTGCGCGCCCACACTTTCCAGATCTCAACAAAGTCGATGTCGGTGAAGATATTGAGTTCCCTAAATGGACTTTCAGCGCATCGTTATACGAGATCTCAAGAAACGCATACTGTATTGCTGATAGCAAGTCGCCTGGAGCTTCAGCGAGAGAGATGAGCTGGCGATAGCTTGTGACTGGCGCCTCTTTGTAGAGCAATGAGCGGGTTAGATTATGAATGTTCCGAGAGGCAAGATTGAAGGCCCAAAGGTCTGACGCATCTACCACGTAGCCTCTAGAAGGGTGTCGAAGGGGTAGGTACTGAGATATCTCGAAGAGGATTTCATTAGGGAGTGCATGGATATATGAAGGTGGTAAGCTCCACATTTCATCGTTGTCGTAGTGTAACCCGCTCATGTGCTATTCTCGGGCTCGCGAAAGTTGCCTTGCCAGGCGCAATGATGGGGAAGGCAAAAAGATGAAGTGAGATTGAAGAGGCCTAGGGTTTTATGGTGTCTAGCGTGGGTACATCAGAGAGCGAGACGATCGCATCGCGGCGGAGCTTTTAATCACCGATTTCTTCGCCCGTGTTGTGTTCGCCTACACATCAATGAGGTGTGAGATACAAATTTGAAACGGATGTCCAGATGCCAGGCGACTGCTTATAGTATAGCCGTCAACACAGCACCGGACCATGGAGGTGAATACCGACTATAGCCTCCTCTCCTTGTGGCTCGTTGCAGGGGAGCAGGCATGTGTACCGGCATGTGTACCGGTTCGAGCCGGCCCGATTCACCTCATCATATGCTAACGTGATCCGCAAACAACTTGGCGTTTGTGCCACCCCTTTTGCGTGGTGGTACTGCGGCCATCTTTCAAAAGCCTTCCTATTCAACTTTCCGAAGATGCTGTCTCCTTTTCCGCACGAGAAGGTCAGCACCAGAGTTTGAAAGTTAACAGTTGAAGGATCCGAGTTAGCATATATGGCTTCTTCACTCGACGTGAAAGATCACTGATTCATCAGATCAGATCAGGATTAATTTTCAGATTTATCGAATACCGCAAGCGCCGCAAGTTCTGGTTTCCAGCGCGACATATTCTAACGCAATATATACATCACGGATCCTCGCATAGATGCAACGGGAATCAAGTGTATTTTCTGTCTCGATCCCCATCATCCTCACATTATTGTAATATTGACAGTTAATAAAGTTTCAATATCTATGCATTTACCTTGTCATCGTTGCTCATATGTACTATGGGTTACGGATCAAATCTCAATATAAAATTCACCCCTCACATTAAGGGACAGCAGGTTTATGGGTTGACATCCGGTTCCCGGAAGTTCCTATGGGTAATGGGTTATCGCAAGTATGGCCTACCACGGTTCCAACTGTACATTCCTTTCCGCCCACAGAGAATAGACTTTCTTCCTGTAAAATGGACCTCCTGACTTGTCGCACAAATCATAAAACTCAAAGCGCTGGTTGAGGAAATTAACATGGGTGCAATGACGAAATACAAACAAGAGCGCGCAGCGCTGAGATCGCGAATTCGGGTTTTGGTCCTGTGGATTATAACGAGCAGCCAACTTGCGTGTTCCTGTTGGCCAGAAGAAAACGTACACATATTATCTTCCTGCCCACCATGCTGAATTGAATAAATTGACTATTAGATTTCTTCATATGCTCAAGCTCGCGTGTCTCCTATGTGCGCGCAGACCGATATTATATTTACTTGATCACGCTAGGTGGCCATTGGCTCGTCCAACTGGCACTGGGGTCGCAATGCGCGCCCCTTCTTCACTGCTGGCAGATCAACCAGGCCCCGGACTGATCGATGCGCCGTGCTAGCTTTGTAGCGTTAAAGGATTATAGTGAGCGAATGAGAACGCAAAGTGAACAGGACACGTGTAAATTGGGATCCCACGCTAAGTCGTCCTGCTCGAAGGGAGGCCTGCCGACTAAGCCTAACCACGGAATCTACAAAGTAACTCTATCACGACGCACAATGCACAACCCATTTGAGTCATCGACGCTGTCATTGCCATTCTGTGAAGATGGAACAGCAGATCTCCAGGTGATTTTTTGCAAATTCCGTGTATTCGGGTCGATGTGAGAACCGAAACCCACACCCAGAACGAGAAGGCGAGCCCCAGAGTACGTTGTGAAGGGAATTCCTAACCGGGATGATCAACTTGTTCTAATCGCCACCGAAGTTACTTCATGCCATAAAACAGCTGAAGTCGATAAATCGGCCTCTGCGGTTCGAACTGCGCACAGGCCCCGGCGGAGTCAGCGATCACCCCGCCTCACCGCTATATGCCCTGGACGCAACCGTTCCAAGGAGACCCATCGGCACGGACCCAAACTTTTCTGGAGAAGCCTGCGTGCTCAAAAGACCTGCGTTGTTGGAAACGGAGAACCGCTAGCAATTCATGGTTGACCCCACGAATCGGTTCACGCATTAGTCGTTGGAAGTGCGTGACCTTGATGCCGATATCAGGAGGTGAGGGGTATCCTGTCAAGTTGATCATTAGGAAGCATTTCCATGGAAGGGAGTTCTAGATTAGAACGTTCGGGGAGGCATGCCGGGCGTAGCGTGTTCGTAGGGGCCCTTGAGGCCGAAGAATCCGATGCGTCCCCCCAATCGTCTACACTAAAGTGCACTCTAGGCGCCATGGTTCCCTGACACATCAATTTGTGCGCCTCGTCAGGATCGATCCAGTCGATATTTACAATAGGATCAGTGCAGAAATGCGTGGTTCGTCTCAGAAACCAATGGCGGCTCAGTTTGGGGGATTGAGGGGCGGCAAAATCGCGAATAGTGCACCGCCGATTGTGTCTGGTTGTTACAAGAGTGGTGTATGAGAATAGAAGACTTGATATATAGTAACAGTCTGAAAAGAGTCCAGGCAGGTTGATACCTGAGTCAAGGATGGAACAAGCAAGAATGATTATTAGAAGCGATTATTTGCCACGAGATTAAGGGAAAGTGGATGTTGCAGGTGACTAGAGCCGCGTTGTATCGTGGGGAGGGGGGTTGTGGTTCGGTATTCGTGCGGGTATGCAGCATCGAGAAAACGAACTCGTTGATGTTGCCTCAATTTGACTGAAGTAAGGGTACCGGTCACCGACACCAGTGCCCCGTGGTGCAGTCTACCGACTAAGCTTTTGCTTCTTCTTTTCCTGAGCGGACTCAATATTATAGCGCCCAGAATCATCGGAACTATCGAAGTGGGAAGGGCCTCCACTATTATGAGCACTTCCGTCGCTATCTCCGATGCCATAGTAATGATTAGAATAATCCTCATCCTGCGCCTTCCGGCGACTTTCAGTGTGTACGGTTTTTAGCAGCGGAGATGGCGAGAGGAGTTTCTGGAGCTGATCACTACGATATAATTTAATGATTTCTCTCCTTCGATCCATCATCTGCAAAAAATAGATTGTCAGACTGTGCACGGGGAGGAAGTAAAGGCTCAACTTCTTGGGTAATTCCTGTCACTCCACTGAGCAGACTCCTACCCACATCGCCAGAACCCTCCGCTCTCAGTGAGTAATAAGTGCCATTAGCTTTCGACTCTCGCTCAGTGTCCCTCAAACACAACTCCGCAGTAAGGACCTCGAAAGCGCCAGCGAATGTCTGCTTTACCCTGTGGAAGGCAAAGCTACCAGAGGTCACATTGTTCAAAGGATCGCGGGGATCTTCGATGCAAAGGATCGACCCAATCGACTTCCGATCCGCCGCTGCCCAACCCCGATCCCTCTTACGAAAGTAAAGTCCCCCATTCCGGAGCGAAATGCCTATATCGGTATAATTGAAGTGCTTCCCGTACGTCTCAAAGAACTCTATAAGAAGCACTCCAAGGTTGTCCATTGGGTCTATCTTGGAACGGCGAATCTTGGGATGTAGCTGGGTGGAACCACGCGTAAGTGACATTCCATGGTGATGCGGAGGGCCGATACCATACCTGAAGGAAACTCGTGACTAAACATAGGATACCGTAACTCCCTAAACCTCCAGAGAAAACTTCGTTCATATTTCGCTGTTTCAGGAAGTTTTTGATGACAAGAACTAGTGGTCTGATGGCAGGAATTTCCTCCATGAACTGCTTCGCCATTGTACTAGCGGCGACGCCGCCTGGCCGATTGACAGAGATATCGACAGAGATGTGACCGTATGATGTAACGAATTTTATGATCGGCACTTTCGCTTTCGCAATGATCTCAACGTCATGAGAGATACGAGCTCGACGGATGGAAGAAGCAAGCTTGGAAAGAAGCAATTTGATGCTACTATATTGCTCCATAATTGAAGACATGACTACTAAGTCAATGTCACTGGAATGAACCTTCAGACCCAGCGTGAAATGGTAACCAGTAGGTAGACTCACCCTGTTGGTAGGTATAAGCGAGTTTCAAAACTTCCAAACGTAAAAAGCTGAGCATCGGGGAAGTCCCCAGTAATAGCATTTCGTATCAACTGGACGATGAGACGTCGGGTTTCGTGTTCTTCAGGGGTCGGGGAGATAAATTGAGCATATGCGTGAATCTCTTTAGTAAGCCTTCCAAGTTCGGAAGGAGGATAGAGGGGGAGCATAAGTTCGAAGAGCACCCGAGAGTAGAGGAGCGTCATAGCAGTGAGTGGTAATTGAGAACAAATGCTAGAGCGACATACATTTGTGATACATTCTCACAGTTATCCCAATCAATATTCGCCATCCATGGAGTGGCCCTCTCCCTCATCAACTCCTGTGGCGATGGGATATCACGACTCATCTCTGCCGCCAGCCTCTTCCTACTTTTTATCGGCGTCCCATCTGATCCCTCCTCTGAAGGGGATCTAGGGATGACAATAAAGTCTTCACCATCCATGAAGTCATCTGCGGTTTCCCCGTCTAGCTTCCCTTCCGACTCTAACGTAGACCGCAGGACAGGCTTCTCGACTCGGTGGACAAACGGATTCCCTGTCGAATCGGTTGGGAAAGAGCCTTCATATTTTCCACCCGATCCATCCAACGGGTCAAGCACAGGCTTAGGAATAAAATCCTCAAACTTATGCGAGGTAGGAATAGTCTCGCCTGCTCCTGCAGGGGGCTGTTTTTTGGACTTCGCTTTGGATTTGGATTTAGACTTGGACAGCATGACTAATGGCGAGCGCTTCGAGTGAGATAAAGAGAAAGGACAGTCTACCCCAGATAGAAAAGATAGCAAGCCTCGGAGGACGACCAGAAGGTGTTGAAAATCGACCTCGAAACATGTATTTACACCTGTTTATGCCGACAATTTTATCTCAGCGGTTCTTGCTCTCATTTGGTCCGACAGCGGCGCAATGCTGGCATAACCCTGTGTTTCCCTAGAGGAATGTCGAAGGGTGTACAAAACGAAAACAGCTAGTACAGGACTTGAGATTTGGCGCCACATTGTAGTTACGCGTCAGCCCTGTTTGGCTCCCACTTTTTAAGCGCTCAAAGTTAGGGAACGCTCGTTATCCAGCAGCACATATACTTCTCGTTAAACCTGATCCTTTAGTGCAAGTCCGATTGTTAAATATCTCGCTCCACAAATGACTGGATGGTGCCAGCGGCATCCAATGCGTATTCCTTCAGTTGCACCTCTCCATCTACGACGACCGTGTTCGGTTGAACAAATATCTTTCGGGGCTATCGACACATATGTCATCCATGCTTAACATTTAAAAGTAGAATATCACTCGCCTGTTTCTTCGCCAACACTAAATCGCGTAGTTCTCCTTCCCATCCTGGGATCGGATCGGTCAGAGCTTCGTAGTACTTGCGCGCACCCTCGCCATCCGCCAGCGACTTGCGAATCTGAAGATCAATGAGTAGCTTCCCAACAATTTGCTGCCCATAGGAGAGAATCTTCTCTCTGTCAACTCGGATGAAAGCGTTAGTCAACCTGCCACTCTCATCACGAACTTCTTCGAGCTTCGCAAGCCCTATTTCCGAGTATCATTGACTCATGTGCCTGGTCAGTTGTCTAGCCCGGCTTGCTTACCCTCTTTGATGAAAAAGTTTGTGATGCCCATTCTTGCCTGCATGTGCGCCTGAAGATGTTTCTTTGCCTTGGGATCGTACAGTTCCAGCGCCCTCACACCGGCACGAGCCATGAGGAGGAATGAGACGTATTGTATATCGTCAATCTCTTTTGGATCAGTGTACTGCGCAAGTAGGTTTGATCAGAACATCACTTTGGGGTATGGTAAAAAATTATCTTACATCGAAGATTTTGAGTATATCTCGATTTCCCACAAGATACATCGCAACTGCCTCTGCACGACATTCCTCGAGCGAGGAGGAGCATGTTCCAAGGACGCTCCCGGGTGTCTGACCAGGTTTGTACCAGCTATCAACTGGCTTTCCCGTTAGCGGGTTGATTGTCTATCCAATCCACAATCTATCAATATCCTGCTTAACTGTGGCAGAGGGATGAAGATCCAGTGCTTGCCTTGGGGTCGAAGTTCAGCTTTCCATCCGCATTCTCCGTGAACAACTTCCCTGATCCATGACCCAACAATTCATGGTTCGCGACCTGGAGTTCAAACGAGCGAGTGTCCCATGCTTTGTAAAGCTCCAGATCATCTGGATGAATGAACGTGATTTCTTCATTTGGCGCTTTGGCAGCGAGAATGTTCTGTTATGAAATTGAACGACAGGAGCAATTGCAGGTGATGCAAGAACATACGGCCAGTGATACATTCTATGGGAAATCAACTTGAAGAAAAGGCAATGATGGTAGATATTGAGGACAAACCTTAAAGCCGTGCTTTTCCCGGATATCGTAGTAGCTGGGACATTATCCTAGTCAATGCGTGTTTCATGTGTCTCCGGAATAGGGTGAATTACTTTGGAATCTGTGGTGTATGAGCGCTCAGAGAACCAGAATCGAGAATAGAAAGCCATACGTTTATTCCAGCAGGGATACCACCTGTGGCAAAGTTGACAACCTCAAGGGCTTTGGTCCTATCGATCAGCGATTGCAAGCTTGCAGCTCGAAGCGCATGCTTACCAGTAAAGTCTGGCTTCCGGAACACATCAACCTCAAACTCCTTTCCCCAAGGAAGAACCTTGATCAAGTCGGATGCTTGCGATACCAACTTGTCGTATTTCTTCGTGAGAACCTTGTTCACGATGGCAGTGAAACCTGTAGATGTCTGAACTCTGCGAGCTAGCCCTCAAGGATAAAGCTATGATATACCTTCCCACTCTGCGCGTCCTCCATATGGATCTACGTATGTTTCAACAAACCCGATGTAACTTTCTACAACGGGCCCGACATCCTTTACCCAATTAATCGACGCCTCCTTGTACGCATCCATATTCCCAGTTCGGAAACTGACATCGACGTCAATGCCCTAGCCCTACCACGTTAAGCGGAGAAAACTGGCCTTTCAATGTAACCTTCGAGCATTTTTGCCTCATGCACATTGGCCACATACTTCTTCGCTTCCTTGAGATGCTCAACGCTCTTCGCGAGTGGCGCGCTAAAATCCCCATACTCAAGGTTTAGTTTGATCGTCTTTCCGTTAGGGGATGTATGTTCTTGAGTAACGGTTGCGCGTTTTTCTGCGGATGCGATGAGCAGGGTGAAGTGGTCGGCTGATTCTTTGCGCACGCTAATACAGTGATACGGGTGAACAAGGAATTGGAGAAGGTAGGGCATAATGAGTACCGGGTGTTTTCAATGTCGATTTTGAGCTTCTCGGCGGCGGATTGGACTGCGGCCACTTCGTCGTCTTCGATCGTTGGTCCTAAGTAGTAGTTTGAGATGTGACCCGACTATAAAGGATAATCGTAAATTAGCATTGAAGTGAGCATATTTTGGGTGTAATTAACGCACATTAGGCTTCCCGATTAACAGGCTGGCTTCAGGGGACAAGGAATACAACTCCTTCTCAAGCTGCAACCAACGCAGTCATTAGAGGAGGCGTGAAGCAAACGCAGGATCAGACCTTTCCCCACAGAGGGGTAGCTTTTTCGGACTGAGGGGATGCGCTGACAATTTTCTTGAAATTTTCCGCAGAGATGCGAGGGATGAACTTGCTGAAACCAAAAGATTTGTAGTTCACAAGGTTTGAAAGAGTTTGGGCTGTATACTCCAGCGCAAAGAGCCAGTCTTCATCAGATACTCCGGAAGACTTCCTCAAGTTCTCAAGATCGGTAAGTTTCCCCTTCTCGGAGGAGAAGACGAGAAGCAAAAGGTCAAACAATTCTGGAGCATAGGATGTCCATTGCCCTTGGATGATGCGGGCGCCTGCCCAGCTTGCCTACGTATCCGTGTCAACTGCTGATCCACAATCTGAAGCGCGGCTATGTTTAAATACCTGGGAGATATGGTGAGTGTAGAACTTCTCCTTAGCAGTAAGGAGCCTGAAAGACTGCCCCACTTCGAGAGAACAGAAAGGAACGTTGGTATCGGCCAGGAAGCGGGACTTGTCGACTTGAGATGAGGACGCGGACATGCTGGCGATACAGATGGATCGGAAGCCGCATCGGTTGTGTGTGACACCATTCAGTCCGCATGTCTGCAGCTGCCGAAAGGGAAACCGGCTGCGCATGTGCCGGATTGAAATAAACTATTCCCGTGATCTCAGCTGATTTCCTCACGCTCGCCGCCTTGCGGAAAGCGGTTCCGTTAGCTTGCTGCTCCAGGAGTTTTTCTTAATACACCTGTGCAAGCATTCTTACGCTGTATGCTTCGACGAATAGCTCAACTTCGAGCACCTATCTCGGTGCCTTATACTGCGATTCGTCCCAACTACGCCCGAGTTACCCTAAGACGCAGATGCTATTCTGATAATCCCATTAGTCGCCCCCCACAGAAGCCCTTGACGGATCCAGGCAATGATACCCCCTCCCAACAAGCATACAGCGAAAGTGCTGAGAAATCCTTCAGAATGATGTGGAAATTCGCCAAGTATTTTGCTTACGGCTCGACCTGCCTCGCTGTGACGCTATACATATCATGGAGAGGTGTCCATCAGTGGGTTGAACGCTACGAGCTTGCTTCTTCACCCCACTCTCAGGATCCTTACGAATGGGACAAGGAAGGTGTTCGGTGGACGGGACAAGGCCAGAAAGGAGGGACAGACCCAAGACTAGGATGGAGAGGAAGGAGTCTCGTTCGAGGAGCTTGGATGGCTCTGAATTGGGGTTCAGGCCTGGATTCAGGTGTCATAGACGCAACATCCACTAATCCAGATGCCCCAATTTTTGACAGGCGTCTTGCTACAGCACTTTATCAAATATCCACAGCCGTTCGAATTGCGAAGGGTATCCCAGTGCTCAATCGCTCGGATGGGACAATGGATCCAACCATGCTCGATCTTCGTACTATTGAAGCGGGGGTGTTGGAGCGTATAGGGAGAGATGATACGCTCGAAGCTGCGAAAGCGGCATATGAAGAACTTCAGAGCGCTTATATGGCTGAGAAGAGAGTTCCTGAAGCCGCACGCACCGCTGTAAAAATTGGTGACGTTACAGCTCGACTTGGTGACGTGGAGGAGGCTCTCACTTGGTGGAAAAATGCGCTCGAGCTGTCAGGAATGAACGTAGGAGACACATTCCGCACACCAGTCGATATGCACGACGTTGCCACGCTTACTCAATCCCTCATCAGCTCTGGACATTCCTATCCAGTGTCAACAGACTCTACTTCTACTTCTGCCACGCCTTACGTCCAGAGGACCCTCACCTCCGCCATAATATCCCTATCAGGCTACCTCTCGGCCACACGAGACCTCCAAAACGCTCTTGCGCTCCAAGTCAGAGCACTCAACATCCTCCCACATTTCCTCTCGCCATTCAACACACCTATGTCACCAGCTACCATTGACCAAGTCCTACATGAGCTTCACTTAACACATCGCGCAGCTGTAATTCAAACACATCTGGCAGAAGTTCTGTATGCTTTGCGAACCCCTTCCTCCACTGGTTTCTTCACTAGATCGAAGGATTCAGGTTCATCTGCACCAATAACCACCCCACTTGCACTCCTTCAGAATGCCGCTTCAAAAATAGAACATATCATCCAAGTCCTGACCTCTCCAACTTCCAATCTTAAATCCCTACCTCCCTTGAAGCCATCTTCCCTCCCACTCCTTCCCATTTTCTCCACCTCCCGCTCCCTAGCCTACCCTTCCACCACGCTCCTCCGCCAATCTAAACGCTCAACCACGTATGCCCTAAACCTTACAGCCCTGCTCCTCGAAGAACTCCACAAATACGAGGAGAGTCTAGAGGATTTCGAACGGGCGTTAGCTTGGGCGGGTGGAGTGGAAGGGTACGATGAAGAAGTTCTCGAGAGGGAATGGAAAAGTGTTTGGAAAGGGTACGTCAGAGTTAGAGAAAGGGTTTTGAGGGGAGAGAAGATCAGGGAAGGGAAGCGAGGGCCTTTGGTGAAGTGATGGTTTGCGAGTTGGATACATCGTAGAATTGGCTCCTGATCAGCGTGGCGTATATCTATGCTCTTCGTATTCGCAGATAAATAGTTGTTGCGATAATGATAGGGATGACGTGTGCTAGATTACAACGCTCTTTGGAGTACAATCATCAAACTACAAGCTCGATCCAAGATAATGTCAAAAGTGAGACTAGGCGCAATTACTTCGCCTTCCTTCCCCGGCCTTTCCGTTCGGTAGCGCCCATCGTCGACCCCACCCCACTACTCTCGCCCTTCTTCCCTTTCCCCTTCCCCCTTTCACCAAACATCTCCTTCTGTAGAGCTTCGAACTCCTCATCATTCATATCCGGCGGGGGCTGTACACCGTTGCCAACCCTACTTCTCTTCCTGGGGGACGATGCTTCAGCTTCCCCCTCTTCTCCTTCCTCGCCTTCATCAGAGCCCAAACCCCGTTTCCCGAGAGAGGTCTTCGCCTTGGAATTTTTCTTCGATTTGGATCGAGTTTGACTCTCTTCCATTGCACCATATTTCGCAGCAAGTCCATCGAAGAAAGCGTCCATTTTCTTCGCTTTACGCTGGATAAGCGCTTTAAGGACGCTTTCTTCGGCATCTTCCTCCGCTTCGGCGCCGTCTCCCTTCACATCCTTACTGGTAGAACCTTTCTTCCCCCTTTTGGCGTCTTTCTCCGTCTTCTTCCCACTCCCATAAAATTCGTCCCAAACTCCCAATTCCTTCGCAGCCTCTTCAGCCTCCTTCGCCTCCTTTTCACTCGCTTTCCTTCTCGCCTCTCTTGTTTTCTCGTCCTTAACAGAGCGTTTCCACGTACTTGTTGACTTCAGTTCACCTGCTTCGATGAGAGATTCAACAGTTGAAATGATACGAGGTTCATCTTGGAAAGCTGAATGCGGAATATGGGTCATGATTTTGTCAAGCGAGCCTTTTGTTGTGATGTAGGCTTGTTTGATATCGGATTTTTCTTCTTCTGAGCCTGTGTATGCGTGAGATGATAACAAAGCGTGAAGGCGACAACGCGTGAAACAGAAAGAGAGGACGCGTCATTAAGCGTGTTAGAGCTGAGGAAAGTAGAGAAATCTGGTTTGAACGTAAAACACACCTTGATAACGCGCTTTATCCTCATCCAGTCTCTCCCTCGAAACACTCTGATAAACCTCCTCGAAATATGCCTCCCATCCACTTTCGCCACTCGCAACACTCTCGAACAAACTCTCGCTTGTCCTCCCAGTACTATCATACCTGGCCCTCCTCAACTCATCGCTGAGAACAGCATAAGCGAACCCAACTTGCTGGAATTTTGTGTTAGCTGCCGATTTTCGTTCTGGTGTCGAGGAGGAGGGCTGTTTGTCTGGGTGGTAGGAAAGGGCTAGACGCCGGTACGAGGATTTTATTTCAGTAGAGGAGGCGCTTGAGGTGAGGTTCAAGATGGCATAGAGGTCTACATCTTCCTCGCCTGGAAAGAATTGGGTGATTGGGTCGTTGTCATCCATCGGCGAAGGTGTTCAGCGAGGTGAAGGGCTGCGGGCTAGAGGAAGTGATGAGAGAGTGTGTGTGGAGATTCTGTGGTGACTCGATGGTGCCCGCGCAGAAGCGCTCGTGGACGTGGCTGATTTGTTGTATCTTGTTTATCATCACAAATGAGCATGTACATATTTACACATATTTACATCGAGCCTTCTAATTCAGAAGTCTGCCATCGCGTTGTCCGACCGCTTCATCCTGGAGCATTCAATATTCTGTGTGGGTATTGCGAGCCCAAACTTCGATATCCACCCGTCTCAACATGACTGAGCAACAGCAGCACGTGGATCAGGAGCCACTTCCAATTTGAGCAAATCACACTTTTCTGCGAAAAGTATTTCGGTTTTCGTCACTTTTTGTTATCAGCACATGGCCTTTGAGGAACGAGCTGGGTGCGTACTAACTTCTCCCGCATTTTTGCACAATGATTCTACAACGACCTCTCCAGTTGGGTGTTCCTCAGGAGCTTCACGCCACCATATGTGATCCTTGTCCGATCAGCCCTCAACTCTACAGGGACCAGATGTCAGATGTCCTTCGTCGTCTTCCTGTGGCAGTATTATAGGGCGCACTTACGTTAGAACGGGTGTTTAGGGTTGCGGAGATCCACTTCCGATGGATCTTTAGTTCCCCTGGTATTCAGAAAATGGATCCCCAAAATAATCACGACCTCACGCCGTCAAGTTGTTCCATGGATCCCCTTTGAGACACACCCTCCAGCAGAACCGTGATATATAATCACTTGCCAGTGCCACAGAAGAGGTATCCCAGGCCTCCCTTTCGACGAGGCCTGCGTCAACTCTAAAGAGACCATGCCCCCCATCACAAATTCGGGCCATGCGCCACCTAATCCTCCAAGCGAACCACCTACTTCTAAACGTCCCTCCTTTCTTCGGGCCCCAACCTCTGACATGGATATTCGTGCTCCACTGGAGAGCGCCGAGGGACGTGTGCTGGCACTCTGTTTCGATGGTACCGCCAATGAGTTTGATGATGCCAACACGAATGTGAGTTTTCTGGGACCATTTTCGCAGTTCACAGAGACCTGTCTGATCTGATCATCTACAGGTGGCCAAACTGTTCTCTTTCCTCGAGAAGAGCTCGCCTAAACAACTCGTTTATTACCAGGTATGCTCTTCTGACTGGGTGAAATCTTATGATCACACACCTGAATCCTCAGACGGGTATTGGAACCTACATTGGACCCGGAATCACTTCACCCATATTCAAATGGTTAGCAAAAATTGCCGACCAAGGCGTCGCATTTTACCTTGACCAACATGTGTGTATTCGTATTGCGAATCCCTTCCGCATCATCAGCTCATATTTTTTTGTATGCAGATCCTTGGTGGATATCATTTCCTTCAGGAGAATTGGAGACCTGGTGATAGAATTTGTGAGTAAATACTTTCAATTCATTGCTGACTGAGGCTGGAATTATGCCAGGTCTTTTCGGCTTTTCTCGTGGGGCCTATACGGCTCGTGCTCTCGCCGGCATGCTTTACACTGTAAGTACACACTGGCATCATTGAATATTCCTCAACTCACCTCCCCGCGACAGGTTGGCCTACTTCCAAAGGGAATGCCAGAACAGGTTCGTTCAGGCGACGAAACGCCAGATTGACGCGCATGGCCCAATTCTAATCTGCGTGCTACGTATACAACAGGTTGACTTCGCATATTCGATCTATAAAAAGGGGTGAGTGGAGTAATATGAAATGGTGTTTTTGAGTGATGATACCAACGTCCTACACATCATAGCATCAGAAGTACAGCCTACAAACGAGCCTTCACTCGAACCGTCACAATCGAATTTATAGGAGTTTGGGACACAGTCTCCTCAGTTGGAGCAATCATCCCTCGAGTCCTCCCCTTCTCATCAGATAACCATATCACCAAAACTTTTCGACATGCTGTTTCACTGGACGAACATCGGGCAAAATTCCGCTCCAACACATGGCACTTGACTGTTGATCCTGAGCATGAAGATGAGGAGAATAGGCCCGATGCTGGGATATTCAGGACACTTTGGAGGAAGTTCAAGAGGTTCGAAGAGGAAGTAACCAGGAGTGATGAGGAAGATGTGGTGAACGTCGAGAGGGAAGAGTTGGATAGGGAGGGCGGGTTGTTTGACAGACCTCCTACTGATGTTCGGGAAGTTTGGTCAGTATTCTCTTGCTTGGCAAGAGATCTGTTGGTTAAGTCAAACATCTTTCAGGTTTGCTGGGTGTCATTGCGATGTTGGAGGAGGAAACGCTAATGATTCGGAACGATACGCGCTCTCGAACGTTCCACTGCGATGGATGCTCAAAGAAATAATCGCAGCGGACACCGGAATCATCTTCCGTAGGGGTGAAATGCACCGACATCGCATATCATATAACAAACTTGTCGAAGAAGCGGCCGTTGCCTGCGCCGAAAGGATGGAAAGGGGATGGGGGATGAGCCATGGGGATGAGGATGCAAGCGCAGATAGAATGGAGCTGGATGCCAACCCTAATATCCACGTCAGCTTCGCGAACACCGATGCCGACGCTACTAGAATTGAGATAAAAGGCAAGAAGAGCGCAGACGGAGGTACAACCGATGATGAGGCTTCCGAGGTCAATCACGACGAGGCGCCTGCATATCAATTGTCAAAGCATGAAAGGCAGAGGTACAAGGATGCCGTCAGTCCGATAAAGGACGAGTTGAAGAGACAGCCTCTTTGGTGGTTGTTGGAGGTGATACCATTTATCAGTTCAAGTCAGGACGAGCACGGGCATTGGAGGGATCATCTGCGGTACGTCTTTATTTTCTTCTCGCTTTCTATCTTCGTATCGCTCTGAACTTCAAACCGTCAAATAGGGTGAACTTCTTCCGCGAACGTGACATCCCGGTGCCCCCGTCTCCCTCCAATCCCAACTCGGTTGATAACGAGTCTCGTCGTGGTGTGAACCTCCCTCGTCACACTCTCTTCCATATTTCGGTAAAAGAAAGGATGGAATCCGAGGAGTGCAAGTATGCTACTTGGAAGATGCTTTGGAGGAAGAAAACGGAGTATTATCGACCGAGGGCTTGGCCAAGCCATGGGGAACCCTTGTTTGTTGAGTAGGTGATGTTGCGGCGTGATGAACCCTTGGTTTTTTCCCTTCCCCTCTGCTTCTTGGCCATGGTCGGGATTGCTGAATCCCTCGTTTTGCGTTTTTACTCTCTCATCCCCTTTCGAATTAATTCTGTTATGCCTTATCCAACCAACCCCACTCGCTTACTTCGTAGTTACGTTGATAGCTCCGCCTGCTCACTTGTGACTTAGAAAGGTAATCTTAAATACATGAGCAGCCGCATAGCCACTGGGTAGCTTCCCTCGTGTGACGCGTGACAAGTAGTTGGTCATGTGTGTCCGCCTGTCCAAATCTGGCAACAATTCAACCCGACCGTGGAAGTTGCACCTTTGTGGGGGTCGGCAACCAACGTTGCGACCTTGTGACACTTACATAAGCAAAATGCGTCTCGATTCTGGCCGTGCCATCCTCCCACTCAAAACACATCATCTTTAGGTTGCAAACTATCTAGAATTTGTGTAAATGACAATGATGTGAAGGTCGGAAGTTATCTACATGTGGAGGTGAGTAATTAGATGGATTTTTTATTTATGAAACCGTGGTTGGGCTAAACACTGTCATTCCGCGTAGCCATAAATTCTCCTTGTATCTATGGGTCCCCCTTGCTGACTGTTGTTCAGCATGGCCAGTCATATGAGCTCGAGCTCTAGTAAATTGTCGGGTTTGGGGGGAGGTGATCTTTTTCCTGGAATACGTCCAAGAAGTTCTATCCCTTGGCATTTGGGAGACTAGGAAGTGGGTGTGGGTGTCTGCCCCCAAATTAATAAGCCAATAAGACTGAAGGTTAGATGCCAAGAGATCCCAGGTTGGGCCAGGCGACGTCGGTAAACCCTGGCACGTGATTCCTTTTTGCGCCTATCCCGACATTTTGGAAAGATGCACCCCAAATGTACCTTCAATCCTCTTCTTTTTGCTTGATTTTTGGCATGATTGTAGATGTATCGTCTGTTTATATTTCGGCCTACCGGATTTTGGAAATTCTTCCTCAATCAAAAGTTATTCACCATACATAAAATCGCATTTTAACATATTGCTTTATAACTCAATGATAACTACATATGAACCCATCAAACTTCGATGGAATGCTAAAATAGCATTGGACTGACTCTTTGCTCAGTTATTACCTTGGTACAACTATATATTATATGGAGCTTGGGCCTACTACATCCATTGTGGCTTCCAAGTCACAGAATGTACCTTTCCTCTTTTCCGATTGGGCTCAAACTTTGCGAGATTGCTCTATAGGTACGAATGCAGGTTTCGGCCTAGTGGATTTCCGAAATTCTTCCTGGTGCATGAGAAAAGCTCAAGAAGATCCCGCACATTTTGTGATATTCCATAATCATCCATAAAACCGCTTCAAAATGGGCTCACATCCTGTGCGGTATCTCAATATCATTATTAAGTAATAATTATGGTAATACTTGAAACATGGTTGTACTGTCAAGAGGAATTGTTTTTGCATGAGGATGACGGCCATTTTTTTTGTATCACGTGGTTATAATATTACCTCAGACGTCTCCCTTCATTTGCTGACCCCCAACCTTTGTGCCTTTCTTCTTGCGAAGCTTAAACGTCGCTGCCTCGGTACCTGTGAGATGGCAATTGGGACATGTACATAACTAGGCCCACAGGCTGGCACTTCTCCTGCAGTTCTACTGATTAATGAACAGGATTCGCCAACGATCTTCACCCCTATATATAATCCTTGTTTGAGTGGGATCGTCCCCAATCCCACAGGGACCAGATGACCTTCATTAGCAATATACTACTACATAAATTGCTATTTCATCCGGGGAGTGTTTAGAGTCACGGAGATTCACTTCCGATGGACCTTTCCGCTGTCCAAAGTACAATTAAGTTATCCACAATATGTTTCTCTTTTTGGACGCGTCCTCCACAAACCCCCATATATAATCACCTGCTAATGCTACGGAAGGGGTTCCTCACGCCTACCTCCTCTCACCTTCGACGAAGCCTACTCCAAAAACGACCGCAAGGCCATGCCCTCCATACCGAAATCGAAACCTACACCCCCTACTCCAGCTAAACCACCTACTCTTAAACGACCCTCCTTACCTCCACGGTTCCCAACAGCAGACAAGGATATCCGTGCTCCACTGGAGAGCGCCGAGGGACGTGTGCTGGTACTCTGTTTCGATGGTACTGCCAATGAGTTTGATGATACCAACACGAATGTAGGTTTGCTAGGACTCTTTGCATAGAGATCCTTCTCACCTGATCATCTACAGGTGGCCAAACTGTTCTCGTTCCTCGAGAAGAGTTCGCCTAAACAACTCGTTTATTACCAGGTATACTCTTCCGATTTAGTGAGATGTCACGATCACTCATTTGAACCCTCAGACGGGGATTGGGACCTACATTGGACCCGGTATCACTTCTCCCATATTCAAATGGTTAGCAAAAACCGCCGACCAAGGCATCGCACTTTTCCTCGATCAGCATGTGTGTATTTGCGTTGTCCTGTGAATTATTTGCCGCATCCTCAGTTCGTATTCTTTCGCACACAGATCATTGGTGGATATCGTTTTCTTCAGGAAAATTGGAAACCTGGCGATAGGATTTGTGAGTAAAATACCCGAATTCATTCAAGTTATTGACTGAAGTTGGGACTTATGTCAGGTCTCTTTGGCTTTTCTCGCGGAGCGTATACGGCTCGTGCTCTCGCCGGTATGCTTTACACCGTAAGTAGACATCCTCCTCGTTTGGATATTAGTTCTCAGCCTACTTCCTCACGACAGGTTGGCCTACTTCCAAAGGGAATGCCAGAACAGGTTCGTTCAATTGAACTAGATCCAGAACACCGGATTAACATGCATGCGAATACTACAGGTTGATTTCGCATACTCGATATATAAAAAAGGGTAATGTAGATTATCCCTGGGGTGCATTTCTGATGATACCGACGTTCCACACACCATAGGATTAGAAGCACAGCCTACAAACGAGCCTTCGCTCGAACCGTCACAATAGAATTCATTGGAGTTTGGGATACCGTCTCCTCAGTTGGAGCAATCATCCCTCGAGTCCTCCCCTTCTCATCCGATAACCATATCACCAAAACCTTCCGACATGCTGTTTCATTGGACGAACATCGGGCAAAATTCCGTTCCAACACATGGCATTTGACTGTTGATCCTGAGCACGAGGACAAGGAGAATATGCCAGAAGCTGGGATACTTCGGACTCTTTGGGGAAAGTTGAAGAGGTTCGAAGAGGAGATAACGAGGACTGATGAGGAGGATGTTGTGGATGTCGAGAGGGAGGAATTGGATCGAGAGGGCGGGTTGTTCGACAGGCCTCCTACTGATGTTCGGGAAGTTTGGTCAGTTTTCTCTTGCTTCGAAAGGGACCTGTGCCCGTGGATTAAGTCAAACCATCTTTCAGGTTTTCTGGGTGTCATTGCGATGTTGGGGGAGGAAACGCCAAGGACTCGGAACGATACGCGCTCTCGAACGTTCCCCTACGATGGATGCTGAAAGAGATCATCGCAGCAGACACCGGAATCATGTTCCGCAAGGGCGAGATGCACCGGCATCGCATCTCGTATATCAAACTCGTCGAGGAAGCGAACGTTGCTCGTGCCGAAAGGATGGAAAGGGAAAAGGCAATGAGCCATCGGGATGAAGATGCAAACGCAATTAGAATGGGGTTGGATCATAATGAGTTTTCGACGGAGACGAGTAGGGAGCAGTTCAAGAGCGCGAAGGAAGCGATGACGAATCTGGGTCATCCGGAAAGGAAAGATGCTTCGACGGGAGCTACGCTCATTCCAGAGAATGTGAACCCCGACTCCAAGATTCACATCACCCTCGAGAACACCGATGCTGACGCATCCATTGAGATAAAAGGCAAGAAGAGTGCAGATGGAGGTACAACCGATGACGAGGATGGCGAGGTCGAGCCCGACGTCATTCCTAAAGCGCCCGCCTATAAATTGCCGAAGCATGAGAGGCAGAGGTACAAGGATGCTGTTAGTCCGATAACGGACGAGTTGACGAGACAGCCTGTCTGGTGGTTGTTGGAGTTGTTGCCATTTATCAGTTCACATCAGGACGAGCATGGACATTGGAGGAATTATTTGCGGTACGTCTTCATTTTTCTTCTTGCTTTCTATCCTCGTATCGTTCTGAACCGTCATTCCCCTAAAACACGCGATAACAGGATGAACGTCTTCCGCAAACGTGACATCCCGATGCCCCCAGCCCATTCCAATCCCAACTCAGTTCATAACGAGTCTCATCTTGGTGTGAACCTTCCTTCCAATACTCTCTTCCATGTCTCGGTGAAAGAGAGGATGGAATCGGAGGAGTGCAAATATGCTACTTGGAAGACGCTTTGGAGGAAGAAAACGGAGTCTTATCGACCGAGGGCTTGGCCAAGTCATGGGGAACCCTTGTTTGTCGAGTAAGTGATGTTGCGGAGTGATGAACCTTTTTTTTTTTTCCCATCTCCTTTGCCTCCTGGTTATGGCCGGGATTGCTAAATTCCCCGTTCCACGCTGTTGCTCTCCCATCCCTTATGTACCTCTTGAATTTATCCTACCCGCAATGTTATGCCATCTCTCGTTTGCTTTGTAGTTTCGTTGATAGCTCCGCTTGCCATCTCACTCTTTTCTCGAATTTCTTTTATTCCCACTTATCTCTCGATCACTGCCATATGCATTTTGCTGCTACGAGTATCAGACACGCACCATGCCTCGCGTGGGGATCTTGTCAATTTTGTGGTGTCTTGGATCTGGAGAAAGAACAAGGGCTCCGACCGGAGCGCTGTCCACGAGAAGCCACATAATTCAGAGTCAAAGTCACCCACTTATGAAGAAGCGCCTTCAACAGCGGCAAGACCGAAATACTCACAATATATACAGTGTACAGCGGTCTGGACAGCGGTTCGTGCAGAACGTTAGACCTGGCGATGGCTGGGCTATGCGGCTGACCAGCATATAGGACTCTAGGAGGATCCGCAAGCGGCGGATGTGCGACAACGCGTGATTGCTTGAACGCGGCCAACCAATCAGCGGGAGAGTGCAGCGGACGCGGAGGTAAAGGTCAGTAGTTGAATGAGGCTCGCGGCTCACAAGCCTCATTTAATCTCGGGCCTCCATTAAATTACAAAATAATATATGGGTCTAGATGGTAGAAACAGAGTTCGGCGGTTGCACACTGCTTGCCTAAAAGGGAAATCGAAATACCTGCCCAGAGGTATCCCCCGCCCAGCTTCAACAATATTCAGGTAATCACGTAGAATTACCATTGCGGTGTTCGTTCGAATCATACATCTTGACATTGCATTGCTGCCAACTCTCTAGACGTCGACTCTGGCTGAAAATGTCCGGGGCCGATTGAAAGGGCCAGAATGAGGCAGATGCATTACATGCATATGAATTAGATTCACCCATGTTGCTATTCTCCCTAGCTTCAGTATCGTTTGCATAAGCAGAGCTAGCTGATTCTATATATTCCCTTCACTGAGCTGGTGGTCTTTGTCCTTCTTCCCAACCCCCTTCGGACTCCCAAGACGCACTGCTAGCACGTCCTACATGATGAATGGCCCTGTGAATGAAAATGGTGTAGAAGCACATGGGCCGCTAGCACGCACAGGTCGGACCCTTATACTTTGTTTTGACGGGACGAATGATCGTTATGATTCCGAGAACTCGAATGGTACGTCTCCCTCCAATGACCTTCTTTCACCTCGCACCCGATTCAATGGCTGGGCTTGGACTTATACTACCTGTACCGTAGTCGTCAAGCTATTCTCGTTTCTTGCAAAGGGTGATCCGAATCAGCTAGTGTACTACCAGGTACCGTTCAATTTCGATTTGGCGCTCATTGGATAATTGATCATGCCCTTCATGTGCCTACCACGCGACAGGCTGGTGTTGGAACATACAACTTGGGTCCTCAATTTATTTCGAGTATAGCTCGATGGATCGCGAGCACTGTCGATCTTGCTGTTGCTTTCTCCCTCGGTGAACATGTCAGTGGCTGTTCATTTCACGCATGATCATCACTAATGTCATGTCATAGGTTAACGGCGGATATAAATTCCTACAGGATCACTACCAGGATGGGGATCGAATCTGTACGCTGGCACACCAATTTCACTCCCAGTCTTCATCGAGGATTTCATTTTCCAGGTTTATTTGGGTTCTCGAGAGGCGCGTATACGGCTCGAGCCCTTGCGGGGATGCTATACACTGTGAGCGTCGTTTATTCCCCGTGATCAGCGAGAAGATCTCACGTCGCAAGGATAGGTCGGGCTGCTCCCACCCGGCATGTCCGAAGAAGTCCATTTTTCCTATGAGATTTATAAGAATCAGTGCGTTCCCATGATTCGCATCGCACGCTATTCCGTAGAATGTCGACTGAATCTCCACCTCGTCATCTGCATGTAGGACGGCAAGGTAACCTATTTTTGACTTGGGAACAATAAACACTAATAAACACTCCTTCTCGTAAAGCGCGTCGTACAAGCGTGATTTCTCACGTCCTGTCAAGATTGAATTTATCGGGGTTTGGGATACCGTGTCGTCCGTCGGAGCACTCATCCCTCGTATCCTTCCCTTCTCCAACGATAACCACATCACGAGGACTTTTAGACACGCTATGAGCCTGGATGAACATCGCGCCGCCTTTCAGTGTAATCCTTGGCAAAGGACTGTGGATGGCCAACAGGGAAGTAGTGGGCCTCGCGTAGGAATTTTAAGGACAAGCTTGTCGATTCTATGGAAGAGTCTGGTGTTCTCGAACTGGAGAAAGAATTGGAGGGAAGGGGACCTGGAGAGCGGTGAGGGGCCTACTAACCCTGAACCACCTACGCATGTGAAGGAAGTGTGGTTTGCTGGTTGTCATTCAGGTTTGTTCTGCCGATTCACGATAGAGGCATCTGATGAAACCGTTTATGCAGACGTAGGTGGTGGGAGTGTCGCAAATGACTCCAAAGTAGCACTCTCTAACATTCCACTGAGGTGGATGATCAAAGAGATCCTCGAGGCTGACACTGGCATTATCTTCAATGACGATCCACGTCTCGCTGAGCTTGGAATTGTTCTGAATCCACCTCCGATCGTCACGGCGAATATCGCTGAAAGCACCAGCCATGTAGACGAAATGACACCCTTGCGTCCACGCATGGATGTTCACACTGCAACTCAATACACGACTCCCGATTCCACGCTTGAATTTGTGCTGGCAAACAAGGAAAATCTCACAGCTACGCGCGAGACCTTGCCCAAAGATGCGGATGCAAGGCTGGAACTCGAGGATCTGCCGTCGAGGCATTTACCCGATGATATTCATGAAGAAGACGTGATCGCTCCTTTGCATGACCAGCTGCGGGCGGAGCCGGGTTGGTGGATATTGGAGTTTCTTCCATTCTTGCGCTCGAAGCAGATGGCTGACGGGGAGTGGGTTAGCTACCCAAGGTTCGTTCGTTTTGAGGTGGGCTCAAAACCGGTTGAGACACTGATCCGGAAAAAAAAACCGTATGGGCATCTAGGATCAACCTCTTTAGAGGCCGCGAAATCCCTCCTCCACCAGCTGAGGGCTCTCCTAATTCGTCTTCTCAGCCAGGTGATCATCGCGGCGTGAACATTTCCCCTTCTTGTACGCTCTTTCATGTTTCGGTTCAAGCTAGGATGAATGCTCCTGCGACGGAAGTGTGTGGACAGCGATCCTGGAGGACGCTTTGGTTGAAGAAGGAACCTTATGCGCCTAGGGCGAAGTTACATGGCCCCGTGAAGTTTGTGCGGTAGACGCGTTGATGGCAGATACTAACGTGTATGTCTTGGCGATGACTTTTCCGTCGTAAGATTCAATTTTTTTAAAAATCTTTTCGTCATTCTTTAGTTCCGGACCGCGTCTCTTCTGGTGTCGTTCAATTGTTCGTGTTCTTTATTCGTTCCAATTGGAAAAAACAGATGCGAATGGCGCGTTCGATCACATAGGAAAACTTCTACCGACGTGAAAGCGCCGTCCGCCGGAATGGCCCTCTGGCAGAGATTTAGGCCATTTTTTACGTTTCGTTCGATCACCCGTTCAGATCGAGTCCATCGCGCTTTCAGTTATTGATCCCGCAAGGTAAAGCCCAGAAAGGAAAGTGCTATCCAAAAGCTGGGTCCTGTCGTGAGAGCTTTCCAGTTCGGACCGAAGGTTGACGGTGGTAGAGTAGGTATGAACCATCATCCGCCGCGGCCCCTACCTACGGCGCCGTCTACAGTGTTCGGAACGGCGTTCGGCATACAGAGCGACAGTCCTGGGATGGTGGCTGGACGTTTCTTACTTTGAATTGAATGCTTGTGTGTATCCCTTGCGGGAATCGATTTTGGCATGGCGTCTGCAATTGCGGGACGGACTTCGGCTATCAGGTGATAGAACCTCCTTTTCTTTTCCTTTCTGATCGATTTTCCTAACAACTTAGTTACCCACGCAACGTTTGGAACCGCATGGAGTTGGGCGCTTGTCTGGTGGGCGCTTTATCTATTCCACATGCTTTTTCGGAATGATTCAGAGCGAGGCGGGTTGTAGGACGACACGTAAGAGCGGTGAGCGGAGTTCTCTTTCCTAACATTCGCTCACACCGCTCGTTTGGATGACATTACAGGGAATGGACGTATCCGGGTGGTATCTGCGGTACCGCTCGCATTTTTCTCGCGGCTTTCCTCGGTTTCTTGCCTCCCCCTGTGAAAACTTTTGCGAGAAGGGCTGGGAAAGATCTGACTCCCATTTGCGTCACCGGCCGTGGACTCTCTCTGAACGACTGAGTGGCCGTCAGTGGCTTTTTGCCTCAATGTCCTGGCGACCTTCAGTTTTCGTCTTCCTCGTGATGAATTATCTTCCCACTGCGTGTGCCACCTTTCTTATTTTACTAAGACTTAAGGACTTCTCGGCAACTTGTGGCCGGATCTAATTGTGGATGGCAAGCGCTATCTGAGATATCCCTGCTTTCCGCCCATCAGGAAAAGAAATAATTGGCTGATAGAAGGGCTTTTACGACGAACCGCTGCACTTATGACTCGATTCAAAGCATGAAAATTGTCTTGAATTCTCTTAACTCTCGCGTCAAATTTGCCAAAAACATGGTTGGCTGGAAGCAGGTGTGCGACAGCGGCGAAAGCCTGGTTTGAGTCCCTCAGCTATTATCCTTCTTAAACTCTCTAATTTTCACGTTAACCCTTCACCATGACCACTACACGCCGTCTCAAGATAGGGGCGTACTAGACTCTCTTTCTGCCCCTTCTGTAAGCAAAGATACTATCAGTGGGACGCGCGCCGCTTGCTCGAAATCGATCACGTTTCTTCTGTGCCTTAGGCGCATAGCGATTGTGATGGCGAATTCGGCGCCACCGTCCACTGAAATTGATCCATTCTGTCAAGATGTTCTCACAGATCAATTTTATTGGACTGCTAGTGGATCTGAAACCACTGGTAAATGTTCGTGACTGGTTCTAGCCGATGTAGATTGGCGCTAAACGCTTCAAATCAGATAAAAATGCACCTGGTATCCAAGTCAGCCCACAGAAACAGAAACCTCAAAACTCACAGTACTCAGTAGCAGACTAGTGAACGCTTTAAAAATGTGTATGCACTGTCGTCGATCGTTATTGTCAGATCTATGGGGGCATTGACTCAAGTGCTTTCAAGCTTCCACCGACGCTATCAATAGTTTCGCTAACAAAAATGGTCTTTTCGTCGATTGGACATTCACTAGCGAACTTGCTGGGGCTCCGAACCCCGTCTTGTGGACGTGCACATGCTTTGGTTAGTGGAATATTCTCTAGTGCAATGCATACTTTGATCGTGTTACAGTGGGAAACAAGACCTACGTCGGGGGCGCATTCTCTAAACAGAAGGCTGCCAAGAACGACGCCAGCAAGTTGGCTTGCAACGATTGGGGCGTCACGGTCCAGGCTTGACGTACCCTGCGTATCACATCTGCATATCTTTCCCGCTACCTTAGTTGCCTTATAATTCCGTGTCATCAACATCAACACATGTCATGTTTGATCATTTCCCGCTGTTCTTACTTTTTTCTTAGTCTTCCAATACTTAGAAATTTAATCCTTAAAGCGGATAAGAAATGAGCGGAAATGCCTGTTAGAAATGTAGATGGCTTATTTCAATTTGGCAGTTCCTTGAGTGCGGTCGATCCACAAGAGCCTGGCTCCATCATCAGGCCTATCTCCTCTTGGAATCTTGGGAGTCATAGTACGCTGTGGCGGACTCACAACGTGATGTTGAGCCTGCGGCGTCATTTTTCCTTTCTTGGAATTCCTGTTACCGATGACAATGCGCCATTGATGCGACTGCTCATAAAAACTTTTCACTTACGTCTCCCTCAGTTCAACGATGTTTGACTGAGGCGAGACTCCGGTTGTATGCTGCGCAATGACTTACGCGCTTTCATGTATCCTAGCGTAACACGCTAGGTAACTAGTTTCAATTCTATCAGTTCAACTGAACGTAACACGCTACCATTCTAATATCGCCATGCCCATGAATGCATATATTGGTATATAAGCTCAATTAGGTTCCTGTCAAAATAGGAAAGGTTGTTGGTTTGCACCATACATTTGCTCTCGGACTCAGTGGCCTCCTCTCACACATACGAAATTCTGTAATCCGTTGGGACTCAAGGGCCGCCTTGAGCCTCCTTCCATAGCAAAGGGCCTGAACCACCTGATGCATATTGAATGGGTTGTGTCAGGTGTCGGCTTCTAATCCATAGATAAATCTTGCTTGCCGTCATCATGTCAGATCCTCGATAAAAGAGAACCTCGGCGGCGGATTCGTTGGGCGAACATGCTGTGCCTTCATAATCTGACCACAGACGATCTTGTGGGGAACAGGGTGATTAGCCTACATTTTAATTGATTTCAGAGCAGACGGAGCAAGTGGTATTTGAGTAAATCTTTGACTAGAAGACTCAAAGTGGAAGGCAGGATACTAGCCTCTATTGGAAAGGGGGGGTTATGTGCATGCACGGGCGCCAACTGCCAACTGCGTCAGGGCTCGATCCTTGCTCCTACTCGACAATTACTGCTATTTCTGTGCGCTACTCGACTTGGGGTGGGGTTTCTCTTCTTCCTTCTCCCCCACTCTACTGGTTTCCCGTCCTCCATCAGCGAGGCTCCGGTTGCTGCTCAAAGCGTGCATCACATAATGGGAACGACTTCATTACTGAATCGGCACACAACATGCGGCCGATGATTCCTTTATCCTCTGCGAACAAGGGAAATGCACGAGTCATTGCCTAATGATGTTGACGCAGGGTCCAAACTGTCCTGTCATGTCAAGTTTTTGGGGAGGTCCCCCCAATAGGCTTGGTGAGGTACCAAGAGTCCAAGACATTGCAGGGTTAGTACACGATGACGTCACTTAGTTATTACGAATAGTGCCATTGGTACACGTTCGTGGTCAGGCCGCTGTTCGAAACCAAAGTGGAAAGCTTGGGGATTCTTCTATCTAGTTGTAGAGGGTGGAGCCCTGCCTAGGGGTTTCTGCTAATGTATGCATCGAAGAGCAGTGTAACAACCGAAATCGAACGTGTGCCCCCTCAGAGTCCACGTGTTGCTCCCATAAAAAGCAAAATGAAATCTTCAGTGAGGTACTATTGCAAATTACACACAATAAATTCGGACAATTCCGCTGCAATGTAATACTCTCTGGTCAGCTGACTGGCGAGTGACAGACAAGAGATGTCCAAACATACTACTGATCTGCATTCTCTGCGGCTGACGATTTCCGGGCACTGTGGGGTTGGTAGAAAGTGTCCCAAGACGGAGGGAATGACCGGTGCATCGTGAATCAGATTCGCCCCTTAGTGGTATTGCTGTCGAACTTCGAACTGCTTCCTGGGCCCTTCGACATGATTTATATAAGCAAAGGGGATTGGGCTAATTCTCCTCCCTTCACCCTTTCACCCGCACTGGTGACCTTTCTGTTTTTTTTGCCAATCAGCTTGGATAGGACACGCACCGGCACAACCTGCATGATGAACGACGTGAATGGAGATGGTGTGAAGGTTGGCCCTTCGTCGTACGAGCCACGGGTACGCAAAGGTCGGATGCTTGTGCTGTATTTTGACGGGTCGGATGATCGTTATGACTCCACAAACTCAAATGGTACGTCCAACTCCCTAGTATGACCTCCTGCGCCACTCCTTCCCTTGGAACCTCGGGCTTACATTTATACCGCGTGTCCAATAGTCGTCAAGCTATTCTCGTTTCTTGCGAAGGGTGACCCAAATCAGCTAGTGTACTACCAGGTGCGGTTCGATGCTTATTCGGTCCAAGTGCCCATTGGGTAAATTGATGATACATCGTGGAACAGGCTGGTATTGGAACATACAACTTGGGCCCTCAATTTGTTTCGGGTATAGCTCGATGGATCGCGAGAATTGTCGATCTTGCTGTTGCTTTCTCCCTCGGTGGCCATGTCAGTCCGCGTTGTTTTGCGTTTCTTTGCTGACTAATGTGACGGCCGTGTCGTAGGTGAAGGGTGGATATAGGTTCTTACAGGATCACTACCAGGATGGGGACCGAATCTGTACGCTGGCATACCAATTCCCAATTCACTCCCAGTCTTCATCGAGGATTTCATTTTCCAGGTTTATTTGGGTTCTCGAGAGGCGCGTATACAGCTCGAGCCCTTGCGGGGATGCTATACACTGTGAGCGCCGTTCATTCCCCGTGATCAGCGAGAGGATCTCACGCCGCAAGGATAGGTCGGGCTGCTCCCACCCGGCATGGCCGAAGAAGTCCATTTTGCTTATGAAATTTATAAGAATCAGTGCGTTCCCACGCTTCGCAAGTAGAATATCGATTGAACCTCCACCTTGTCATCTGCATGTAGGACGGCAAGGTAACCTATTTTTGACTTAGGAACAATGAACACTAATAAACACCCCTCCCCGTAAAGCGCGTCGTACAAGCGTGATTTCTCACGTCAGGTCAAGATTGAATTTATTGGGGTTTGGGATACCGTGTCGTCCGTCGGAGCACTCATCCCTCGTATCCTTCCCTTCTCCAGTGATAACCACATCACGAGGACTTTTAGACATGCTATGAGTCTGGATGAACATCGCGCCGCCTTTCAGTGTAATCCTTGGCAAAGGACTGTGGATGGCCAACAGGGGGGTAGTGGGCCTCGCGTAGGGATTTTGAGGACAAGCTTGTCTATTCTGTGGAAGACTCTGGCGTTCTGGAACTGGAGAAAGAATTGGAGGAAAGGGGACCTGGAGAGTGGTGAGGGGCCTACTAATCCTGAACCACCTACACATGTGAAGGAAGTGTGGTTTGCTGGTTGTCATTCAGGTTTGTTCTGCCGATTCACGATAGAAGCCTTTGATGAAACCGTTTATGCAGACGTAGGTGGTGGGAGTGTCGCAAATGACTCCAAAGTAGCACTCTCTAACATTCCACTGAGATGGATGATCAAAGAGATCCTCGAGGCTGACACTGGGATTATCTTCAATGACGATCCACGTCTCGCTGAGCTTGGAATTGTTCTGAATCCACCTCCGATCGTCACGGCGAATATCGCTGAAAGCACCAGCCATGTAGACGAAACGACACCCTTGCGTCCACGCATGGATGTTCATACTACAACTCAATACACGGCTCCCGATTCCACGCTTGAATTTGTGCTGGAAAACAAGGACAACCTTACAGCTACACGCGAGGCTTTACCCAGAGACACCGATGCAAGGCTCGAGCTCGAAGATCTGCCGTCGAGGCATTTACCTGATGATATTCACGAAGAGGACGTGGTTACTTCCATGCATGACGAATTGAAGGCGGATCCGCTGTGGTGGATATTGGAGTTTCTCCCATTCTTGCGCTCGAAGCAGAAGGCTGATGGGGAATGGGTTAGCTACCCAAGGTCCGCCCGTTTCGAGATGGGCTCAACAGGCTGACACTGACCCGGAAAATGGCATGGCATCTAGGATCAACCTCTTCAGAGGCCGCGAAATTCCTCCTCCACCAGCTGAGGACTCGCCTAATTCATCTTCTCAGCCAGGCGATCATCGTGGTGTTCACATTCCTCCTTGTACGCTATTCCACGTTTCAGTTCAAGCGAGGATGAATGCTCCTGCGGAAGTGTGTGGGCAGCGATCCTGGAGGACGCTGTGGTTGAAGAAGGAACCCTATGCGCCTAGGGCGAGGCTACATGGCCCCATGAAGTTTGTACGGTAGGCGCGTTGATGGCAGATGACGTGTTATGGCTTGGCGATGGCTTCTCCGTGTGATTCAATTTCTGTCGTCGTTCTTTAGTTCTGGGCTGCCTCTTCTCTGTTGTTTGTTCGTGACTTTATTCGCTCCAATTTGAAAACAGATGCGAGTGGGCGCGTTCGATCAGATAGGATAACCCCTACTAGCGTGAAGGCGCGAATCTCATATCCATGTCGCCTATGGTGGTGTATGGTGTTGTATGGCCCGTTCGTTGGTGCGCAGCCTGGTAGCAAGATCATGCGTTAATCCGTACGACTGACAATGCAGAATGATCACAAGGCGGACTCACCGAGGATGATCGGCCGTATGGCCTTCTAGCAGAGTTTCATGTATGCAGGCCATTTTTATGACTCGTTTGATTACTTCTCTCCGTCCAGAGTCTATCGCGCTTCAGTCATTAACCCCGGTAACGGCTTGAGGGCATTGCCTAGAAAGGAAAGTGCTACGGTCCGGTCGTAAGAGGTTCCAGACCGAACGAAGGTTGACACTAGTGATCAACTCGGAGTAGGTACGAACCATCATCCCTTATGGCATTCGGCATGCAGGACAATGGTCCTGGGATGGTGGCTGGACGTTTCCTACTTTTAGGATGTGTTTGTGTCCCTTGCGGGAATCGATTTGACATGGTACAATTTCCAATAATTGTTCCTTCTCCACTCCGTCTTGTCACAACCGCGTCTGTAGTTGCGCCGCGTGCGGGAATGGACTTGCCCTTTGGCGACTATCAGATGATGAAACCTCGTTTTCTGATCGACTTTCCTGGAATCGATGAGACAACAAGTTACCCACGCGACATTTGGAACCACATGGAGTTGGGCGCTTGTCCGGTGGGCGCTTCGCCCATTCCATATGCTTCTTTGGAATGATACAGGGCTAGGGGGGTTGCAGGGAAGTACGTAATGGCGGGGAACGGAGCTTTCTTTCCTGCCATTCACCCGCGCCGCTCGTTTGGATGACATTACAGGGAATGGACGTCTCGCTTGGAGGGAAGCTGGTATTTGTGGTACCGCTCGCCTTTTGGCACCTTTTTCTCGCGGTTTTTGCCTTCTCCTGTGAAAACTTTTGCAAAAAAGGCTGCGAGAGCTCTGATCCCCATTGGCGCTGCCGGCTGTTGACCTCCGAAATGGTTCCGTCCCGGCGGGTTTGCCTAATGTGGGGCCTGACACCTAGTCTGTGTCTTGGTACGATTCTCGATTCTCTGAACGACTGAGAGGCCGTCAGTGGTTTTTGCCTCAATGTCTTGGCGACGTTCAGCTTTCGTCTTCCTCGATGCGTTATCTTCCCACTGCGTGTGCCAGAGCGGGCTACTGCGCTACAGCTTTCCTAATTCACTGATAATTAGGGACTTCTCGGCAATGTGGCCATATATTTCCGGATCTAATTATGGATGATGAGGATGGTAGCGCTATCGGCTTGAACGAGTTATCCCTGCTCCCCGTCCATCAGGACAAGAATATTTGCCTCGTGGAAAGGCCTTTATGTCGTAAATGACGACCGCTGCACTTATGACTCGACCCAAAGCATGAAAATCGTCTTGGATTCCCTTAACTCTCGCGTCAAATCGCCAAAAATGTTCCGTGGTTGGCTGGAAGCAGCTGTGCGACAGCGGCGAAATCCTGGTTTGGGTCCCTCGGCTGTTAGCCTTCCTAAACTCTCTGATTTCCACATTAACCCTTCGTCATGACGACTACACGCCGCCCCACGATAGGGGCGTACTAAGCTCTCTTTCCGCCTCTTCTGTAAGAAAAGATACTACTGGTGGGACGCGCGCCGCTTGCTCGAAAAAAGATCACTCTTTTTCTGTTCACTGCGGTTGTGATGACAAACACGCGCCACAATTTACTGAAATTGATGCACACTGCCAAGAGGTTTTCACAGACCGATTCACTCGGACTGTTAGGAGATCTACAACCATTGGTACATCTTTGGAGTTGATCCTGGCCGCTGTAGACTGGCGCTAAGCGCTTCAAAACAGATAAAAATGCAGGTGGTATCTAGGTCAGCTCACAGAAACACACACCTCAAAACCCACAGTACTCAGTAGCAGCCTCAATCACCAGTGAACGCTTTAAAAATGTGTATGCACTGTCATCACTCGTTTTTATCAGATCCATGAAGGCATTGACTTTGGCACTTCCAAGCTTTCACGAACATCATCAATAATTTTGCCCAGAAAAATCGTCTTTTCATCGATTGGGTTTTCACCGAGGGAATTGGCGTGTATCCGGCCTCCGTCTTGTGGACGTGCACATGCATTGGTTAGTAGAATATCCTCTTCTGAGTGCGATGCACACTCTGATTGTGTTACAGTGGGAGACACGACCTACGTCGGGGGTGCATTCTCTAAACAGAATGATGCCAAGAACGACGCCAGTAGGTTGGCTTGCGAAGATTGGGACGTCCAGGGCTGATGTGCCCTGCGCGTCACATCTACATATCTTTCCCGCTACCTTAGTTCCCCTGTAATTCCGTGTCACCAGCACATATCATGTATTTGATCGGGAATAACTGATTCTAGCCATTGGAAATGCATTCGCACCGTTTTAATGTGACATTTGACCTGTCCCCTGCCTAAGCAGCACATGCGATATATGTAGTATATGATCTGCCACAATTTGAAGCCTTCCAGTGAAGATCATTTACCAAATATGGTTTCCCTGTTCCGCAACCACCAGAAAATGAACCATAACCATGCTCGCTATATTTAATGCTTGTAAAAGTTGAAAGTAGAATGACGGACGGAGTTTCATCCGAATATGTCGAATGCCATGTCGGAAGCAAATCAGACGCTTTATTTCACTGCCAAGTATGAACGCTGCTTGAAGCTGGAATAACGAAGCAAATCGAAGACATCAGTCTCTTCTCTTCCACGGTCAAGCGCTGGGCATATGTATGTCTCAGTGGCGTGAAACGACCATGCTTGAGAAGAACAAAAGCTCTGTTCCGTTTGCACAGTCGAAGTTCGTCCCTGTTCCTCGGACCAGCCATGTTAGCTGGCTTGCTGTGAGTCACCGTGACATAAGAAGGTTCCCCCCGCACTCGTAAATGGTGAAAGGAGAAGCAACATTAAACCGTCGTTCCCCATATGCCTTCTCCAAGAGCCAGTTCCAACGGACACACATGATGGTCGGCTTCACGGTGTGAAACCCAAGTAACTTGTTGGTGCGACAGTTCCGACTGTCCTTGAAGACCTATTCTCTAAGTTTGGGCTATTCCCTCGCACTCTCAAGCCTCCACGAGGCAAGGTCTGTGATATGCATTTTCTCTGCTCGCGACCGGATGGTTTCAGCGAGCTTAGCGGCAAGATCAAAGGCATTCGAGCTACATAACATTTATGTATGAGAGAGGCACGTAGCCATCGTTCTTCGAGGAATATTCCTTCGAAAAGCATACCTCCGGTATGTTGGCTACTCTGTACTCTGTACTGACGCCAACCAACATGTCGTTCAATCACCCGCTGAATCCCAAGTTGGAATCCTAAGTTGGGCCTTGGTTTGGGATCGATATTCCCCTCGCGCTTAAAGGAGGCCATTGGTCGAAACTGCGCTTGTCGGGACATGCGCTATAGAATCGGTAATCTTGTGTCGATATCCCACCAGCATTCTGTGGGGATGCTCACCCAGGGTCCATATAACCTAATTCAGGCTTAACGGTTGTTTGGCAAGAAACACCATCATGAGCGCTCATTTCGACGGCGGCGCTGAACGCTTACCGTGGGCCCAGTTATCAAGCTCTGTCCTGTGCGATCTCCGGTCCTCCGCCTTCCCAAGCGGCTGTATAGTCCAAATATCAATGACTGAAATCGAGTTCAGAACCGCAGCCCGCTATATTGTCGACAATTCCGTGTCGTTGAACTGAGGAGTAAACATGCACCCCTGGGGATAAGAATAAAGATTGTGACAATCAGTATACTCTTGTGGATGTGATAGTGCTGATTGGGGTTTACTAAGAAGGTGTTCATGCTCAATCCTTGAGGGCCGGATAAGCGAAGGGGAAGATGTTTGGGGTGAATTGATTCCGAAGGGTTGCCGTTCTCTCTTGAACATATGACAAATTCATCCCCAACTATCTTCCCTCCCGCGTTGACGATGGCGTTGACCTCCAGCGAGTCCATCAAGCCCTTCATGTTTCTCTGTCAGCATAGTGAGTCCGTATGGCTCCAAGGATCCTATCTGATCAGCGCGTTAAGGTTCAGTCTCCTGCCCCTGCCCCTGTAAGTTGTGACAGGCTCTTCGTTACAGTTGAATGCACCCAATCTGAATACCATGGACCGAGACCTATCCCCGTTTTGGCTTCCTGTGTTGTTTTTTGGGGCTAGCCGAGTGTCGCGCCAACAGATCATTCCGCCTTAACATATTCTGTCTTAATTCTGGTGATCGAGTGCAAATTCCTTGATTTGCACCTCAACTCATGTCGCCTGAATTTGAGATGGGCGAGGAATGTCATGAGGGCGATTTTCATTGCCGCTTCCGACAGGGAATGCCGAGCGATTTGCCATCACGAACGATTAAATGGAACTTCACGCACGCCGTTCGGAGCGTGGTTTCCTGCATGGAGGGTCTGCGAGCTCCGTTCCCGGTCCCGTATCGCGTCGATCGTGAGTGTCTCAATTTCATCGTAACAAAAACTTCGAGCGTTGTTCCTCACACGCCAACCATCGCGGAGTATCCGCTCCGCTACCACGCTCTACGAATGCCCTTTTGATGGATGTATTAACTTGCCTGTGGATAGCCGATTAAACTGAATCGGTGGATCTGTGGCCGCTTTAGTCATTTTCCAATGAAGGGAAGCTGGTAACCTCTTCGCCGATCGGTTGACGAGCAACTTCGTGCGTAGTCAGTGTGAAACGGAACAAAACTGGATCTATGCATTGGCGCTGACTGTTCCTTTCGGATCATTTTCCTTATGTATCTAGTCGCGCCTAATGCTTTTGGATCATGCAGAAATCCCTGACGGCTCCTCAAGTGCTGCTGCAATTACGTTTCACTACAATCCACAACGCCGCTCACAGGGGTTGGTGGCTTCTCCCTTCCCAGGCAAGCGGGACACTGCGCCCGCTTTTGCCTTTCTTGAGGCCCATAGAGTCTTTCCAGCTCATCCGAAGGATCGCACTTTGGAATGCGATGGTAACAGGTTCAGTGGCATGCTCTTGCGCGCGCGCACTTGTTTGTTCATCAATTTCAGGGGCGTGGCACAAATCACCCGCGCTAAGGGGAGATGGTTCTATCTTTCGCCTAGCCTTGGCCCTTTCAGGAGGCGATTTTGAGCTAGGTAGACGCACTTGGCCGTATAAAACGTCAGTGGGTGTGAAGGATTATTGAACCAAAAGCTCTCCAAGCACTATCAGTAATTCCACACTTCTAGCACAATGAACGGCACCAATCCTGGCCAAGTTGACTGTATGCTCTCGATTCCCTGGCGGTTTTACCCATACTGACGTGAGATACGCGAAGGGACGACTCGACTCAACAACCTTGGGTTAGCTGAGGGGTGGGCGCCGGAATATGATCCCGCTCAGCAATTCATGGTGGCCAACAACAGAGTATCCTGGGTAGTAAAATGCCGTGGTATGGCGTCTCATCTACTACTCGGATACTTGGGTGTCCTTATCTCTTTTCTAGTCAACGGTACTGAATATGAAGGATTGCCTAAACCCAATGTTCGCGAGGCTAAACAGTCCGCTAGCGAGGTGGCGTACAAGGCACTTACTTAATCCCAAAATTAACGCACACCCACTTTCTCTACCTACTGTCTGAATTAACTCCACATTCTACTATTCGCTTAATGCCTTCTACCATGTAATCGTACTTTGGTGGAAAATAATTACTCATCTTACTCCGTAGTTTCGGACTACAGCATGCACTTCTGTGATCCACGTTCGCAGGCCTGCACGCTTTGTGAGCACACCTCTGGTCGATTTAGTTCCAACTGCGCTTGTAGACGAAACGATAGCATTGGGAACTCTTCGGCCGGATATCGTGCTGTGTATGTCTTCTTCCCCCTAAAGAGAGGCTGATCACCTGCCTACTGTGTATGTACGAATCATCTTGAAGAGTCTTCCAAGGAACAAGCCGTCCGCTTATCTTGGTGACCTGAGTGTGTTACTTGAACGATTGGAGTTTAGCTAGTTTCATCTCAGAACTAGAATTGCATGACCTATGCGTGTATCGAATGGGGTCTTCAACTACTACAGTCATCGTTCCTCAATTCAAATTTATTTTGCTAGCCTGCCAATAGTACCTTTGCCACAGTCCATCAGAGCTCCCAGCTAGTTTCATATGGACCAACGCTCGCTCTGTTCATAGCCGTATCTAATCACTGATTCTTCGCTCTCAGAACCCCGGCAGCACTATTCCAAGTCATTATTCGGTCTTACATCCACGGCAACTAACTTGAGACAGTACGTTGGCACAGCCAGCTACACAATATCGGGGACGGTTCAATCGCGGGATTTATGAAATTCGACCTTCTGAATGAGAAAACGTAAAAAGAACCGAACCCGAACAAATTATTTTCTCGGCGTGAGTTGACTTTCATCTATGCCGAGCCGCTACTTATAAAACGGATCTCTGCCCGAGAGTGCCAAGTATTTCATCATCTGTGCATGCCCTTTTCTTCCCAAGCCGCTTTTTCTTCGGCGTCCCTCATTCATTATATTAGCCCCTATACATTACACACTCTGATTTTTAGCGCTTATGCCCTAATCTGCGCAAGCGCTACGAAAAGACCACTTGCATAATCGGCGCTGGGCCAATTATATACATGCTGGGCGGCGCATTCCAACTTGGGAATTTTTAGACAGATCCGCAGTTTGCCTCGGCCGCCTCGAGAAACGCTTTTGGTAGGTACGTGACTCCGCATGATAGATGTCAGCCTATCTTGACTCGTGTCGCTATAGTGATGGGATAATAGGAGTCGCTCGTCTCCTCGCCTCCGCTAGGTGAGCCGCCACTACATTGAATTTTGTCATATACTCGTTGCTGTGCTCGCGAGTTCAATGATTGGGTCCCCCAGACCTAACCATAAATGTCACTCCCAGACGCACTGGACGATCGGATGACCCCCGAAAATGCTTTGCGCTCGCTATGACCCGGCTACCCGACTTGATGACGCGTGATGTAGCGTATAGCAATATTGTCAGCCATTCGCGTCTGATGATGAGCGAGGGTCAACCCGGCTAATCAGGACTGTCTGTGCCGAATGTGGTTTGCTTACCCCTTCTTGGTGAAGGTACGGCGGGCAGCCAGACGCCCCAAAGGGCATAAAGTCATGCATCTTGAGCACAGGAGTTCTTCAGCAACAGCTTCGAAGACTTTTCTGCACACCTCTAAGATCATCGATTCGAAATGGCGTGTAAGTTATGTATCTTGGAAGTTGACTCTGCCCTAATCGTTGCTTTCGTCAGGGGTAAACAGGCTCAACGATTGCCAACAATGGGTTAACCGGTACTTGAACGGACCGCCGATGAGTATCGAGTATACATTCAACGAGGCCATTGGGGATCAAGAGTTTACTGTGTACTGGAGGGCAACATGTTTTGGTGAGAATAATTGGTTGTGATTGCCGTTTTTGCCACTGAGATGTTTTCGCAGTCAACAACATTCCCTATGTCGGACCGCCTCGAACGTCCAAGAAGGCTGCTAGAGACGCGGCAAGCTATGAAGCGTGTCTGGAATTGGGAATCTTCAGGCCACCACCACCACATCCCTTCGATCCCCGGTTCCTGATTGAGGAAAACCTCTAGAATGACTTTTGAGCCCTCTTCACATCTGGATATAATATGTATACCCGCTTAATACTGAAGAATTTTTCACTTCATGCTGATTTTTGGATTCAAACGGGCTATTTTGGGTCGAATATCCGGAAGTCGAGAACGAGTCCACAATAACGGGTTGAACACCCTTCGTCGAAAGGAGGAAATGTGACGGGTCACAACAAGCTAGCTCGGCTATAGAACAACAGCGTGTGTTTCATGGAGGTATGCGGGCCTATCGCACATGAGGAGGATTATTTTGAGTTCGAATGATGGCCTAATCATTCGTTTGATGGCCCACCAGTGTGAAACGAGGCACAGCAACAAGTCATTGCCTTGCGTGTGTGTGTCACGATGAATCGTTCGGACGCGTTTCCTATTTAAGGTAGCTGTCATCCATTTCAATTACACACAGTCTGAGTCACTTGGGCATTCGCGTAAAAATGGCGTAATATTGGCAAGTGGAGGTTGATAATTGGTCGTCGCTCGGCCTCTTCCGGTTGTTTGAGCAGGCGCGCGCAGACGACGTATTTGGATTTAGGGGTCCGTTTGTCATCCAAAGCTCAACCTAGGAGGCTGGGAGTGATCATAAATCAACAAGCGAGCGCACACAATCATGCTGATGGTGCTGCAGCGCGAACCGCGGCACTACAGCGTATCGGGATTTCAATCTCCTTTCATCATTTTTCCATGGCATAGAAACCTGCCTGAACGCGCTAGATGACTTTCCGCGCTCAGGGGTCTCCGGGCGCCCTCAACCTTCGTTTGGGGCTCTGTTGCCTCCACATCTAGTCCAATCCTACGCGCGCTTCCTGACTCTATAACGAATACGTGAATTGGCTGTAAGATTTTTTGAATTGCCAAGTAAGGCATCTCGGCGTACTCACCGAGTTCCTGCTATTTTTGTAAGTCTCCTAGTGAATAAGCGATTGGTTCATGCATGCAGACAACGTCTCCACACCTTGCACTCAGTACCGTCTGACTCGGGTGTGGCCCTCATGACGGCTAGGGTCTAGCGTGGCTGTCGGTAGTGCTTCCGGAGACACCTTTAATGGCTCGTCGTGCATGCATAAGGATCTTTTGAAAAAAGGATGTTGGCATGAAGCTCGTGCCAGCCACAGTCACTATCATCCCCCGGCAATAGGCGACACATTACGGCGGAAAACGCTGGTTTCTTGAGCTGCATCGAATTGGCAGGGATGGGGTGTCGGTGCTCCTTCCGACCACTCGTGCACTCTAGGATGCGGAAAACACCAAGTCCTAACCGCCTGGAACGACCTGGTCCACGAAACTGAGCGCCGCCATAGATGCCGAGCCCTGATAGCATTCCAGAGCTAATATGCACCAATTAAGAGCCTCCCCTTGCGGTACTTTCTTCTGCCAAACTCATCCTGGGATCAGTAACACACGCCGGCCGGGCCGGTTTCCAGATGGAGATGGACAAAATTGGGTTGCAAACGAAGTGACCCTTTGAGAAAGGTTCACATTACGCGAGATAACACCCGCTTGATGTTTTTGCGTGCCGTCCTTCCAACAAACGGAGTCAGCTGTCCGAGCGGAAAAAATCGCCACCATCGGGGAATCACGTGGTCGGCAGCTTTGTCATTCTCTTACGCAACTTCGACCTTCGTGAAACGGTTCTGAGGGTCATCCTCGACGCATATCATGTTCCAGATCGTTTCGCATCTGGCGCTGGGCTCCTGTCTTGTCTCAGGCGACGCTGGAATATTTCCGTAAAGGGCATCTTCACCTGCGCTCGCAGGGGAATGATTATTGATGGCTGCGACGGCGTGCTTTGTCTTCAATGCACTGCATCAAAACGTACCCAAGGGGCGGCCGTGCTATGTACTTGTCTCGATGACTCGAGTAGAGAATTATATCCCGCCCTTCTTATGAACTGATGGTGCTTACTTCGGCGCGACGTTGAAAAGCCTGTTCTCGGGCACAGTGCCATTAAGACCTGACACCGTCGCCTAATCTTGTGGTCTGAAATCAATTCCACCCAACGTCCTCCTGTTTGGTTTCAGCGCAGATTGTGATTCCGCCGCCCGCAAATCCATCTAATTCCCTTGATCGCCACCCTCAGATTCGTCAGAGGGCACTGCATAATGATTTCCTCTGTCTGGGAATTTTTGCGCTCGCATGGCCCTCTCGTGTATTTATCTGGCGAGGAGGGGGGATGGACGGATGGTAGAAAGACACTTCTATCCCCAACATATCCTGTCTTCGAACTATCAACTGTGCGCTTCAAATGAGTAAGTTCGGGAACCTTGCGCACTGTCGTACTTGATGGTAAATGGATTTCAGCCCCAGCGAACAGACCAATCAGCGTCATCCACCTCAATTCGGCTGCCCAAAAATACCGGTTCGAGTATCAATGGGTATGTTTAATGGACGTTCTTTGCGCCCCGTCATGACTCAAGGGATCGTTTCAATCTTAGGTGGACTCACAATATCGCAATTCGGAGAACCAAATTGCACATCAATCACGACTGTACGGTGAGTTGAGCGTTCGACCGATTGAAGTTCACGTTTGACTGAGGTTTAACTTGGATGCAGTTTTCGGAGCGGAATATATTGGAGATGGCTCCAGGAAGAACGATGCGAGGGATAGTGCTGCAGCCCGATTTTTTGAGGATCATCCTCATCTCTGGGAGTGCAATTAACCGATTGATTATCTTGCCGTTCATATACTCTATTTCCGATTGCCATTGCATAGAACTCCAGGTCAATGCGCACGATTTGCTCTATAATCACTTCTTGGTTCCACATTGTTCCTTCTATATGTTTTAGACGAGTTTATGCTAATATAGACATCCACGGTAACGAGTAGACGGCTACCACCCCCATTGCAAAGCCAGACTACTTATAACTACACTCACGGAACTGAGAGCCATTGCCAACGCTGCCCAAACAGGTGGAAGTCGGGTATGGTTATGTGCAAACAACGCGCCAGCCGCAATGGGCAACAACATTACATTGTACACCATTGCCCATCCAAAATTCAACTTCTGCCTGTTATAAACCTTGCGGGAGAGCTCCAACAAGGTATGCACAGAGGTTGGGATATTCTGTTGGGACAGGAGGACGAAAGAAGCCGCTGAAATCGTAATTTGGGATCCTTGTGCAAGCGCCACTCTGAAAAAGAAGAGTTAGAGTGATGGGTCTCAAAGAGAAAAAATGCGTTGACTTGCCCTACGTCAGCAGCGGTGAGTGCGGCAGTATCATTGAGACCATCACCACAGAAAGCAACAATGGAACGCATCTCCTTTGCCTGAAACGAATACCAAGGCTTCACCAATCGTTTTCGTTCTTTGAGTTTGTTAATGAATTCTGCCTTCCCCTGCGGCAGGACTCCAGCCACTACGTTGTCAGCTTCGATTCCTAGTTGCATGGCAACGGCCCGCGCTGTAATTTCATTATCTCCGGTGAGCGTGAAGACTTCACGGCCTGAGGCACGAAGTTGCTCTACTGTGGTGCGCGAGTGAGGTCGAATCGTATCAGAGATAGAAAAGGAAGCCATGAGGTTGGGAGCAGCGTCTTCTGTTTCTATTTCCTCGCCCCCTTGCTTCATGGAGGCAACGAATACGACCGTCTGTCCTGAAGCCTGCTGAGAGCGCACGGCATCGAGATGCCTACCGTTCTCAAGCTTGACACCGTTCTCTATGATGATGAATCTCTCGTTGCCAATAAGGACAGTGTACCGGTTACCGTCGGCGAGGAGGATGGTTGCTTTGAGTCCTTTACCAGGGATTTCTTCCATTGACTCGACGCGAACATCGCTCTCTTCCCCGAAGCTCTGGGAACAGAACTTGTGAACAGCCAAAGCCAACGGATGACTCGACCTGGCCTCCATAGAACGAACCCCATGGAAAAGCCAGTCTGGGACATCCCCCGTTGTGTTGAGATGAGTGACTATTGTGTTTCCTGTGGTGAGTGTCCCGGTCTTATCGAAAACGACTGTGTCAGCTTTCGCCGCCATCTGGAATGCTTCGCCTCCCCCCTGCGCGAGAATTCCAGCTTTCGCTGCGAGTCCCGATCCCACAGCCTGGGCCGTTGGTGCAGCCAAGCCGATCCCGCAAGGACAGGCGGTCACAAGGCAACTGATGGCGAACCCGAAGGCGAAGAAGATTCGGTCACCGACGTCGGTACGACCGTAGGGAATATACGAGTCAGGGATGACTTTCAAAAGAGAGAGTAACAACCAGGTGATGAGAACGACAGTGGAGAACCAAACAACAATGGGGACGAAGACAGCTGTAATAGAATCCGCTAGGCGTTCGATAGGTGCCTTGCGACTCTGTCCTTCAGCGACCAATTGCACAATTTTCTGCAGCATTGTTTGGTCACCAATCTCGTTCACGCGAATAATTACTGGGGATGTGAGGTTCGTAGTCCCCGTCATGAATGGATCCCCTTTCCCTTTGAAAACTGGGATTGATTCGCCAGTGAGGGAGGATTCATCAACTGAAGTGGTTCCTGACACGATGGTGCCATCGGCTGGCGGGACATCCCCTGGTTGGATAAGGATATAATCCCCCAATTCAACATTTTCGACTGGGATGGGGGTCGCCCTTCGGTGACCAAGTTTTTCTTCTTCCACTTCCGCCTCACCCACATCGATTTCCATCATACCACACACCAGCAAGGCATGCTGCGGACGCATGCTTCCAAGAAGCGCGATTGCGTCGCCAGTCTGGGGGCACGTCATTAAATTGAAGAATCGAGAGACAGAATTTTGACGGAAACACTTACTCGGACTTTCGCGCGTCCTTCCAATACTCTTCCCATCAATATATAAAAGATGATGAACACGCTAGAGTCGAAGTAGGTGATTTCTGACACCATTTTTTTCGTGATCTTTGCACCCTGCGCAATGTCTCGGGCCATGACACCAACACTGGCTGCGTACGCTGCACTGGTAGATAGCGCAACCAAAAGGTCCATATTTCCGAAGTGGACCAACCGAGACCATGTCCATCGACCCTTTCTCCGCATGAAGGTGCCCTTGTACGCACGCTTATAGAAAACCCTGTAACAAACAATATTAAAACCCCATTAATAGGATATAATGTTTCACACCAGCCGACTCCGAACTGCGCAAGTGTAGCTACAATCCAAAGCACAATGGTTGCCCTTGTCGCTCCTCCCCAGAAAGGGGTCTCCCACCACATCCTAAACGAGTTATGTTCTGGAAGAAGGATCATCGCCAATACACCAATTGCAAACGTGGGTATTGAAAGCGCGAAGCTCATCAGGAACAAACGAGTCAGATGTTTAGCCTCCTTTTGTTGTATCTTGCGGGAACGGGCCATGAGAGAGGGCGGGGTGTGTAGAGTAGCTTTGAATGGCTCGGGGAATGCGAGAATTTCTCTGATTGTCAGGGCTAGCGAGGGCTTGTAGTGAATCTTGGTTCTATGAAAGTCACAAGATACGGGAGTGAACGAAATGAGGTCCAGAGATTCGAGATACGCATTAACGCGGGCCGGGGAATCGCTGCGGAACAATGTTACTGCAGGAGGAACGTATCAGAAGATAATAGCTCACTCGTAAATCACACCCTCCACTTTTAGTTCGACAATTCGCTCGGCCTTGATGGCCTGGGAAGATTGCTCCGTTTCGATGTGACACCACTTCGGCACTTCATATCCCATGTCGCCGATCGTACTTGAAATCGCTGCCGGGGTGAGCGCGGAAGGGTCGTAGGTGATGTCCATCGAGTTCGTCATTAACGAGATAGTGAAATTTTTGACACCTGGCAGCTGAGATACAACATCCTGAATGGCCCCTGTGCATGCACTAAATTTATTCATCAGGCACATAAAAACAAGCTTCCACTCAAAACGAACGGGTTACCTGCAAGTCATGCCTTCAATACTGAACTGGGTCCGGCGGGTGGTGGGTGCATTTAGCAAACGAATCCCAATGATGATAGCACCATACCCGGCACTTTCGATCTCACTTATCAGGGATTTAGGCGAGATACCAGAAGTATGATGGATCACGGTGGCGGAATTAGTGACCAAGTCTACGATGGCGTTTGATACCCCAGGAAGATCGTTGAGAATCTGAGATACCGTGGCTGTACATGAGCTGGTTACTAGAGGTGAGGCGCATCTACCTCATTTGCAGTGCCCAGGAAAACTCACGAACAGGTCATGCCTTCAATTGAGATGCGAGTTTCCTGAACTTGAGCCTCGGAGGGGTCATCAACCTTTACGTCTAGTAATACAGGCACGGATGAAGCCGAGCCCTGAAAGCTCTCCTGCTGGCATGCGAAACAATGACGAAGGTGACTTCTGCGCCTCATCCTGTTTCCGCCGAAGAAAGAACCATACAGACGATGGACCAGGTTACTCGCAGTTGCGCGATTATAAACACCGCTTGGCTCATATCCAGCTTCATAGAGTGTGCGGCACACCGTAGGGAGCAGCGAATCAAGGGGAGTGGCGTCGATGCCCTCAGCGACAGAAAAGGACAATGTCCGCTTGATGTGGCTGACCTCGAGCGAACCGAGTGAAAGAGGGGACAACAGCGTTTTGATGTACTTTTCGCATGACTCGCAATGAATCGATGGCACTGAGCCCAGTTGGCAATCGAACTTTGGAGTCAAGAGGATAGTACTCACCAGAAAGTGTCGCCATGAAAATCCAGTGAAAGTAGAGAGTATGTCGTCCTGATCAGTCCTTATGGAGGCCTGAGGCCTTTTTATAACCTTCAAGGGTCATGGTGCAGATTCAACGTCCACAAAATGGCTCACCCGCACTGAATCGGCGAAAACGATTGTACGGAAACATCAGTTTTCTGAAACGTTAAGTGTACTAACTGCTGTAAGTACCTCGTACGCAAGGATCCTGATTCTTGTCATTACGAGCTATCACGCAATGCGACGCTTTAAAACCTTGGGACCACTTCGGCGGTTGTGTTCCCACCATCAATGCGGCGATCATTCGACCGCCGCGACTTGGCGGTAACTTTCCATGGCGAAGGTTATCATTTCCTGGGCAGTTCCACCCCCTCACGATCCGCCTGACAGGGTGGCGTTTTATTCCATCGAATGGAAGTGCTTCGCATCCCGCGCGACCCTCGCCTGGTCCCCCAGCGCAGACGCATCACTTACTTTGTTAGCGTGGTGCCGCATCCAACATATAATCACCAAACAATATAACAGCCTATCCATAATTATGGCGAAAATCAGGAGCCATCGAAACCTCCCCTGGGAAGAGCAGCCCCTGTCCATTGTCGCAGGCTTGTCGACTATTTTTCAGTCCGATGCTGATAATTAGCCGTCCAGTGCATGAGCATAATGTGTTCATGTTTCCACACTTTCGTCTGTGCACACATTTAGAAATAGTTTCACGGACTGCATAAATTGGAGAGAAAGTGAATGTCGGAAAACCCCGCTCGTAATGTTCAATGCGATTCCCACACTCACGTGAAACCGAAACCAGCTGGCCCAACATTGCCCCCTTTTTATGATTTGACAAGATCAGGCGAACCTGCGGCTGTGTTTCTTCTTCATCTGGACCACCGTTTTCTCGCGTTGGCTGAAGCCTCGCTCTTCAGAGTTTTAGCCTTGAGCCCGAGTTATGACGGTTCTGACATGGTCACTTTTGATTTGTTTTTACGGATCCCAGATGGAATTCGATTGACTTTCATCGGTGTTGGAGAGTCTCCTGTGCGTGTTCAGAACGGATCGGCTTTCTTTCGGCTAAGTGGTATGCTTCGGCATCGATTTCGTTCACGATGAATGCGGCCAAGTTTTTTTACCTCCCATCCAACTACTATTGGATTAGTGACACCCGTGCTCATTGACACTTTGACTGTGTTTTCTTCATGCTGAATCATTTGACACGTCACCTAACGGCCAGGTGATACCTTGGTCGACACACTTCCATAATGATTGCGACGACACACACAACCCCCTGGAATCGTTCAATGTACAGTCTCAACAGTGCATTCTTGCTCTCTCATTGGCTAGTCGGGCATCCAGCGTCCTTCCGGTTGTGTTCACATGTCTCACATCATTCCGTGGCTTTAGAGCACACTTTCACGGCTTGACATGACCTCACATCAGATGCAAATCTCGCCCCTCAATGGCAACTCTGACAGTCGTAAAAGGGTACATGGGGTTTCTTTTATCATCATGTTTCACACTCCGCGAAACCTTTGGATTGTGCAGTACTGCGGGAGCGTACAACGTTAGGAAGAATGGGCACGGTTTACAAACGGATGTGGAGTGTGTTCGCCATGTTAGATAGCAGTGCAGATTAGCCATGCTGGGCTTGTCGTCGTCAATCAGGATGGTCGCATCATTGCGATGTCGCACTCTACACAACAGATGAGGTGAAGAGGTTGGAGCGGCATGTGAAGAAGTGCGCATCGATGAGATAGATGACGCATGTGGGCTGGTTAGGAATCTCAAACGCAACGGGAGATGAGATAAGCTAGCTGGCTGGCCTCAAACGGGCGATGACTTGAGCGACTGGATCCCAAATCGGTGATGATCTAAGCAAGCAGAACCAAAATGGGTGAGAAAGTGCCCTAAAGGGGCGACGAGCTCATCCCAAACGGGAGCTGAGGTAAGCGTCTTCATCCAATGAGAGTGTGTGAGACCGCGCTCCAACCAATCGGCGTTCGCGATTCGTGGAGCGTGTCCGCGCTCTTTATATATAGTAGATGGAAAACGCATTCTTATTGTATACGCTTGCACATATATATACGGGATTTTCCGATAAATCTATAAGATGTTGCGGATTACCTAACTTCGAATGAGAGTGGCGCACAGGCCATAGTTGGCAGAAAGCACTATTGAAGGAAGTTATGCCTTGTTGCCCTTTTGTTGCAGGGAATAGCAGCTACCCAGTCTGTTCACGTACAGGAGGGATTGCTAATACTGCGCTATGTCTGGGTTATGAACGCATCCATGTATTTATTGTTGTTTACGTTAACATCATCTCCAAGCATATCTCATCTTCAACTCATCACCACTACACTTCAGAAATGTGTAAGTTCCTGAGCCTTGCGCTGCTGTACTTGGTTTTGAATTCCAGCGCCCGCAGCTAGTCAAACCAACGTCATCCGACAGCTGAACTCTGCAGCCCAAAGACTTAAATTTGAGTTTTCATGGGTAGGCCTCACGGATGCCTTTACACATCTTCATAAAATGGATTGTTTTCGACGACAGGTAGATACACAACGCTGGGGTCGGAATAGCAGTATTCAAGCTCACGAATCGCGACTGTGTGGTGAGCTGATCCCGACCGATTGAACTTCCACACTAGGCCAAGATTTAAATTGCATGTAGTTTTTGGAGTGGAATATGTTGGAGTCGGTCCCACGAAAAATGATGCAAAGGATGTTGCTGCAGCGCGATTCTTTGACGATCATCCCAATCTTTGGGTGTAAACCGATTTGATTATCTTGCCGCTTATCTGTCCGGCCCCAATCACCATCGCATGAAACACTGGGTCAATGTACTCTACAGTCTTCGAGACGAGATTGTGCATTATAGCTGCCACCCCCATTGCAAAGCCAGACTACTCATGACCACACTCACGGAGCTGAGTGCCATCGCCAACGCCGCCCAAACGGGTGAAAGCCGCGTATGCTTGTGAGCGAACAATGCGCCAGCCGCTATAGGCAACAAAATTACATTGTAGACCATCGCCCATCCAAAGTTTAACTTCTGCCTGTTGTAGACCTTGCGGGAGAGCTTCAACAGGGTGTACACAGAAGCTGGGGCACTGTTTTGAGATAAGAGAACGAAAGCAGCAGCTGAAATTGTGATTTGGGATCCTTGTGCGAGTGCCACTCTGAAAAAGAAGTTTACAAGTTACAACGACGGGTCTCAGCAATGAAAGAAGTTGTTGACTTGCCCTACGTCAGCAGCTGTGAGTGCAGCAGTATCATTGAGACCATCACCACAGAAGGCAACAATGGACCGCTTCTCTTGTTCCCGCCACGAATGCCAAGGTCTCACCAATCGTTTTCGTTCTTTCAGTTGATTAATGAATTCTGCCTTCCCTTGCGGCAGGACCCCGGCCACTACGTTATCAGCCTCGATCCCTAGTTCCACGGCAACAGTCTCGGCCGTGACTTGATTGTCTCCAGTGAGCATGAAGACTTCAAAACCCGAAGCACGAAGTTGCTCTACTGTGGTGCGCGCGTGAGGTCGGATTGTATCGGAGATGGAAAAGGAAGCCATGACGCTGGGGATAGAATCTTCTGCTTCCTTCCCTTGTTTCGTGGTAGCAACGAATACGACCGTCTGTCCCGAAGCCTGCTGAGAGCGCACAGCATCGAGATGCCTGCCGTCCTCAAGCCTGACACCATTCTCTACAATAACAAATCTCTCATTGCCAATAAGGATAGAGTGCCGGGTGCGATCGGAAAGGAGGATCACCGCTTTGAGTCCTTTACCAGGGACTTCTTCCGTGGATTCGATGCGTACATCGCTTTCTTCTCCGAAACTTTGGGAACAGAACTTGGTGATAGCCAAAGCCAACGGATGGCTCGATCCAGCTTCCATAAGACGGACAGCATGGAAAAGCCAGCTTGGAACATCCTCCGCTGTGTTCAGATGAGTAACTGTTGTGTTTCCCGTAGTGAGTGTCCCGGTCTTATCGAAGACAACAGTGTCAGTTTTCGCCGCCATCTGGAATGCTTCGCCTCCCCCCTGCGCGAGAATTCCAGCTTTCGCTGCAAGTCCTGACCCCACAGCCTGAGCCGTCGGGCAGCCAAGCCGATTCCGCAAGGACAAGCAATTACAAGGCAACTAATGGCGAACCCGAAGGCGAAGAAGATTCGGTCACCGACGCCAGTACGACCATAAGGAAGATATGAGTCAGGGATGACTTTTGAAAGGGACAGTGACAACCAGATGATGAGGACGACAATGGAGAACCAAACAACGAAGGGCACGAAGACAGCTGTAATAGAATCCGCTAAGCGCTCTATAGGTGCCTTGTGGTTCTGTGCTTCAGCGACCAATTGTACGATTTTCTGTAGCATCGTTTGGTCACCGACCTCGTTCACGCGAATGATCACTGGGGATGTAAGGTTCGTAGTCCCCGTCATGAGTGGATCCCCTTTGCCTTTGAAAACTGGGAGTGATTCCCCAGTGAGGGAGGATTCATCAACAGATGTAGCTCCTGACACGATGATGCCATCAGCTGGTGGAACATTTCCCGGTTGAACAAGGATGTAATCTCCCAATTCAAGACTCTCGACTGGAATGGAAGCAGTAGATTGGTGACAAAGCGCTTCTTCCACTTCTATACCTCGCACATCATTTTCCTTCATACCGGACACGAGTAAAGCATGTTGCGGGCGTATATTTCCAAGCAGTGCAATTGCGTCGCCGGTCTGTGATGCAATACGCCGTTAAATCAAAGGCCCACAGAAGAAACTTACGGAAGGAACCCTTACTCGTACTTGAGCACGTCCTTTCAGCGCTCTGCCCATCAATATAAAGAAGATGATGAACACGCAGGAGTCGAAGTAGGTGTTTTCTGAGCCAACTTTCATTGTCATCACTGCCCCTTGGCGGATGTCTCGAGCCATGATGCCAACACTAGCCATGTACGCCACACTGGTAGACAGCGCAACCAAGAGGTCCATATTTCCAAAGTGGACCAACCGAGACCACGTCCACTGACTCTTCCTCCGCATATAGGTGCCTTTGCATGCACCCTTATAGAAAATCCTGCAATTGAAACGATATTGAGAATCTGTCAATAGGATGATGGACAAATCTTTCATACCACCCGACTCCAAACTGCACAAATGTGGCAATGATCCAAAGTGCGATGGTTGCTCTTGTCGCTCCTCCCCAGAAGGGTGTCTCCCACCACATCCTAAACGAGTTGCGTTCCGGCAGAAGGATCATGGCCAACACGCCAACTATGAACGTCGGTATTGAAAGCACGAGGCTCACCAGAAACAAATGCGCGAGGTGTTTGGCCTCGTTCTGTTGTATCTTGCGGGAACGGGTCATGAGAGAGGGAGGGGCGTATAATGTGGCTTTGAATGGCTGAGGGAACGCGTAAATTTCTCGGATCGTTAGGGTCGGCGAAGGTTTGTAGTGAATCTTCGTTCGATCGAACTCAATAGAGAGGGGAGTGAACGAAATGAGATTCAAGGATTCGAGATACGCATTAGCGCGGGCCGGTCCATCACTATTGAAAACCGTTATGACAAAGAGAGAATATTAGGAAACAAATATAGCTCACTTGAATACCATACCCTGCACTTTTAGCTCGACAATTCGCTCATCCTTGGTGGCCTGGGAAGACTGCCCGGTTTCGATGTGATCCCAACTCAGCACTTCATATCCTAAGTCTCGGATAGTACTCGAAATAACTGTAGGGGTGAGCGTGGAAGGGTCGTGTGTGATGTCCATCGAGTTCGTGATCAACGAGATCGTCAGGTTGTTAACACCTGGCAGCTGAGACACGGCATTTTGAATGGCTGCTGTGGAGGCACTGAATTCGTTCAGGAAACAGGGATTCCCTCAAAACGAATGCGTTACCTGCAAGTCATGCCTTCAATATTGAACCGGGTCCGACGGGTTGTCGGTGAATTTAGCAGACGAGTCCCAACGATGGTGGCGCCATATCCAGCACCTTCAATCTCACTTATCAGAGACTTGGCAGGGACGCCCGAATCATGAATCGCGATGGCGGAATTAGTGACCAAATCGACGACTGCCTTTGATACCCCGGGAAGGTCGTTGAGGATTTGAGAAATCGTAGTTCTGCACGAGCTGTTCGGGAGAAGTTAGCGTACTTTATTTGCGCTGTCTAAGACTAACTTACGAGCAGGTCATGCCTTCAATTGAAAGGACGGTCTCCTGGGCCTGAACCTTGGAAGGATCATCAACCTTCACTTCTAGTAATGCGGGCATAGACGAGGGTACACCCTGAAAGCTCTCCTGTTGGCATGCGAAACAGTGACGCAAGTGACACCTGCGCCTCGCCCGGGGTCCGCTAGAAAAGAAATCATACATGCGCTGGCCCAAGTTACGCGTAGCCAGGCGATCATCGATACCACTAGCTTCGTATCCGGCTTGGTAGAGTCTGCGGTACACAGAAATGACAAGCGAATCGAGGGAAGTGACGTCGACGCCGTCACCAACAGAGAAGGATAGCGTTCGTTTGATGTGGTTGACTTCAAGTGGGCCGAGTGGAAGCGAGGATAACAGCGTTTTGATGAAATTTCCGCAGGACTCGCAATGGATCGATGGCACTAAAAAGTAAATGTTCCCAGTTTGGCATTCTAAATCCCTAATCAAGGCAGACGGTCCTCACCAGAGAGTGTCACCATCGCTGGATGAAGAGTCTAGCGAAGTTTGGGGATGCCGTCCTCTACATACCTTGGAGACTACGCTGTATAGCTTTTGGAGGATATCGGGGCTCATTATTGGTCTACAAAATGGCTCACTCGCACCGAAACGACGAAGGCGATTGATTGGGTAATTGCATCAGCTTGCCGAAATGTCTTTCATGCGCAGGGTTCCCGATTACCTCTTGCCATAATGAGCTGTCACGCGACGCGACGGCCCCGACCATGTGAGAGCCTTATTCATTCCGTTATCTTTGTAGTGCCCTGTTTTCGCATGTACCCCTATCACTCGAATCTTTCATGTTATCACCCGATCCTCATCAAAGACGCGGTCATACACTCCACGTGTGGAGAGCCTCCACGGTTGCGACCTCCAGATAGGAACAGTCCAAGATTTACAACGTCGCGTTGTTTTCTTGTCGACCGTTAGCAGACCCTCTACTATTGGGTTTTGCCCATGTTGAAGGATGTCTGATCTCGCGTGGCATCCGTCGACGATCGGGAGGAAGGATAGGAGAGTTCATGGCATCGACTCTTGGACCTCAAGCTCGCCGGGCCCGCACACTGAAGCTGGTACCTGGTGGAAATACACGAGCGGGGAACTATGCTTATTTTCCCCAGAGAAACCAGCAGCGGATTTTACGACGCGCGATTTCACTTTACTGGTTCGGTGCGGAACTGGATCACTTTGCTGAAGCTTTTGATGTGGTAGGCTTAAGTGGGGGATGCGATTTGCTGCGTGGAAGCCGGGTCTGGTGAGATTCTCCACCGGTCCCCACCTCGAGCATGCTTCGCTTGTGTGTGCCTTCTACAAACGATAGCGTTTTCCACCCTCTGGCGAATGCCCCTTTGTCCGCTCATTCATTTCCTGTGATGCCGCTGTCGGCCTTGAGCTCCTCTCTATCGTTTAGGAGTTTGCAGATCGTCTTCCTGAAGGCCCAGTCAAACTGTAGTTTGGAGTTTGTAATAATCGAACAAGATGAGGCGAACCTTCGGCTGTTTTTTTTTTCTGTACATACAATGGGTGTTCAGCTGTGTCCTCTGTCTTGATATCATGTCTTCCCAATCCATTGCGAGATTGGACTATGTGGGTCTTCCGGCCGCTAAGCTCTTATCTAACGCTGATTGGTTGCTGCGTGGTGTGGAATAGTCTTAGGTCATGAGAATCGTGTATTTGAGGCAAGCGATGCCAAACTCGTGGTAATAGTAGACAGTGTATAACATGGCCTGCAACATGTCTATGCTAATAGAGGCTGGTAACCTGCCTACCACATATGCCGAACCCGGTTGACTTGAGCAAGAATGACATAGTGTATTTATGTCGTGTGCCCTCAAATCCAGCTGCATGGAGGAAGTTACACCTGCGAGAAGCTAAATGTAGCGGACCAATGAGAAAACTTTGGTCGAACCGGGAAACAACATTGCTATTCCTTTCTGGGGTTGGAGTTCGTAGTTTGCGTAATGGGTCTCGGTGTTCCAAAAATGTGCTTGTCAGTGCAGCGGGGAGGGTATCTGCAGCCGGGGGATGGCATCCAAGGTCGATATTCGAGGTCCGTGTGAGATAATGGCCTGGTATGACACTGTACTGAGAGTGTGCACCAATCAGTGCCCGGTCGGCAGAGCGGGCCCGCACTCTTTATAGTGTGCGTGTTTGAGAGGTGCACCCCTCCCTGGTTTGCTGTCTTCTGCCGCAACACCTGCTGGAGGGCAGCGCATAATAGTGCAGAAAGGCACTACATCAGGAAACCTCCGAGGTTGATCCTGCCGGTTGAGATCATCTGAGCGTACTTATCATCAGGCCCATGGCATGAGAGCCTCGATAATTCATTTACAAGTACGGGTGCGTTGCATGACGGAAACACAATGAGTTGCATATACGGTTTAACAAGCATCAGAAGGTTATCACTTCAGATTCGTGGACGAGAACTGAGGGAAAGAAAATCGTTACAGTACGCTCGGCTCACATGCATATGTGGCCGGAGCAAAGTGTCGGTCAAACCGACAAAAGAATTCCATCAGTCAAGCAGAAGTAAAGAAAAGGTGTCGGCGACGGTCACTCGATCCCGCACTTAAAACAATCACAACCGTGATCAGCCACGGTGACTTCCAAGCTGCCATGAGTACCCTAACTAGAATAGCTACGGCATATAACACGCACTGTCTGGCTCTATTTAGGGGCAGGTGAAGCCTCAGGCCAACTAGGTAATTATAACGTGAGATGGAAATATGGTAACATCGCCAAAGACACATACCCAGGGATCGGGTGACCAAATCTTTTGGGGCCTAGTCTGATAGTGAGCTACAATGCGAACACTAATTGGTATTTGGAACTTACTTGAGTCCTTAGCGGCAAGCGGACCCTTGAGCAGCTCCAAACGTTTGGCATATGCATCCATAGTAGGTTCGGGCGCTCTGACCCCATGGCCATGATCTGTCGGGAGAGCCACTGAGAAAGACGCCCCAAATGCAGCCAAAAAGAATAGGAAGATGGGAAGTTTGGTCAGCAATGTGAACATCCTGTTAAGTTTCTTCCTGGGGGTGTTCGGTAAGGATTGCTACTAGGTGGCTCTCGAGGATGGCCTTAAATAGGAACCGGAAGGGCACAACCTGCCCAAAGGGCATTGATCTGCCTAAGCAGAAGATACTGATAAAAATCCAAATCAAACGGTGATATGTCCACCACATTGATGGGACTTGTTATATGAGTGCTATATTGTTGGAGGAACCGTGTGCTATGGGAGGCCGGACGAGTTTTCGTACAGCCACATTCCCACATCCGAGTGAGGAACTCGCCCGGACAGCCACATTCCCGTGGTAGTGTGACTACTTAGTCACAACACCTCTTTTATATTAATTCGGACTAACCCGTGCCAGGCCACGGATATATTCATTCATTTGAATTCATTTCCTTTTCCCTCAGTTCTTCACGCATATTAGCTGAGACTGAGGTTAGTTACATTCCTTTATTACTATTTCCTTTACTATTGTAACTTACAATATGTACATTACCTTTAGCTTCCCGCTTATAGGTAATATATTAGTTCTTCACGCATATTAGCTGAGACTGAGCTTCCCGCTTATAGTCCAGCTCCGAGATCACAAGTGTCGCTCATCAACATATATTGTATGAGATATTGCTGCCATTCACCCTAGGCCACATTCATTGTAATATTATCCCTCATTGTAATTCAGATAGGGGACCTTTGGTAGGTCTGTAGTAAGCATGAAATACATCATCAGGGCTGTTCAACCAATGTGTGCTAAAATTGGTGTGATCCCTAGGATATCACCTGAAGAGGTTGGTGATATTGAAACTATCCCTCTTTCCAAATGGATCATCAATGTGGCATACTTCAAATGCACTTATTGATGAGAAATATTGAACACATGACTGATTGGGTTCATGACCCAATGGTGAGGGGATAAGGAGGTTCAGGGGCATCAGCAAAATATTGTTATGCTCCTGAGTGCTCCAGAGTATGGAGAGCACTGGGAGAATCAGGAGGAGATTGGCTGGTCCAGGAATGGCTCACACTTCTGCATTTCCTCTGGAGTCAGCCAGGTACTCCAGGGCACTCCCAGGAGGGCATGGAGCATTGCTTTGTGCACAAACATATTCAGTAAATACCATTTAAATGCTTCAAAGTGTATAGGGATGAGAAGCTTCTGGGAGGTCTGTCACATCCATACAACTCTGGACCTCCACTCCTGTTCTGGACCTCCATCTCCTCCTCCAGAACTCCACATCCTCCACCACCTCCTCCCCCTGTTGGTTGTTGAGAGCCCACCCTACCTCTGGCTCCAACACAACATCCAACACTACCTCCGGTCCAACTCCAGTTTACTCCAGGTCTGATCCCAACCTCGTACCTTCCAGACAGAGTTTGTGATGCTCCATACCTCCGGCTCCGGACTCCTGTACTGGAACCCCATCGCACCTCCACCTCTGGAACTCCGGTCATGTCTCCGCCTCTGGACTTTGACCTCCTCCTCCATCTTATCTCCTTGTATTCCTTATTACATTTCATTTATTATGTCTTGCCAATATTCCGGACTTTGACTTCTGACTCCGGACCTCCGGAACTTACTCCGGACCCTGCAGTCTCTACTGTATGGTGTCACTTAATTCTCTTGTTGCCTCCTCCTTATTTAGACAGCTGCTTCCTTTCCATATTAGTCAGCTGTCATTCCCCACAACCCACTCCACTCCTTCCCCTCTTGGCCTTGTGTCAGGGGACGCCCGGTTATCCGGCCCCCCTTTACTCTAAGCGATATCAATGAGGTAATTGTTAGCCGAGATTGCGTGAGATAATTACGTAGTTAGAATGCAGATATAACTCATTGCGCTGTAGGAATATAAAAGTTACAACACTAAAACAACCAGAAACCATCACAAAAAAATTGGATAAAAATCATACAACCTCCACGGACCAGAAATAAAAATAGGAATAAAATCATAACTCAACAAAATGAATTGAAATAAAATATCGGAAAAATAATGAAGAACAGAGTCGATGGATTGAGTATCTACGCGAACTTTCAAGTCTAGGGATTAAAAGATGGTTCAGAAAATGAAGAAAAACAGCAAATAAACTCACATGAAAACAAAAACAAGGTTTCCTGTATCAAATAAAATATTAGAAATTCGTGGTAACGTGGGAAAATAGTTTTACGAACGTACGAAACGAATGACAAAGAGAAATCGGAAGGAAATCAAGGCATTCATATAATGAAAAATGGTCGGGTACGAGGAAAAGATGAAAGAATTGGAAATATTTATATGAGAAAAATAGGGAAAAATATGAATCTTTGTCGGTCTTAAAGAGTTGAAGTATAGGTCTGTGTACGAAAAGATTTCATGTTAAAATCTGAAGAATTGAGGGAGAAATGGATTTAACAAGATTAAAACACACTTGCAGAGAAGACTGGCTCAAACATCCTGAGTTTGTGGTAAAAACGGATGAGCTAGAAATGCGAAACTAAAGAGTTTGAGTCCAGGAACAAGGCATAATTTATCCAGAATTAATCGTAGGAAAATGGATGAGCTAATGCCAAAGCAATCTGGAGAACCTCAAAATTAAATCTTGAAAAATTCATATCTTCATAAATAATCCTCGTAGTTTACTGTTGTTTATACCGACGGAAAGCTACACTCTTAAGCTAACAAATAACCCCATGACATGTGACCTAGAATAAAGTGAGTAAACAAGGGTAAACAAGGTCATGATGGGTGTTAGGCAATGCAATTGGCTAATTCCCACACCAAAACTTCCAGAAAGTTCTAGAAGCAGAATGGGATGCTGATCGCTGTAGGAATATAAAAGTTACAACACTAAAACAACCAGAAACCATCACAGAAAATTGGATAAAAATCATACAACCTCCACGGATCAGAAATAAAAATAGGAATAAAATCATAACTCAACAAAATGAATTGAAATAAAATATCGGAAAAATACTGAAGAACAGAGTCGATGAATTGAGTATCTACGCGAACTTTCAAGTCTAGGGATTAAAAGATGGTTCAGAAAATGAAGAAAAACAGCAAATAAACTCACATGAAAACAAAAAAACAAGGTTTCCTGTATCAAATAAAATATTAGAAATTCGTAGTAACGTGGGAAAATAGTTTTACGAACGTACGAAACGAATGACAAAGAGAAATCGGAAGGAAATCAAGGCATTCATATAATGAAAAATGGTCGGGTACGAGGAAAAGATGAAAGAATTGGAAATATTTATATGAGGAAAATAGGGAAAAATATGAATCTTTGTCGGTCTTAAAGAGTTGAAGTATAGGTCTGTGTTCGAAAAGATTTCATGTTAAAATCTGAAGAATTGAGGGAGAAACGGATTTAACAAGATTAAAACACACTTGCAGAGAAGACTGGCTCAAACATCCTGAGTTTGTGGTTAAAACGGATGAGCTGGAAATGCGAAACTAAAGAGTTCGAGTCCAGGAACGAGGCATAATTTATCCAGAATTAATTGTAAGAAAATGGATGAGCTAATGCCAAAGCAATCTGGAGAACCTCAAAATTAAATCTTGAAAAATTCATATCTTCATAAATAATCCTCATAGTTTACTGTTGTTTATACCGACGGAAAGCTACACCCTTAAGCTAACAAATAACCCCATGACATGTGACTTAGAATAAAGTGAGTAAACAAGGGTAAACAAGGTCATGATGGGTGTTAGGCAATGCAATTGGCTAATTCCCACACCAAAACTTCCAGAAAGTTCTAGAAGCAGAATGGGATGCTGATCGCTTACATAAGAGGATTGCTAAGCTCAATATAAGATTACTCAGCAATGTAAATAGTAAAGTGACATGTGAAAACAGAGCCCTTAGGAAAGGTATAAAAGACCGCATTTTCTGGTCTGACCCCTCTTCCTTCTTTACTCCTCTCCCCTACGTGCTCTGGCTCATAGGTCATAGGGCGTCCTAATAAAAATTAAGTTTTATTAGTATAAGTGTGCAGTTCAGATCACATCTGAGTAAAAGTGATCAACCCTCAGTAAAAAGTTAAGAAGAAGTTAAGAAATAGTGACGTTGAGTCAAGTCGGTTGGAGTCGCTCCGAGTTAAAAGTGACAAGACAGAGGTGAAACGACTGAAAATAGTAGGTCTATAGCGCGATTTTCGTGTGGAACAATCAGGTAGACAAGTGAATTGAACCCTGAGAGTTTCATACACACACAAACAATTAGTAACACATACAAATATCAATACACAAAGCAACCAAAACGCTACAGTGGTTGAGTTAAAGTACCAATACTAACATATAAGTATCAGAAGAAAGAACAGCCTTTTATAGGATTTCTGTTCTCCTCCTTCAGCGCTATATTCACTATCGCGTCACCCCTTACCCAATATTCCCTCATTTCCCGCATCTTCTATCTTCCTATTTGATGTCGTGTTTCTATTAGTTACCATCTTCCCAATGTAACTGCGCTCTCGTGAGTTAGCAGAACTCATGTACATAAGGCTACTATGCCAGCTGGGCTAGCCCCCCAGCTTTGATATCGACTAGTTTCCTGGGGATACTCTTACGCTGCGAATAGATGCGCGGACTCTGACACCTTGCCCTTTTGGGAAGCACCATAGAGTCCCAACCCTTGACCCTTGGGGTTGTTCCCTCATCCAGTCCCCTTTGTCTTCCTTCTAGTTCCCTTTGTTCTCTGACTCCACTCCTGTATCATTATATATATACTCTGTACTTAGTTTCCTGTACCCCCAGTCTGAAATCGACGACCATGACGACTGGATTGTCCCCCAAAGAGACTCCCCCTGCTAACCTGAAGTTAAGGACCACCTTAGACAACAAGCAGTGGCACAGCGCTCCACTTGAGTCGCTGAGGCCAAGGTCCCTCCACTCCTGAGTCCCTTCTCTGCTTCTGGACAACTCCGCACATTCATCTAACAAGGTCCTGGAGCATTTAAAAATGAAAAGGAAAAAAGAGGGAAGATTCCCCATGAATGTCTCCTACCACAAGACTACAACAAGACACTGCTTAACATTTAGATCAAACACCATACTATGTATCAAGGACACTGATATGCAATCAAAATTTATGGCCTGATATATGATTAATCAGGCAACTTAATCACTTTTGGGCTTGCAGAAGTTTGTTAGATATGGAGGAGGGGGAAATGGAGGGGAAATGAGGGGGGAAATGAGGGGAGAATGAGGGGGGAAAATAGAGGGAAATGAGGAAAATTTGAAAAATAGGGA